AGTATTGAAAAATGACCATTTCGAATTCGTTTGCAAAGGTGGTGCAGTGATATCAAATATAAAAGAAATTTTATTTATGAATTCAAAAATTAAAGGAATAACGGATGATATAACATCAATTCCACCAGAAGAACAAAGATATTACGCATTAAATGCATTTCCTAAAGTTTTGAAGATTGGAAGATTTAATTTAAATGAGGAATTCATAAAAGGTTTCCTAAATGACATAATGAAGAAAGCAGATAAGGAATACGTGGATAGTGAGTTAGAGGAGAAAGCAGATAAGGGACTTGTGGCTAGTGAATTAATGAAGAAGGCAGATAAGGAATATGTTAATGAAAAAGATAATGAAATTATAGAAAGGGTTGAATGGTATCATGAACGGACATCGAAGATTCTTAAAACTAAAGCTGATACAGGATGGGTTTCAGGATGTTTAGACCTTAAAGCAGATAAAACTTATGTTAACAATGAGTTAATGAAGAAAGCGGATAAAAATATGTGGATAGTGAGTTAAATAAGAAAGCTAATATATCATTTGTTAATGAAGAAATAAAACAATCAGAGGTCTATTTTACTCCACCATTTTTAAATTTTATGAAATCATCAGATAAAACCTTTGATATAGATTCTTTTGAATGGATATGTTTCGATGGAGTGACCATGTATTTATTTTATACAGCTGGAGTGCTTTATTATTTTAAAACAAATGATTTTCAAAACTATGAATCATTTACTCCATCTGTTTTGAATCCTGATACACGAAAGCCAATCATTAATCCAAGAATTTTATATGTTGAATATAATAACGGTAAATTTATGGGAATGATAACGGTTGAAGATGATTTTTGCCCTTGTTATTCATTCGATTGTATCCAATGGTTCAAATGTAATTTAAATCAAGATGCTAAATTTAAATTTCCAAATAATCCTATTAGATGCGTTAATAATAAATGGGTACTAATTTATGAAGTCAATCAAATTTTCATTAGTGAGGATGGGATAAATTATTATATGTTTAGTATGATGTCATCAGATTTGAAAATTGATTATACAAGTAAGTGGTATTGCTTTAACAACATGTATTTTATCCTACAAAATGATAAAATTTATAGATCATCTTCAATACCACAAGGTCAATTTGAACAAATTTTTCAAGCTGATGGAGACATTGAAGCTTTATGTTATGGATCAAATGTTTATGTTCTCGTTTCAGGTGAAATGGTCTATTCATATCCTGTAAGTTATAACAGACATATTTATTTATCACAGGATTTATCAAATTGGGAATTGGTTTATTCATTCACTCCAAAACTTACTCAAAATTATAGATTTACAAATTTATTTTATATTGATGGGTATTTCATTGCTTTAGGATGTGGTGATTTAGTAAATATCAGTAGTGATGGAAGAAACTGGTCTGAAATCACAAAATTTCAAGATGTTAGAAAAGCAATTTTCAAAAAATAATACGTTAATATTGATAACAAGACCAGTTTTAAATACTCACCTAAATTCAATATTATATAATAAATTCAATATTCATAATGGATTAAATACAATTCTTGAGATGATTTACCCCATTGGTTCTATTTATACGTCAATGAATTCAACAAATCCAGCAACAGTTCTGGGTTTTGGTATGTGGGAACAAATAGTTGACAGGTTTTTGTATTGTGCAAACTCTTCAAAGGAAACAGGAGGAAGTAAAACGATTACAGGTGAAAATTTACCTGCACACAGTCACTACATAGATTTAAGTACATCTCAAGCGGGTTGGCATAAGCATAGATATTGGGATTGGTCAGCAATGACAAAAGGTAAAGGATATGATGTTAAAGACAACGTTAAGTTTGCTATAGATTGTTACTGGAGTAACACTGAGGGAGGAGGAAACCATACACATCGCGTTTCAGGATATACACAAACAACGGGACAAAGTAAAGATTACATGCCGCCATTTATGACAGTTTACGCATGGTATAGAGTTCAATGAATGAACTAAATATATTTTATGTCTGTAATTAATTAGGTAATGAAGTAATGGATGAACTGCAGAAATAAATGTTTACGTTAATGGTTACGTTAATGGTTATGTTAATGTTTTCAGGTCATTCAATAATTAATTATTTTTGAAGAACTGAAGGTGTCACTATGTCACCATGTGTCACTCAGTTATTTAACTTCTCTGAAAAAATGAGACAACATGACATTTAGACAACAACGCAGGAAATAAATGTTTACGTTAATGTTTTGTCATGATCATTCATCGTTTCTTTGTCATGACTTCTTCGTAAATGTTTTGTCAAACATGAACGTAAATGTTTTGTCAAGACTTCTTCATCGTAATGAACGTATATGCTTTGTCATGACTTCATCGTAAATGTTTTGTCGAAACTTCTTCGTAAATGATTTGTCATGATTTCTTCATCGTTAATGTTTTGTCAAGACTTCTTCGTAATGAGCGTAAATGATCCAAAAATATATTTTAGGTGAAGAGGTGAGATCTCACCTGTTTTTTCACCTAATTTTTCACCTCAGGAATTTTCATGAATTTTCCCGAAATAAAAAATAAAGTTAGTTTTATTTTTTATTTTTTTTTATTTTGTATGTAAAGATATGATTTCAACAATCGGCACAACAGCAATACAAGCCGCGAACGGCGGGGCTCTGTCCACAACTACAGCACCAAACTCGTTAGTCATGAATCCTACGTCAATGTTAGTAGAGATGAAAAGCTTCATTCCTTCTTCATATACTTTCGAAACAAAAATCCAGAAGATAAAGCAAGAACTTTTAACAAGTAATTTAGACTGTAGTGCGAAAGATGAAACAAATGAACAGTATCTTTATGAAATGCAGGACATTATTGACCATTTACCTAAACTACCTGAAATCCAACAACAAAAACTAACTATTCCTGAATTCGACGAAATTGAAGTCAAAACAACTGACTCAGTAGAAACCAAGAAGTTCATACGTAAAGTAAATTATGAATTCCTTGGTTTTCATTGCAACCATAAAGTTATGGACAAAGATTGCGACATGGTTTATAAGAATGTTTCTGACATATATATAAATCTGAAGAATTTAAGACCTACGATAACTTTGTTTCATTAGTTGCTGAATGTGTTTGGGAAATAAGAGATAAAGATAGAAGAGGCAAAGTATGGAACGAACAACTAAGACCCGCTATGTTTGAGATGAAGAGAGCAATTGACGCCTTAGTTGTTTTAGCAGGTCAAATTTCAATGTATAACGCAAAAATGAACCCGCAATGTTCAAAATGTAAGGCAGCGATGAGGAAATATAACTACTCCGTCAAAGAGATAGAAAGAATGAGAAACGACTATGCAGATTTAAAGAAAGAAGTAGAAAACCCAGCAGAAAATAAAATGGATATGTTGACATTTCTGAACAAAAATTATCCAACTGCTGACGATTTCCTTCTATCTGACGTCAAGAAGAAATATAAAGAAACCTTCGGCATTGTTAAAACATTCGATGTACTAAAAGAAGAAATAGAAGCTACGAAATTGTTTAGGATTTCAAATATACATCGTACAATTCATGTAAAACGCTTGTGAAAAAACTGGGGTGAAAAATTAGGTGAAAAAACAGGTGAGATCTTTCTAATATATTCCCATTCTTTTGAAATATCATTTTTCATTTCCACTGGTTTCATGTTTATAGTTCTATGCCATGTATTATTGTAATAATATACTAACTGCTGTATGATGGAGTCATGATTTCCATCCCAGTATATCTGACCGTTAACCCCTAACGCATCTCTAAGAGTTCTCATTACCGCATCAACTATTTTATTATGAAACGTATATGGAGAGGATGAAAAGTAAAAATTAATTTGTGGGAAATAATGAGCCATAGCTGCCTGAAATCCTTTATCACCATCACCCCTTATATTATCTACTCTTTCATGATCTAGTAAGTATTGTATAGCTCTTCTTGTTTCCTGTTCTGTTTTCCCTTTCACTGGAATGCAATATAAATATCTGGTGTTAATGTTAATGGCAAATAAATAAGTAACTTTTCCTTTTGAATATTCCAGATGATCGATTTCGTATGAATATGGATATGGAGCAAATGAAGGGCGACTAAATTTTTCCTTTAACGGTTGAATTTTTGGGTCAATTGGTTTATTTAATATCTTGAAATCCCTTTTAAAATCTTTTTGCTTCTTTAATGTTTGAAATGGATATAATAAAGTGAATGATGAAGGATTAACTGAAGGAGGAGGAGGTGCTACTGTTGGAGGTTTTGGTGTTGTAAGTGGTTTAATTTTATCTGCTTTGATTTTGGATTTCATTCCTCCTTTCATTAATTCTGGATGTATTCTATTCATTTGTTTTAAATATGCTGTATATAAAGGTTTGATATACTTTCCCGCTTCGAGTTTATGTTGAAGGATGAATTCCAAAAGTTGATCTTCATTTAAAAGTTGGGCTGAATATGGTTTAACTAATGAATCATAAATTAAAGCTTGTGCATCATTTATGGTCTGAAGGACCTGGGCGTTTTGTACCTTTGGTTTTTGTTCCTTTGGCTTTTGTGGCTCGGGATTATATAATTTATATAATTCATCAATATCTTCTTCTGTTAATACTTTATTTTTGAAATCTTTCAACTGTTTAAGTTGTGATTTAGTTTTTCCCTTTGTATATTCATTATTTTTAATTTTGTCTTTAATTTCAGAAATTATTTTATCATGATATTTCAAAATTTCATTTTTATAATACGAATAATAATAATCCATATCATCACCCGTTATATTTTTATTATGTTTTTGGAGATATGCTTTTAAATCATAATAATCAAGAAAATTTTGATTAAATACTAAATCATCAATTAAATTTTTTAAATCTGTGTTATCCATTTATATAAAAATAAAATAAAATAAATGTTTTAAGGGTGCCCACCTCTTTGAATCATAGTACAAAACCATTATTAACGGTTCCTTTTGTCTCTTCTGTGGCATTTCATTAAATAAATGGCATACAACATCCATTTTCACAACATACAGCCTTAGTGTGTGCTCCTGTTAATGCAGTCTTACCAATTGTTAAGCGAGTCATTGACCCGTTTTTAAGTTGTAAATTAATATTCTGACCATCAAATATCACTTTATCATTTATTATATCCAAATAATTTTTAGGTGTTAATTGTTTATTTTGTCGTAAACTAACACCTTTCATTTTTTGTGCAATCTTTTTAAAATCACCCCCATCAATTGAACCGTTGAATGAAGTATAACACTTAGGGCATAAAGCAACCATGTTATCACCTTGTTTCTCAATTGCTAAACCCAATAACTTCTTCTCATGTGTTTTTTCTTCAGCTTTATTCTTTAATTTAGGTTTAAATTTCTCATCAAAACAGAAGAAATCAAAAGGTGCGAATTTGTAAATGTTTTTATCATAAAATTGTTTATTGGTTACAATTGCTTGAAATGCTTGAGTGTTAGGAAGACTTGGATCGCCAGCGATTGCCCAATAAGATGAATCAGTATCACCTTCAATGAAATGAAAACGATTAACATCCATGCATTTATACATAAAATCATAAATGAAAACCAAATACCAGTATTTAGCATTATCTAAAGTGAAGAATGCCTCTTGTAAACATGTATCACATCTATAAAATCTATCTTTGAGCATCACTTGATATGTATCTTCACCTATTTCTCTTATGTTTTTAAACTTATTTGACATACATGCAATGCGTGCCTTCTGTGCATTCATTATTTTAGTCTTTGTGTAATTTTGTGTATTCATTGCATCGTAACCATATGATCCATTAAGTGAAATCTTGCAAAATAAACTTTTTCCTTTATTTCCTTCTAATTCCGCCTTTTGTCTTTCGTTCATAAATTCGTTCGCAAATTCATTAAAACAAGTGTTTTTAGTAAATGTTAAAATTGATTGAATGTCATCAATAATAAAATGAAATCTGTCTATTAGATACCAAAGATAATAAGAAGAAAATGGTTGATATTGGTTGTGTGTTGATGCTAACTGAGTTAATTTTCTCTGTTTCTGGTCAACTGGTAGATTGTTTGATTTCATGTAATTATACATAAAACTACCAATTGTTTTTTCATCTGTGATAATATCTAAGTTTCTTATTATCGGTAAAAAGTTTATGTAATCATTAATGTATTTTTCATCAATGTGACCCTTTACTTCAGCCACGAATAAAGTATTTTTCTTTCTAATAATTCCCAGTGCTTTTGCTTTCTTTGTTGCTGTATCACAAATGATAACACCATTCAATCTTCCCGGCATATACATTTTATGGTTAGTATATTGAATGAAATCATGAGGATTAGATGAAAATGATGAAGGATATAATGAATTAAAGTCAACTCCAACAAAATGAGTCATAATGTTGGTGGTGTCCTCATTTGATACAGTTTTAGTTTCTGGATTATATGCAAGTTTATTAATGTGCGTGATTCCTTTAAGATTAACACGATGTTGAACATTTGATAGACCACCAGTAATTCCATTACGGAGAATGTGATAAGCTTCAACTGAATCTAAAGTCATTGGTAAATTATTTTTTAATGTATAATTTCTTAAATTGATTCTTAAACGTTGAACATCCTCATCTTTATTTGATTTTACGATATTGCAATAACAACACATTAACTGACAATTTTCTTTGGTATGTGGTTTTTCATTATCGATTCTATCCAATGTTGGTTTATTTGCATATGTAAACGCTTTACCACACATTTTGCATTTAGATGAAAGGATTAAATCGTGATAGTATTGATAGTCATCCATTGAAACATTATTTTTAGTATCTCTTTCTGCTTTTTCATCTTGTTTCTTATATGATTCAATTTTATATTTCCAATACTTTTTCGTTAATTCAAAACTTGATTCCACATTTTCTTCTTCTGGATATTTTTCGTTAGGATTAAAGTCTTTATATGCTAAAGCGTAACGAATCATTGATGCATTCGATGATAAAGAAAGATTATGAAGCATGTCAATTTTATAAACAAATGTTTCTTCAATAATTTTATCAATTGGGTCAATCATAATTTCAACATCTTTATTGCAATAATGAATAAAATATTCTAATCTATTCTTAAAGTTTTTAGCATCATTGAGATATATTTGATAATCACTATCTGATATTGTTTCTTGTGTTAATGCTGAATAAAATGAATCTTGAGTGAATGGTTCCTCTTTATATAATTCTTCTTCGTAATTTTCCCATGTGATGAATTGATAAGGGAAAAAGGATTTAACACGTGATTTATTGTTTCCGAAATCTTGAGTGAATTGGTCTAATGTCCCACCCGCTATATAATTTCTGATGTCAATAAATCTCAATTCATATGGAACGTTTGTTTTCTTTACAATGATTTGCTTAAATTGAGAAGATGAACCCAGCATTGATTTTATTTTCCATTTTGCAGTGTTTAAATCACGAAGAATTAAATTTAAATCAAACTTTCCCGAATTAAAACCTATGATATTCACTTTATTGAATTCCTCATCTAGAAGTTCTTTAAATGCTTCCTTTTGTTTCTCATTTAATGTTTGCAACTTCATTAATTCTTCATATTGTTCAATATTTGATTTAGCAACTAATGAACAGGTTGAAAATAAAAATTCAATCCAATCAGAAATAAAAGAATCACTTGAAGTTAAGCAAAAATTCCTCGTAAATGTTTTATCACGGTCTACGACCTCGCCGCTTTGCGGCTTTATTTTGACAGTTGATGAGACCATGAATGGTTTTAAGTAAGCATTCAAAGTTGCACATTCAGAAAGTTGAAGTTCTTCTTTAGTCTCTAATGTTTCGAAGTCAAAAGTAATATAATATCTTGTTGGTTTATAATATTCCTGCAAATTATGTGCTAATAGCCATTGATATATCTTCTGTTTCGTGATATGTGGTGCATATGGTTGTTGTGTGTTTTGCAATTGAACGTCTTGAATTAATCTTCCATTATTTTCTTTACATTTCTCACAATGCTTTAAAAATCTTCTTTGGTTTTTCTTTTCTGGGTCATCACGGATAGAATAAACTTCTTCTTTGCAAAAGGGGCAAACTTTATATCCTGTGAGTGCTTCAACGTCTGTTATTCTGTCAGCGTGAAGTTTTCCACATGGACTCTGTGTTAATAAAATATTTACTGTTTCAAATTCTGGATCTATCATTATTGATTCCACTAATGGAAAGTCTACCTTGTTAATGTCTACGTCTTCTGGTTGAGGGTCACAATAATAAAAATCAATATTAACGTTTAACATTCTTGCTAACCTCTCACTTTCTGATGAAATGTCAAACCCTTCATATGCATCTATTGCTTCATTTAAATAGCTTCTACGAGTTTTAGGATTAACACCATCAGGAATGTTATAGAAGTGTTTAAATAACCTTCTACCTTCTGCTCTAATTTGATTATCATTCATTTTAGCTGTTCCATTTTTGTTCATTTATGTAAGAATAAAAATTAAAAAAATAAATAAAAATAAAGTTTATTTTTTTTAAAGTCCGAGACTCAGAGAGTCCAGGGCTAAAGTCCATAAAATGAATTAAGAACACATAAATTTTTATCATCTGCGACGTGACGAATACATTTTAATTTACTCAAGAATGCGTACCCTGATACATTAAATCTAATTCCTGTCTTATTTAATTTCACAACTTTGAAAAGGAATGTATGAATAGCTATAAAATGATGAGATGATGTTTTATGGGTTGCTTCCATTTTTTCTGAAATAAATGAATAAATATAATGTTTATAAGTTTTCATATCTTTTATGTTCTTAATAACGAATGGTATAGACCTTTCCACTTCGTCTTCCTTCGGTGCTGTTCTTTCATATGAAACATTATTGGTATCTTCAATAATGAAACCACAATCGCATAAAATTTTATATGTACCAATTGTTTCTTTTGATATTTTATCTAACAAATCAAAAACTTTATCAACACCTGTACATTTATTTAAATAATAATTTGTGTAAATATCATGGTCTTCTTTCTTAATCGTATTTGTTGCATATGTTACATTTTTCAATGCTTTTTTGAATTTTTCAGAATCAAGAGGAGGTGAAAGTAATATACATGGATAATCTCCATCGTCAATAAACTGAAGCTTATGTTTACGAATAAATTTAGTACCTTCTTCTGAAAGTGTTTCGTCAATATCACCATCTAATAAATTTTTAGTAGATTCCAAAAAGTAATTTTTATATCTTTCTTCATGAGATTTCTGTACTTCTGATTCTGAAGCTGGGATATTCATTAAACCCTCTACTTCATTCTCATTATATTTTTCAACTTCTCTTAATTCCTTAATTTTTTCATCTATTTCATCTCTTATTTTTTCCAGTCTTTCAATTTCATCATATTCATCATCTTTAATTCGTTCTTCATAATATTCAGGGAAAACATCAGGTTCTTTAGGTTTTTCTTCTTCAGATGTGGGATATAAAAAATTTATAACATCATCTTTATTCATTTTTCCATCATAATCTAAATCATTTAATAACTCGGCAAATTTTTTACAATTTCTTAAATAATATTTATTAACTTCATAACCCGCCTCCTCTAATATATCCTTTATTTCCTCATTTGTGAATCCCAATTTCTTAACGTTGTTAGTTGTGACACTCATTTATCATTAAATAAAAAATAAATTATTCAAAAAATGTAAGACATGAATTTTCAAAGTTTATTTTTTATTCATGAAAATAATTATTTCTAATTTCTTTTACTCTCTCGTACATACTAGATTTAAAGAATTCAGAACTTTTACCATAATCTCCTAAATGTTTTCTTATCCCTAACGTGTGCCAGTTATTATATGAAACTGAATAAACTTTATCTTTATCTTTACACCTTTCATCACTTCCAATATATTTATATTTCAATTTTGATTTAGCATTTTCATATTCATTAACGTTTAATAATTCACAGTCTTCCTTTTTAAATAAATGTTTTATGTATTCAGGATTTAATACTCTACGTTTATATGCTCCTAACTTAGTTCTAAAGGTTTTTCTACAAAATTTAGGAATTCCATCCTCTTTAATGTCATCAATGATTTCCATTTCATTATTTTCAATTTCTTCTTCTCGTTTATGAGGTCTTTGATTATGACTCCATTGATTCCATGAAATTAAATATTCTTTATCATTATATTTATATCTCATTAGCTTATTTTGGCTTTCATATTCATTTAATAATTCACAATCTTCATTTTTAAATTGAAGTTTAACCCATTCAGGATTTAAATGATGTTTAATTAATCGCGGAATATCTGACATCATCTATATATCTTCTTTTATAAAAAAGATAAAAAATAAATTATTTTAAAATTAATGTTAATTTTTTAATGATTTATAAATAAATATTTATTACTAATTTATTTAATAATGTCGCGCTTTCTTACGAATTCATGACTTAAAAAACGTAAGAAAAAATTTTATATCATCTATATATATAGAAGATGTGAAAATATACCTTCGTCTATATATAGACGTAACAAAAAAAGTCACAAAACCCGTCCACATATACTACTAATTGATTTCGGATATAAAAAGTAATATTTTCAATTGTTGTTCATTTATCTGTATTGTTTTCCATGATTTCATGTATCAAATTGAACAAAAATAAAGTTTTTACCGACAATTATTTAAAATTCAGTAAAACTCTATAAAATTGCAAAATTAAAATGTCTTAGGTAATGTTCAAACATTAACTCTATCAAGACACCATATTCTCTATTTTTTTTTCTAAAAAAGTGACAAATTCCTTTTAAATGATTGATTCCATTTTAGACCAAGTTGAAGCAAATATGGAACCATCACTACAAAGGAAGGCTTATTTAGAAGGAGTTATTAACCAATATAGAGAATTAAATGATCAAATCGCTGAATTAGAATATAAAATCGAAAGAGAAAACAATTTTAGAGAAAATTTTGAACTTCAAAGAGATATCAATTTACAGCAACTTCAAAAAATCCAAAATGAATACAATCAAACTAAAGAGGATTTAGAAAAATCCGCAATCAAAAATGCCGTTCTTTCAAGTGCAAATTCTTCGACCCCATTAATTTCCCAAAGAACAAGAATCATCGGAAATACAAATTTTGTTCAATATGCAAGACTTCAATCTCAAATATTGAATTTGAAGCAAATTTATCTCCAAAAAATAGATACGCTTTCAAAACTAAGAAGATCTGTCTACTGCCTTGACAATAACGAAGAATTTACTTACAATGAACAACCAGATTTGTTTTCTTTCCAAGAAACTCATCCAGATATATTACAAAGGATGAAAACGCCATTACTATGTCCTAAATATGAAGCTGGCAGTATTATTTCTTCAATAATTCCATCAGATCTTCAAAATTCAATAAATCAAGAAAATAATATCGAATTTCACTCAACATCTTTCATTCCAAAGTACTTGAAATCGAAGCCTATTGACAGCCTGATTACCAGTTTCTTCGTAAATTCAGAAGAACAAGGAAAAATTCTTCAAACAAAGAAACAAAGGCTAAATGATCTGAACAATCAAATATACCAACTTGACAATGATAGATACAACATAATAAATAGTGTAAGAATTAATTTGGCCGACCATTTAACAGAAATTCAGCAAAAAAGATTTAAATTATGTTCAGAAGTGATATTTGAAGCCCAAAAGCAGATCAATCAAGCACAAACTATTGTTGATGGTCTAAACCAATGTTTCCATGGCGAAAATCATGAAGTTTTCGCTAATGATACTCAAATTAAATTATTAATCAACGATATCACAAAAGATGTCCAGCAAATCATCTCCAAAGGCAACAGATTGTTTGTAGCACCATCATTGACCCCAATTCAGTTCCAGGATCCTCCGAAATTAATAATTGACCAAATTTCAACAGAACAAATCACCAGATGCAAAGAGAAGATCAATAAGTTGAATGAAATACTCGATACATCCGAAAACTACCAAAATCTTGCTATAGAAGAGCTAAATGAAATTGTTGAATCTTTAACCAACATTTCAAAGTCCCAGACCACTTCACTTTCTAATTTATCGATTTCGGATAACTCTATAAACGACGATAGCGATGAAATCGAAAAATTCCTTGAATTAAAACGGAAAGTTTTATCTAAGCAGAAGGAGAGACTCACAGACCTCAAGGACATGATCGAGATGCTTCCAGATACTGTTAAAAGCCTTGAAGTTGAAAATATCCCAGAAATCGAAGAATCAAAAATTCAAAAAGATAATTTCATGGAAGAAATCGAAGTTATGACACCACCTGTATCAGATCCTTTCACTGATTCGAACCAAGTGTTGTTGCAGAAGATTTTGAGCAGAAAAGTCGAAATTAAAGAAAATCCAGAAAACGTTGAACCAAAAACAAGAAATGTTGATTATAAAACAGGTAAATTCCAGAGTAAGATTGATTCGTGGACAAATATCATTGGTGAAGGTCTTGATATCGATTTTTCAAAAGAAATAGAAAAAAGAAATTCGTTGGAAGAAGAATTTTCAGAAACAATTTCTAAAGAAATGTCAGCACTTGAGACAAAGATATTTCGACACGAATCAAGAGAAAAAAGACAAACAAAGTTGAAAGAGCTTCGTGATCAAGTTGATTCATCACGTGATGAATACGAACAAATCAAGAGTTTCATTCATCAATCACAGAAAAAGATTGAAGAACTCAATGAAAAAATTAATTCTACAAACGAAAATATCAATCAAACTAAACAAGAAACAGAAAGAATTGATCACGAAAACAAAGAATACGAAGAACTCGTTTCGAAGAAGAAAACATTGATTGAAGAAATCTCTAAATTTAAGACAACAAGTGAAAGAGAAAACAACAAGATATTGGAACAGATAAAGAAACTATCTTCACAATCAAACAAACAGAAAGATAAATAAAAAATTTATTTATATTTTATCTTCTTCGATGAACTTTGAGATTGAATGAACGATGATTTGTTATTTTAAATGTAATTTGATTTTCTGGTTGTAAGTAACAATTTTCTGTGTGAAAATGTGAAAAATTATTATTGAAATCGTAATTATCTCTTAGATTATTAAATATAACTGATTCTGATCCTTTTGTTGAATTTGATTCAACATATGATTCTGAAATAGTCAAAGTGGAATCTTCTGCATATTTTTGAAACATGTACTTTGCAATGTTATTTAAAAATATGCAGTGATCAACATTTGTTGTGCATAAAATATAAAATAGAACTTGCTCATTATCTTTTCCACATTTATTTTCAATAACATTGCAATAAGAAACTGTATGTGTTTGTTTTCTTGTCAGATAGTGAAAATAAAGTGATATACTTCCGGTTTGATTGTTTTCTCTGAAATTTGAGAAATTATATGTTCCTGAACTTCCATCAAGTTGAATATGAATTGATGAATATAGTCTACATTTGTTGTTTGTGATGTTGTTCTTATCAAAATGGATATCACCACTCCCAATTCCTAATGTTCCACTTCCTTTACCTTCATTTTCTCCGCAATTAATTACTGAAACTTCAATTGCATAGTTTTTGCTAGATGAAGACGATTTAACAAAATGAACAAAAGCCATTTGATTTTCTGATGTTGATTTATAATAACATGTTCGTTGTTGAACAAATTGTCCTTCTTTTGTGCATACGTAGTGAACAGATCCACCATATGATGTGGAACTGCAGTGATTAAATACTGTTTCTTCTGCAAATGTGACTATCTCCTTATCGCTTTCAATGTAAATTGCACCCTTTGCTTTGCAATTTTCAAAGTAGCAGTTAAAAATGTAATAATTATTAGAACTTGTTTCATCATATAATGCAGTTCCGTTTTTTGTCTTATAGTATTTATCTTGACTGCCAAAATATTCTTCCCAGCTAAACTTTCTTGCATTTTTCAAATTTAATCAGAGTTTTTACGTACTTTGATGAGTTAATAGATTTATTTATCCCATAAAAATGATTCTCTGCTTTGATTTGCATTACAATATTCAATACAAGAGGAGTTATTGGAATTTTTAATTTTTAATAAAAGTGACAAAATACCTTTCAAGATTGGTTAATGAACAGAATTGTCAAGAGATTGGTTAAATTACTAGTCACTGAAACATAGTTGAAGAATCTATTGCGGGAGATCTGAGAATCATAAATATAACATATATTATAAGTATGAGACAAAAAATGGAAGCCCCATTCATATCTCACTTTTCTGTCATTAGCAACCCCTGCACACTATTTTCGTTTTGATGAAAATAATTCTGCTGAAGCAATTTTTGTAAATTGGTAAATAATAAATTATTTGAGGTGGCATTTGTATTTATTGAACAAATTTCTGTGGAAATATGAGTAAAATCATTAAAGTCGTAATTATCTTTTAGATTTGTAAATGTGATAGTCCTTTGATTTTGTTGATGATTTTGATTCAATCATGAATCTTTAATTGTCAAAGTTAAACTTTGATCATATGAAATAGCAGTTGTACAACTTCCTCTTTCTTCATTTTCTTTGCAATTATAAACAGAAACATATAGAGCGTAGTTCTTTTTATCATTATTGGCTTTAACCTTTTAATGAAATGACCGACCAAAACGACCAATTGATCTATAATAATATGTTCGTAGCTGTACAAATTGTCCATTTCCTTGAGAGCAGCTAAAATACACATATACAGCTTTTGATGAATAAAACATCTAATAAAGCCAGAATTTTCAAGTAAAGTGTGTATTTTATTATTTCTTTCAATGCAATTCGCACCATTATACTTGCATTCTATAAAATAGTTATATACCCGGTATACATCTAATAAAGCCAGAATCTTTAACAAACTTCGTTGTGGCAATACCACTTCCAACAAAGCAATCTCCTGATCATTGGATACAACGCGGTGCTGCTTTACTTGTTGCAACTCCTGAATAAAAATAATATTTATATTTCTAATATATACTATAAATGCATGCATAAATTGAAGATTATCTCAATAAAGTAAATCATCTTATTTTGATTGTTTAAGAATTTGAGTTGATACTGATGTAAATATTTATTTCCTTTTTGATGGAAATAATCCTGCTGATACTGTTTTTGCAATTTTGGAAAGAGAGATAAGAGATATCAATTGTGGTAATTTTTGGATCTATTAAACAATTTTCTTTGTAAAAATGTGTAAAAGTATTAAAATCATAATTATCTCTTAGATTATTAAATGTAACAGTTCCTAATCCTGTTGTTGAATTTGAGCCAATATATGATTCTGAAATAGTCAGAGTGGAATCATCTGCTTCTTGTCCAAACATGTACTTTGCAGTGTTGTTCAAAAATATGCAATTATCTACATTAGTTGTACCTTTGCAAAAAAATAGAACTTGTTCATTGTCTGTTCTGCATTTATTTCCAATAACATTGCAATTAGAAAATAATTGATTTAATAAACGATTTAAAGTTTGAAAATAAAGTGAGATACTTCCAGTTTGATTGTTTTCTCTGAATGTTGAGAAATTACATGTTCCTGGATTTGCACTTGCAATAGAAACTGATGAATATAGCGTGCATTTATTGCTTGTGATATTATTATTCTCAAAATGGATATCACCATTTAAAATGGCACATGTTAAACAACCTTTTTCTTCATTTTCTCCGCATTCGGAAACTGAAACTTCAATTGCATAGTTTTTATTGGAAGGAGATTGTTTAACAGCTTGGCCAAATGCCATAGCTGAATCTGCTATTGACTTATAATAACAAGTTCGTTGTTGAACAAACTGTCCTTCTTCTTGGCAGATAAATAAAACAGATCCACCACCATTTTTGAATGTGGAACTGCAGTTATCAAATACTGTTTGTTCAACTAATGCGCATATTCTGTTAGATCTTTGAATGTAAATGGCACCATTTTCTTTGCATCCTTCAAAAGTACAAAGAAAAACGTAATAATTGGATGAACCTGTATGGTCAAATAGGGCAGTTCCGTTTTTTGTCTTATCGTATTTATCTTGACTCCCAAAATATTCTTCCCAGTTGAACTTTCTTGCATTTTTCAAATTTAATTTGAGTTTTTACGTATTTTGATGAGTTAATAGGCTTGCTCATCCAATTACAAACATTCTCTACCTTTAATTTGCATAACAATATTCAATCCAAGAGGAGTTATTGAGATTGTTTATTTTTTAATAAAAGTGACATTTTTAATATTAATTCTAATTTTTGCATCACTTATATAAATCAATCTTTAAATATTAAAAATAGAAACTTCTTGAATTTTTGTGTCAATTTTTCAGAAATATATAAGATGTCATTAAAAATGGAGGAAATTGAGTTACTTAAAGAAGAAAGTAGTAATAGCAATATTTCTTCAAAAGTTAAGAAATTGATTATACTATCTGTATTGATTGTTGTCATTGTTTTTGCGATTTTCATTTTCTTCAGCAAAGTAACAAAAATAGAAATCAAGAAAACACAGAATTTGTATAATAAATTACCTTCAAAATACTTCATTAGTTCAATTTACTCAATTCCTCTTAATACAGAATACAAAGCACAAAAATCTTGGCTTTACACATCATTAAACATAATGGAATCTCTCTACAAATACAATGGATACATGAAAGGATTCTTAAATGAAACAGAATACGTAAAATTTTCTCCTTATTACATTTCAGACACACTAAATTCATTTTGTTCCAAAAATACTAATATTGAACCATGTAATTCGACACGGACAGAAGGAAAATCAATATATCCGACATTTGAAGACTTCGCGAAATTTATCAAAACGTATTCAAGTATTTTGATACCAGAAAGTGCATGTAAAGTTCAAAACAACAAATGTAATGTTGATACTGATGTATATTCAGACAGTAAAATAGATTTCAATATGGAAAGTTCAAAAATTGTAACAACAATTTCTCAAATAAAAGAATTATTATATAAAAATAGATCTCCTTTGGGTTTTGTGATGCCAATGCCTGCAACAAGATACAAATTGCCATGTTCTGATATCTTAGTCAATCAAACAGAACTTTGTAAGAAAACATCATTAGGATTTGGATATTTGACTTTCAACGAATCTTTTGAATCGAATGGTCCATCTTTCTATCATATCACAGGAGATGTAATCAAAACAGAAACAAGATCGTTAGAATTAATCGGATGGGATGATAATTTCATTGAACCTCTTTCATCAAACATCACAAATGCACCACCAACAAAAGGTGCATTCATATTTAAAGGCACATGGGGCTCAACTGGTCACTCAAGAGAATATCTTTCAGGAATTATTCCTAGAAACATAGAAAACGCTCTTTGCCCGAATAGTTATGATCCATTGAACTTTATTCCTGCTTCTTTACAGTGCGTTGCTGAGAACGGAGGAGATTTAAGCAAATGCTCAACAGATATGAGTTCTACTGGAGCAACCCAGCTTGTTTGTGTTGATCCAAACTTCTGTAATGAAGACGAATCATATTTTGTCACTAGAAACTCAGATTTGTCAAAATCAGCTTCGATATACACAGAAAATAACATAGTTTATCCAATTATTAGGTCCATCAAAGGATCTGTTGTATCATCTATGCAATTCCCTGTTCCATTTTCTCATTTACATAAAGTTTTTGCTCCGAAATCTCCAATACCCAACAATGAAGCTTTTTGCGGCCATGTTGCAATATCTTATAGAGTAATTGAAGAATTACAGAGATTGTCTAATCCATATTCCGAATCAATTCGTGCAATTTCTCTTGAAGTCAATTTTTATAACGAATCTTATGCTGCTTATAAGAAGAAAGCACATAAATTCACTAAGAATTCAACAAGTAACTTCCAACCTATAACTTCCAAGTTTACTTTTACTGATTTATAAATAAATTGTTTAGTTTTATTTTTGTACCAAAATGTTTACTTTTTATGCTTAATTCTTAAACATAGACGTTTTCAAATAATATAAACTATTACAAGTTTGAATATAAAACAAATTTGGTTTCAACCTTCTATAAGTTAACTGAATTATATACTTAAATCTGTTTACTTATTTAAGTTTGGCTATAATTTGAGGAATATGATAAGCAAAATAGAAATGAAATACATATTTGTAGAAAGGTTAAAATTATTTGTTCGAAAAAGCAAAATTGAATAGACATATATGATCCGATATAGAATACAAGACATTTATTTTCATCAACAAGTTAAATAAAAGAATTCAAACAAAATTAATTTTCATTGACCTGAAATAGATCAATTTTTTCAGCATTGCTGAAGGTCATGTAAACTTCAGGAGTTATATGTGGTAGCTTCGAAAGTAATTCGACATTTCCGGCGATAACAGAATGTGCGTCATTAACTGGAATTTTAAGAATCGCAATAGCGCGGTTCGGATCTGTATCATCTTTTGGATCGAAATCTTTGTTTTTACTTGATATGATGTTTGATTCTAATTTATCTTCTATTCTTTGACGTCTTTTACGCATCCAGTCCAAAATGTATATAACTGATGTAACAATAATCACTATAAGTGATATAATAATTGTTATGTTTAACATTAATGGGGAGTTTTCCCATATTTTAATTCCCATCTCGGAATTAAAAAGTGACAAAAAGCTTTTTCAAAATTTCTCTTTTTATTGATCCAATATATGCCTATTTTCACTTGCTATTTCTTTAGATTTTTTGTAAAGCTCACAAAATAAAGGAATACAGATTGAATTTAGATTTTTGCGGCAGAAATGCATCCACATGATTCAAATTTATGATGATTATTGAGGATTCCATTCGAACTGCATTTTTTGTAAGGGGGTGTTTTGAAGATTCAGCGGAAATTTGACATAATGAAGAAATTTTTTGTAAATATCAAATAACTCAACCAGTCTATCGTAGTTCAGTAATATTATTTCAAAATTGAATGATCCGAATGTGATTGGTGATTCCTCTTTCAATATTATGTCAGTTTTTTATTGAAATCTTTGTGAGATGATTAGTGGCATTCGATCTGTGGAAGATCTCGGCAAACTTCTTCCACAATTCGTAGTCCACAATGAAGATTTTCAATTCGTGAAGTCAATTGGAAAAGGTGGCTTCAGTGAAGTATTCAGTGCATCATACACACCAACAAAGCAGATGTGCGCAGTAAAAAAGCTAAAATTCCGTGATTTATCAGGCAAAAACTTCGAAGCTCTTTCAAGAGAACTCCAAATCCTTTCAAAAAACGCTCATCCTTACTTATTAGGTTTCGTGGGCTTCTCGATAGATCGCCCATTTATCATTGTGACAGAATACTTACCTAATGGATCCCTCTTTGACGCGCTCCGCTGGAAAGATAACCATAAGCCTTTGACAGGAACTCAAAAAACTTTAATTGCAATGTGTATAGCAAGCGGAATGGCAAAATTACATAAGAATCGCATCATGCATCGCGATTTGAAGTCTCTTAATATACTTCTCGATGAAGATTTGCTTCCTCGTGTAATTGATTTCGGATTGTCAAAATTTTATGATGAGAAAGATGAAACACTTACGGAAGTCCTCGGAACAACGCATTGGATGGCACCAGAATTATTCGAAAATAAAGGATATACAAATAAAATCGATGTTTACGCTTACGGAGTGCTTCTTTGGGAGATGCTTACCAACAGTATTCCTTACGCAGGCAAATCCAATACACAGATCATATACGATGTCGTTAAAAAAGGAAAAAGACCTCCAATTCCCATCAGAACTCCTTCTGGTCTCAAAAACCTCATAAACGCATGCTGGGATCAGAATCCGAACAGCAGACCTACGTTTAAAGAAATTTTCCAGCAGTTTGCAGCGAATATTGCTTATTACGACGGAACAAACAAAGATGACATTGCCAGTCAAGTCACGAAGATCAAGATATCGAAACATTCACCTAAATCATTCAAACAACCTGAAGGATTAAGAGCATCTGAAATAAAAACTTATGAACAGCCGAAAGACGACTACGAAATACTTATTAAGCTTGATTCTCTTGTAGATATTAACAGACAAGATTACGAAGCGATGCTTAAAGAAATTGTTTCGATTCTTCCATCAGATTACGCGGATTCGTTCTTTGGAGTCATTGGAAACATTTTATCACCGACAACACCCATCAAGATCATCCAATTACTTCTTTCTGCTATAGAAAAGTTCATTTATCAAGAACAAATTTTTTATAAAGTTTTTATTCAGAAGAAAATCTACGCAAAGCTCACCTTTAAAGACAAATCAGTTGCGCATCAACTCCTAGGTATCTATCTACAGTTCTTTTCCAATTCTCCCGCTGAAGTTTCGGATGAAATTATTGATACAGTCAAATTCTACATTCCAACGCATCCTATGCATGTTTTACGTCTTATCAATGCATATACATGCAATAAAAGGTGCAGGAAGAGCGCTCTTACGAAGTTTTGGTCATTTGCGGATATGGTCTTTCAATATGACAAAGAATTCATTAACGGAGGTGTTGCACAAGGCCTTGCTAAGCTTATTTTCACTTTGTTGGCCTTATATCCTCAGTTTTTGAAGGCAAGATTACAATATATCCAAAACACCCTCAAATCGATACTTCTTAGAGGTGGAAACGAAGCAGCCATCGCCTTAGACATGATGTGTGCTGAAAACGACCTCCATGTCGCTCTTCCTGAAAATTTTGTATCACAAAATTTGGATGAACCAATGTTAGGCCACAGAATACTAACCTGGATCATCAAATGCCCACAGTTCATCACGGAATCAGTCATCCAAGCCTTGATTGCCTTAGCGGAAAAGAATATCGACGCAACTCTCGTTTTGTGTGAGGTTTCTAAGAATCCGGACAACGCTAAGATCATTTTCTCATCAATGAAATCATGGGTAGTCATGAGTTTGCCCACTCTTGAGTACACATTGAAATTATTGATGGTAATTCTTTCCCACGAGTTCTGTCGGACCAATTTACCACAAGAGATCATTATTTTCCTTCAAAGCATACTCGAAAATGAAGGAGATCTCTATGAAACAATTTATCCAATTTTTATGTCGATAGAAATCACTCCTGCGATGGTCAAACTCTCACAGCAGTTCATAGAAAGGCTTTTTGATAAGACTTTCCAGAGAGGAAACTCCGATTTGATTATTGAATCTCTCAGAATAATCAAGAAAATCGCGGAAGTGGGCTATTCACCTGGATTCATCACCATTCTGCCGTACATACACAGAATGATCACAACAAATGGCTGGGCAGTGCTTGTTGTGCCAATTGTTGCACTTTTCAGCAAACATCCAGAAATGAAAGAGCATTTGAGCGGAAGTAAGATATTGAGAGAGATACAGTTCATCAAGGATGAATCTGTACAAGCGGATATTGAAATTATAAGATCGAATATTCCATTCTAATATGTTTTGTAAATTATATAATTTCGTTTATAAATTTTTTTATGATTTTTTTAAGGGTGCACTTACGCCCCTATGACACGGCCTTTAATTCAGATGTTTAAGGTTAATTTTCAATGGTGCTTCACGCCAGTTGTCAAAAATTTGAATTAATGTCAGATGGGCGTAAATGCAGCCTTAAGGGTGCACTTTCTTACATCATCTCCCAAGATGCACATTAAATAATAAGCATCTTATATAGAAATACTAATCCTATGCTCCATGTGAAAGAAGAAATTTGATAAACTCTTTATTATTTTTACTTGCTGCATGGCGAAGAGCGGTTTCTCCTTTTTTATCTTTTTCATTTATATTTGCACCATGCGAAATAAGTAATTCTGCTGTTTCTTTACTATTAAAACGTGCTGCATAATGAAGAACAGTTTGTCCATCGTTATCTTTTTCATTGATATTCGCGCCATGCGAAATAAGAAGTTCTGCTGTTTCTTTATAATTATAACTTGCTGCAACATGAAGAGCGGTTTGCCCATATTGATCTTTTTCATTGATATTCGCGCCATGCGAAATAAGAAGTTCTGCTGTTCCTTTATAATTATAACTTGCTGCATAATGAAGAGAAGTTTGTCTATCCATATCCTTTTGATTGATATCTGCACCATGTGAAAGAAGAAGTTCGGCTATTTCTTTGCTATTTAATTCTGCTGCATAGAGAAGAGCAGCTTTTCCATTTTCTCTTTCATTGATATTTGCAATATGTGAAAGGAAGTATTCGAGTAAGGATGGAATGTTGAGTATTGCTGAATAAAGAAAGCATTTGTTAACATCATTAGTTTGATCAAAATAAACTAATAAGGATTCAAGATTATTAAATTTTGCACAACCTTCTAAATTGATATTAATATTGTATTCATTCATCAAGAATGTAACAAAATCAATGTTGTGTGAAATAATTGCATACTCCATACATTCTTTATCGGGTCTTTGATTTTTCAAACATTCACTCATTATCTCTGGATTTCCTCTTAAAAATGAAAATTTTAGACATGTTTGAGTTATTTCTGAGTTAAATTTTGTTCTTAAGAACTTAAAACAGTCAACTGCCCGATGGTAACAACATAATTCAAGTAATGAATATCCATAATAAGAATGAGGATATAAAGTGCTACCGAGTATTTGATCTTTATCAAATCCATCTATTTCTGTGAATGTAATGAATCTTTCTAAGTCATTATACATAATTGCTCTGTAAATTGTATCTTCTGTATGAAAATTGAGATTTTCTGAGTTAATTGTTTCGAATTTATCAGATTTGTCTAATTTAATTCCATATTCTTTATAAAATAGGTATCTAACAGTTAATGAAACTTTGGTTTCCTCGTTTATTTGATAATTATCATATATAATTTTGGCAAGAGATAAATATGACTTTGTGTAGCGATTATTATACGGTATAATTTGCAAAATATCTTTGATAATATTTTGAGGAGGATAGTTCTTGGATTCAATCAATTCTGTTTTGATCATTTTGTAAATCTTGTTTATTTCTTCTTCATTTTCAGTTTTCAGCTGATACAATGCATTATATGAATCGATGTAGTATTTACACATACTTCGCAATTCACTGTATTTATTTTGGTGAGTGTCTTGATCAGACATTAATAATTTTTTATAAGGATACAATTATACTATTTAAAACATTTTTAAAATTCATTGTGAAAAATAAATGCTACATGATATCTGTGGAAAAACACTGATCACAAAAATTTCAGATTACATTTATGCATTTTGATTAAGTTTGTAGATATGAAATAACACAATTACAACATGAATGTCTCAATCAATAATATTTTCATCAAGATGCGTATTTTAAAAGCGTTATTTGCTAATGGAAGTTATATACAAAGTTATAAGTTAAACTTATATATATATATTTTTACCCAAAGTTCTTTCAATTATATTGATATGGAGGAAAAGTTCTTTCAATTACATTGATAAGAAGGAAAAGTTCTTTCAATCGGAGAAGATAATAATTTTCTCCAAGCAAGATCCTTGGTAGTTCCTATTATTATCAGAATTGGCTTAAATGAATGATATTACAATAGCAATTGAGCAAAATATAAAAAATTGTCACTTTTTGATTTTTTTAAAAAAAGATTTTATGGAATTAAAAGTCGGAACTATTATAGAATTTATGGGTAAAAAGGGTGAGATAAAGTTTGTTGGGCCTTATGCTGACAGACCTGAGCCTTACGTAGGAATTGAACTTGAAGTTCCAAAAGGAAAAAATAGTGGCATCATTAAGGGCGTTAAAATGTTCGAATGCAGAGAAAATCATGGTATATTTGCAAAATATAACGATATTTTAAAGTTTTGCAAAATAATTAATCCAAATTCGCCAAATATCCAAAAATCTCCATCAAGTGTTTCATTTCAAGAAATACCTCCGAACGAAGCATCTCCAAAACCACTTACTAAGTCTCCTTCTGATGCATCTCTACAAAATTCTCCTTTATCTCGTTCAAAAACTTTTTCATCCGATAGTTTAATAGAATCACGCGAAGCATTAGAGGCCAAACTCAAGAAATATCAAGAATACATCTCAATAACCAAAGAAAAACTCGAAAAATTACAAGAAAAAACTAATATTGTCCAAAAACTTATTCAAAGGAAAGAAATAGAAAACGAAGCAGATCTAAATGGTCGCAAACAAGAGTTCGCCAAGATCATTTACAAAAAACAGATAAAACTCGAACAAGATTTGATAAAAATCGAAGAAGAATGTATACAATCTGCCAGACGCGTCAGAGTCTTAGCGGAAACAGCTGATGGTCGTGTTTCAAAGGCAAAAATCGTATTACTTGAGAAAATTAACAATGAACATATTGAATATCAACAATCTCTTCAACAACTGCTTGATGCGCAGAGAATCAACTTAAGTACAGCTAGTAGATCAATACAGACCCTTAAAAGAAGAGTTCCGAGAACTGCAAACACTTTAAAAAAGCATCAACAAAATTTAGAAATTCTCAAAAAAAATTTGAAAGAAATTGAAGGTAAATTATCGGAAAAAGTACCAGATTTCAAAGACGTGAATGATCTAAAAGAGAAAGTAGACAAGTTAAGACTAGAAGACAAAGAAATTAAGTTAAAAGAAAAAATGAAAGAAATTGATTCCGAAATTATGACTTGTTTCATCACGGAAATCATGCAAAAGGACAACCCATTGATTGTATTAGCGTTTAAAGTATCTTTGTTGCATGCAAAAGCGAAATCTTATGCTGAATTTGCAAATGGCAAGAAAAAAGCTTTGGCTTTCTATCTATTGTATATATTAGAGTTCATACAAGTCATACTTACGGGATTCCACTCAAGAGTCTCCGGATTTCAAGAAATTGTTGAAGAATTAGATAAAATTTCAAATTCTATTGATAATGGAAAATTAACTATTGATTGTAGCAAGCTTGTTAATATTACGAAGGATATAACATATATCCAGCTCGATCAATGCTTAACTCCTCATTTTCTGAAATACATTTCTTATCTTTCGACAAATCAAGAGAACAAGTCCATTTTGACAGACATAGCGAATGAAATGGACATTTCCTTGCATCCAGACTTCATGGAACCCGAAGATGGGAAGTTATTAATGAAAATTATTTCTGAATTGAAGAATTCTCATAACGGAAATGTTTTCAACTCGATTGAAGATCTGATTAACCTTTATGAGAAGTATGGGAAGAGAAAGATGAGTTTTATCAACATTTTGAAGACAAAAGATGACGAAAACAAAAAAGCGAAAGAAAAATTAGTTCTTTTGGCCCAACAAGAGAAAGATAAGTACGAAGAACAAGTTCTGAAGATTGAGGAAGAAAGAGACAGACTTTGCAAAGAAAGACTTCAACTTTTGGAAAAAATCAAATCAAAGAAATAATATTTTTTATATTTATATTTTTATGTTTGTTTTTTATATTATAAATATTTTTTTCTATCTCAGGTCGCCAAAAAAGTTCGGAAATTAAAAATCGCAGTTTGAGTACTTGCTGATAGTCTGTTCGTCAGATAGTATACATTTGTAAACTATCTGCCACTAATTTTTTTTGTCCTTTCAAAGTTTTTGACAGTGTCAAAAAATATACATCGGTCTCTCATTTTTCCTCTCAAACGACGGTTTTTTTAATAAGCTCAATTTTTCATCGACCTTATAAGGCCGTCAAAATTTTTTTAAGGGTGCACTTACCACTTTCTGACATTCTCTCAAATTTCTTGTTTAAGGTTTTATTTTCTATGTCTCTTCACACCCGTATATCTCTTTTTGAGAGAGTGTCAGAAAGTGGTAAGTGCACCCTTAAAAAAAACTTAGATAACTTATATAAAACTTATTTTACTAATGTGACATATACTATATATGTCATATGAAGAAAATTAGTCTTGCCAATTTTGTGATATATTAATCGATTTTTGTGAAATGATCTCTTTTATAATGATCTTTTTTTCTTTCATCTGTAAGAAAAAAGATATGTTTCTCCATATTTTTCATTGATATTCGCACCATGTGAAATAAGAATCTCAATGATTTCTTTATTATTTTTACATGCTGCATAGTGAAGAGAGGTTTGTTCATCTATATCTTTTTCAATGATATTTGCATTATGTGAAAGAAGAAGTTCTGTTGTTTCTTTACTATTATAACTTGCTGCAATATTGAAGAGCAGTTCTTCCATATTTATCTTTTACATTGATATCTGCACCAAATGAAATAAGAATTTCAACTGTTTCTTTATAATTATAGTATGCTGCAATATGAAGGGCGGGTTTTCCATCGTTATCTTTATTATTGATTTTCGCGCCATGTGAAATAAGAAGTTCGGCTGTTTCTTTATAATTATAGTATGCTGTATTATGAAGAGCTGTTTTTCCTTTTTTGTCTTTTTCATTGATTTTTGCACCATGTGAAATAAGAATCTCAATGATTTCTTTATAATTATTGCATGCTGCATAGTGAAGAGAGGTCTGTCCGTCTATATCTTTTTCTTCAATATTTGCGCCATGTGCAATAAGAAGCTCAACGATTTCTTTACAATTATATTCTGCAGCAAGGTGAAGAACAGTTCTTCCAAATTGATCTTTTTCATTGATATTTGCGCCATGAGAAATAAGAAGCTCAGCTGTTTCTTTGCAATTATTATGTGCTGCATTATGAAGAGCAGTTTATCCAAAAAGATCTTTTTCTTCAAGATTTGCGTCATTCAAAACAAGAAGCTTGACTATTTCTATAATATTATTATCTGTGGCAAAATGAAGAGCAGTTTTTCCATATTCACATTTTTCATTGAGATTTGCACCATGCGAAATAAGAATTTCAACAGTTTCTTTGCTATTGTTTTCTGCTGCATAGAAAAGAGAGGTTTTTTTAAATTTATCCTTTCCATCGATGTTTGCACCATGGGAAAGAAGAAATTCAACTATTTCTTTATTATTTTTTATTACTGCATGGTGAAGAGCAGTTTTTCCTTCATTATCTTTTTCATCAATATTTGCACCATTTGAAATAAGAAGTTCAACTATTTCTTTATCATTATAGTCTGCAGCTTTATTAAGAGCAGTTTTTCCAAATTGATCTTTTTCATCGATATTTGCACCATGTAAAAGAAGAAATTCTGCTGTTTCTTTGCAAATATAATATGTGGCATTATGAAGAGCGGTTTTTCAACTTTCATCTTTTCCATTGATATTTGCACCATGCGAAATGAAATATTCCCAAAGAGATAGGATATTGAATAACGGTGAATAAACAAAGCATTTGTTAATATTATTAGTTTGATCGAAATAAACTAAAAATGATTCAAGATTTTTATGAACTCCGCAATTTATTAAACCTATGTCCATATTGTATTCATTCATTAAGAAAGTAACAAAATCAATGTTATGAGAAATAATCGCATACTCCATGCAAACTATGCTTGGTTTTTGATATTTCAAACACTCGCTCATTATCTCTGGATTTCCACTTAAAAATGAAAAAACTAGACATGTTTGAGTTATTTCTGAGTTAAATTTTGTTCTTAATAACTTGAAACAATCAACTGCTCCGTGATAGCAACATAACTCAAGTAATGAATATGTTTCGTAAATATGTGGATATAATTTGCTTTGTAGCCTTTGATCTTTATCAAATCCTTCTCTTTCTGTGAATGAAATGAATCTTTCTAAGTCATTATACATAATTGCTCTGTAAATTATATCTTCTGTATGAATATCAAGATTTTCTGACTTAATTGCTTCGAAATTATAAGATTTGTCTAATTTAATTCCATATTCTTTGTAAAATAGGAGGATTGAAATATCTTCTACTTTTTTGACCTCTTCCACATGATATTAATCATATATAATTTTGGCAAGAGATAAATATGACTTTGCATAGCGATTATTATACGGAATGATGTTTAAAATATTTCTGATAATATTTTTAGGAGGATAGTTCTTGGATTCAATCAATTCTGTTTTGATTGTTTTGTAAATCGAGTTTAATATTTCAGTATTTTCGGTTTTCAAGTGATACAACGTATTGTATAAATTGATGTGATATTGAAAGATACTTTGCAATTCACTGAATTTATTTTGGTGAGTGTCTTGATCAGACATTAATAATTTTTTATAAGGATACAATTATACCATTTAAAACATTTTTAAAATTCATTGTGAAAAATAAATGCTACATGATATCTGTGGAAAAACACTGATCACAAAAATTTCGGATTTCATTTATGCATTTTGATTAAGTTTGTAGATATGAAATAACACAATTACAACACGGATATCTCAGTCAATAATATTTTCATCAAGATGCGTATTTTAAAAGCGTTATTTGCTAATGGAGGTTATATACAAAGCTATAAGTTAAACTTATATATATATATTTTTACCCAAAGTTCTTTCAATTACATTGATATGGAGGAAAAGTTCTTTCAATTACATTGATAAGAAGGAAAAGTTCTTTCAATCGGAGAAGATAATAATTTTCTCCAAGCAAGATCCTTGGTAGTTCCTATTATTATCAGAATTGGCTTAAATGAATGATATTACAATAGCAATTGAGCAAAATATAAAAAAATGTCACTTTTTGATTTTTTAAAAAAAAGATTTTATGGAATTAAAAGTCGGAACTATTATAGAATTCTATTGCATTCAATTTTTTTACAAAAGTTTTCTTGCACTTTCTCTCAATTTTGGTGTAAACATCAGAAAAATAAGTATAAAAATCGAAGTCTTTAGTCCGTGTTAAAAACAAAATATGAAGAAAACCTTCAAAGGAAAGGTCAGGCAAGCATATAGGTATGCTTTTTTTAAAGTTTCATGGAAAATAATTTCCATAATCATTTTAAATTGCGTCGTAGAGATATGGAATTGTGATCCTTCAAGGGGCATCGATCCAACTAAGTAGTTGCTGGGCGGTCTTTAACCAGTGGAAAGGGAAAGGGAGAAAAGTTAGGAAGTGTTGTTGGCCTCCATTTAGAATATTTTTGAAATAGTATTCAATATTTTAAAAGATTTATATTAAGTTATATGATTTTTAAAGACATTCGATTTTTTCACTTTTTTTCTGAGTTTACAAAAAAATTGAGAGAAAGTTCCAGAAAACTTTCTTGTAAAAAATTTAGAAGGCTATAGAATGACATCATTCTTGCACTTTTTGAGCGATATACACTATGTATGTCATATGAAGAAAATCAGTCTTGCCAATTTTGTGATATATTAATCGATTTTTGTGAAATGATCTCTTTTATAATGTTTAATCGATGCATAAAAAAGATATGTTTCTCCGTATTTATCTTTTTCATTGATATTTGCACCATGTGAAATAAGAAGTTCAATGATTTCTTTACAATTATTACATGCTGCATAGTGTTGAGCAGTTTTTCCACATTTATCTTTTACATTGAGATTCGCACCATGTGAAATAAGAAGTTCTGCTGTTTCTTTATAATTATAACGTGCTGCATATTGAAGAGCGGTTCTTCCATCGTTATCTTTTTCATTGATATTTGCACCATGTGAAATAAGAAGTTCTGCTGTTTCTTTATAATTATAACGTGCTGCATATTGAAGAGCGGTTCTTCCATCGTTATCTTTTTCATTGATATTTGCACTATGTGAAATAAGAAGTTCAACCATTTCTTTAGTAGTTCGAGATGCAATATGAAGAGCAGTTTTTCCACATTTATCTTTTTCATTGATATTCGCACCATGTGAAATAAGAAATTCTGCTATTTCTATATAATTACAACTTGCTGCAATATGAAGGGCTGTTTTTCCATCGTTATCTTTATTATTGATTTTAGCACCAAGTAAAATAAGAAGTTCTACTGTTTCTTTACTATTATTCAATACTGCATATTGAAGAGCGGTTTTTCCATATTTATTTTTTCATTGATATTCGCACCATGTGAAATAAGAAGTTCTGCTGTTTCTTTACTATTATAACTTGCTGCAATATGAAGAGATGTTTTTTCATATTTATCTTTTTCATTGATATTTGCACCAAGTGAAATAAGAAGTTCTGCTGTTTCTTTATAATTATAACGTGCTGCATATTGAATAGCGGTTTGCCCATATTGATCTTTATTATTGATTTTAGCACCAAGTAAAATAAGAAGTTCTGCTGTTTCTTTACTATTATAACTTGCTGCAATATGAAGAGATGTTTTTTCATATTTATCTTTTTCATTGATATTTGCACCAAGTGAAATAAGAAGTTCTGCTGTTTCTTTATAATTATAACGTGCTGCATATTGAATAGCGGTTTGCCCATATTGATCTTTTTCATTGATATTCGCGCCATGTGAAATAAGAAGTTCTGCTGTTTCTTTATAATTATAACGTGCTGCATATTGAAGAGCGGTTCTTCCATCGTTATCTTTTTCATTGATATTTGCACCATGTGAAATAAGAAATTCGACAATCTCGTTATTATTTTTACATGATGCATGATGAAGAGCAGTTCTTCCAAATTGATCTTTTTCATCGATATTTGCGCCATGAGAAATAAGAAGCTCAGCTGTTTCTTTGCCATTATAATGTGCTGCATTATGAAGAGCGGTTTTTCCAAAAAGATCTTTTTCTTCAAGATTTGCGTCATTCAAAACAAGAATCTTGACTATTTCTTTAATATTATTTTCTGTGGCCAAATGAAGAGCAGTTTTTCCATATTCATCTTTTCCATTGATATTTGCACCATGCGAAATGAAATATTCCCAAAGAGATGGGATATTGAATAACGGTGAATAAACAAAGCATTTGTTAATATTATTAGTTTGATCGAAATAAACTAAAAATGATTCAAGATTTTTATGAACTCCGCAATTTATTAAACCTATGTCCATATTGTATTCATTCATTAAGAAAGTAACAAAATCAATGTTATGAGAAATAATTGCATATCCCATACATCTATAATTTGGTTTTTGATATTTCAAACATTCACTCATTATCTCTTGATTTCCACTTAAAAATGAAAATTTTAGACATGTTTGAGTTATTTCTGAGTGAAATTTCGTTCTTAAGAACTTGAAACAGTCAACTGCTCCATGATAACAACATAATTCAAGTAATAGATGTCTTTCTTTAGAATCCGGATATAATTTGCTTTTAAGTTCTTGATCTTTATCAAATCCTTCTCTTTCTGTGAATGCGATGAATCTTTCTAAGTCATTATACATAATTGCTCTGTAAATTATATCTTCTGTATGAATATCAAGATTTTCTGACTTAATTGCTTCGAAATTATAAGATTTGTCTAATTTAATTCCATATTCTTTGTAAAATAGGAGGATTGAAATATCTTCTACTTCTGTGACCTCTTCCACATGATATTAATCATATATAATTTTGGCAAGAGATAAATATGACTTTGTGTAGCGATTATTATACGGTATAATTTGCAAAATATCTTTGATAATATTTTGAGGAGGATAGTTCTTGGATTCAATCAATTCTGTTTTGATTGTTTTGTAAATCGAGTTTAATATTTCAGTATTTTCGGTTTTCAAGTGATACAACGTATTGTATAAATTGATGTGATATTGAAAGATACTTTGCAATTCACTGAATTTATTTGGATGAATGTCTTGATCGGACATTAAGGGTGGCTTCCGACCAAATTGTCACTTTTTAGCCCAAGTGAGAAAATTTCATAATTTATAACCAAGTTTTTTAAAATCTATATTTAATAAAGATTCTATTTTTCTTATTAAATTTCAAAAATGAGGGGGTTCGGAATCGTCCACAAATTGCCGAAAGGGTTTTTGCCAGTTTTGAATCTGCTTATTTTTATCGACCAAAATTATAATAAATATAATTTTCGATAAGTATTCTACCCAAATGATTCTTCAAAAAATTATTTTTCGGATTTTATTCCGTAAAAAAACGTTACAGAAAACGCTTATAAAATTTCGAATTTTCCCTAAAAAATTCAGTGCAGGTCGATTTAAGAGATTTTTCAAAAATAATCATATCAGTAGATAGGGTATAATATAGAGAAGCTTTATGAATAACTCAAAATCCGGGAAACTCAATATTCAACGAGAAAAACGCTTAACGAATCTCACTTTTGGTGTAAACATCACAAAAAATTGAGAGGGCTTTCTAGTCGGAAGCCTCCCTTAAAAAATTTAAAAGTAGTGTATTGATAAAATATCATAAAAATCATTGTATGTAATTGTTTATGGAACAGATACAAAAACGTATTGTCGATTTAATTGATTTCGGATATAAAAAGTAATATTTTCAATTGTTGTTCATTTATCTGTATTGTTTTCCATGATTTCATGTATCAAATTGAACAAAAATAAAGTTTTTACCGACAATTATTTAAAATTCAGTAAAACTCTATAAAATTGCAAAATTAAAATGTCTTAGGTAATGTTCAAACATTAACTCTATCAAGACACTATATTCTCTATTTTTTTTTCTAAAAAAGTGACAAATTCCTTTTAAATGATTGATTCCATTTTAGACCAAGTTGAAGCAAATATGGAACCATCACTACAAAGGAAGGCTTATTTAGAAGGAGTTATTAACCAATATAGAGAATTAAATGATCAAATCGCTGAATTAGAATATAAAATCGAAAGAGAAAACAATTTTAGAGAAAATTTTGAACTTCAAAGAGATATCAATTTACAGCAACTTCAAAAAATCCAAAATGAATACAATCAAACTAAAGAAGATTTAGAAAAATCCGCAATCAAAAATGCCGTTCTTTCAAGTGCAAATTCTTCGACCCCATTAATTTCCCAAAGAACAAGAATCATCGGAAATACAAATTTTGTTCAATATGCAAGACTTCAATCTCAAATATTGAATTTGAAGCAAATTTATCTCCAAAAAATAGATACGCTTTCAAAACTAAGAAGATCTGTCTACTGCCTTGACAATAACGAAGAATTTACTTACAATGAACAACCAGATTTGTTTTCTTTCCAAGAAACTCATCCAGATATATTACAAAGGATGAAAACGCCATTACTATGTCCTAAATATGAAGCTGGCAGTATTATTTCTTCAATAATTCCATCAGATCTTCAAAATTCAATAAATCAAGAAAATAATATCGAATTTCACTCAACATCTTTCATTCCAAAGTACTTGAAATCGAAGCCTATTGACAGCCTGATTACCAGTTTCTTCGTAAATTCAGAAGAACAAGGAAAAATTCTTCAAACAAAGAAACAAAGGCTAAATGATCTGAACAATCAAATATACCAACTTGACAATGATAGATACAACATAATAAATAGTGTAAGAATTAATTTGGCCGACCATTTAACAGAAATTCAGCAAAAAAGATTTAAATTATGTTCAGAAGTGATATTTGAAGCCCAAAAGCAGATCAATCAAGCACAAACTATTGTTGATGGTCTAAACCAATGTTTCCATGGCGAAAATCATGAAGTTTTCGCTAATGATACTCAAATTAAATTATTAATCAACGATATCACAAAAGATGTCCAGCAAATCATCTCCAAAGGCAACAGATTGTTTGTAGCACCATCATTGACCCCAATTCAGTTCCAGGATCCTCCGAAATTAATAATTGACCAAATTTCAACAGAACAAATCACCAGATGCAAAGAGAAGATCAATAAGTTGAATGAAATACTCGATACATCCGAAAACTACCAAAATCTTGCTATAGAAGAGCTAAATGAAATTGTTGAATCTTTAACCAACATTTCAAAGTCCCAGACCACTTCACTTTCTAATTTATCGATTTCGGATAACTCTCTAAACGACGATAGCGATGAAATCGAAAAATTCCTTGAATTAAAACGGAAAGTTTTATCTAAGCAGAAGGAGAGACTCACAGACCTCAAGGACATGATCGAGATGCTTCCAGATACTGTTAAAAGCCTTGAAGTTGAAAATATCCCAGAAATCGAAGAATCAAAAATTCAAAAAGATAATTTCATGGAAGAAATCGAAGTTATGACACCACCTGTATCAGATCCTTTCACTGATTCGAACCAAGTTTGTTGCAGAAGATTTTGAGCAGAAAAGTCGAAATTAAAGAAAATCCAGAAAACGTTGAACCAAAAACAAGAAATGTTGATTATAAAACAGGTAAATTCCAAGAGTAAGATTGATTCGTGGACAATATCATTGGTGAAGGTCTTGATATCGATTTTTCAAAAGAAATAAAAAGAAATTCGTTGAAGAAGAATTTTCAGAAACAATTTCTAAAGAAATGTCAGCACTTGAGACAAAGATATTTCGACACGAATCAGAGAAAAAAGACAAACAAAGTTGAAAGAGCTTCGTGATCAAGTTGATTCATCACGTGATGAATACGAACAAATCAAGAGTTTCATTCATCAATCACAGAAAAAGATTGAAGAACTCAATGAAAAAATTAATTCTACAAACGAAAATATCAATCAAACTAAACAAGAAACAGAAAGAATTGATCACGAAAACAAAGAATACGAAGAACTCGTTTCGAAGAAGAAAACATTGATTGAAGAAATCTCTAAATTTAAGACAACAAGTGAAAGAGAAAACAACAAGATATTGGAACAGATAAAGAAACTATCTTCACAATCAAACAAACAGAAAGATAAATAAAAAATTTATTTATATTTTATCTTCTTCGATGAACTTTGAGATTGAATGAACGATGATTTGTTATTTTAAATGTAATTTGATTTTCTGGTTGTAAGTAACAATTTTCTGTGTGAAAATGTGAAAAATTATTATTGAAATCGTAATTATCTCTTAGATTATTAAAATAAACTGATTCTGATCCTTTTGTTGAATTTGATTCAACATATGATTCTGAAATAGTCAAAGTGGAATCTTCTGCATATTTTTGAAACATGTACTTTGCAATGTTATTTAAAAATATGCAGTGATCAACATTTGTTGTGCATAAAATATAAAATAGAACTTGCTCATTATCTTTTCCACATTTATTTTCAATAACATTGCAATAAGAAACTGTATGTGTTTGTTTTCTTGTCAGATAGTGAAAATAAAGTGATATACTTCCGGTTTGATTGTTTTCTCTGAAATTTGAGAAATTATATGTTCCTGAACTTCCATCAAGTTGAATATGAATTGATGAATATAGTCTACATTTGTTGTTTGTGATGTTGTTATTATCAAAATGGATATCACCACTCCCAATTCCTAATGTTCCACTTCCTTTACCTTCATTTTCTCCGCAATTAATTACTGAAACTTCAATTGCATAGTTTTTGCTAGATGAAGACGATTTAACAAAATGAATAAAAGCCATTTCATTTTCTGATATTGATTTATAATAACATGTTCGTTGTTGAACAAATTGTCCTTCTTTTGTGCAGCCGTAGTGAAGAGATCCACCATATGATGTGGAACTGCAGTGATTAAATACTGTTTCTTCTGCAAATGTGACTATCTCCTTATCGCTTTCAATGTAAATTGCACCCTTTGCTTTGCAATTTTCAAAGTAGCAGTTAAAAATGTAATAATTATTTGAACATGTTTTATCATATATAGATGCTCTATTTTGTATCTTTTCGATCTTAGGTGCGTTGCCAAAGTATTTAACCCAATTGGGATTTATTTTTTCTGGTTCACAGAAACAATTATCATTATAAATATGCGTAAAATCATTAAATTTGTAATTATCTGTTAAATTATTAAATTTGACAGATCCTGGTCCTGTTGTTGAATTTGAGTCAACATATGAATTTTTAATTGTCAGAGTTGAACTTTGATCAGATTGTTCAAACATGAATTTTGCAATGTTATTTAAAAATATGCAGTGATCGACATTTGTTGTGCATGAACAATAAAATAGAACTTGCTCATTATCTATTCCGCATTTATTTCCAATAATATTGCAATAAGAAACTATTTGAGTGTATGAATCTAAAGTTTTGAAATAAAGCGATTCACCTTGAGTTTGGTTGTTTTCTCTGAATGTTGTGAAATTACATGTACCTGAACTTCCTCTAAGATTAATATAATTTGATGACGTTTCGCCACATATATTGTTTGTGATGTTGTTATTCCCAACATATATTACTCAGTTTTATACAGTGAACACGGATAAAGCAATGATCTTATAAAGCTATGCATTTGATAAGGGAACTGTAGAGTAATAATAAAATTTGCTTTTTATAAAAAAAAATGACAAAAAATGCGATTTAATTCAATTACATTTATAAATGATTGAATTATATGGTATTGATCGATAATCAACTAAATGAGAATTTACAAAGTTTTTTTAACAAAATTTTGAGAATTTATAGTACTCTCAAAATCTTAGGTTCGGCCTCAGAAAAATTTGTGAATGAAAATTTTCTCTATATAAGTAGTGCATATTATTCTAATTAATATTTTATAAAAATATAGTTTGAATTAAAATCGATTATTTTCCTGATTGATATCTATCCAAAGATATAAAGCATACTGTGTTCATAGACATAAGAATAAAAACATATTTGTATAGTTTTGTTGACTAATTTCATATTTTCGGAACTTTTTTGTTGACATTAATGATAAAAATATAGATTTAACATTAATGTATAAGACAATCATTATTTATTGCTACTGTATGAGTAATGTATATAGATAGAACCAGCTAATCTCAATATTTGATTTCAATTTATTTAATATTTTACATTTGGATCTAATTTTATAAGAAAATATAGATGGATATCAAGTTCACTTTAAAGAGAATGAAATTAAAGTCTTAGATAAATCATTTTTAATTTTAAACGGCAACTTTCCCACATGCGAGAATACTCACGAAACCATTAATCCAAGCAGTCATACATGTATTTCAACATGCAGTCTAGCTATTCTAGACGATACTGCAAAAAATATTGATATTACGTGAAGTTATTGACTCATTCATTAGATTTTTACGTTGGAACCATCGTATTAATGAATGCCATAATGCACTTGGATGTACCCATTATATTGACAAGCGCACAACTCCATTTTTCCATGATTTGATAATTCAAAATTTTATCCTGAATCAATTACGGAGCTTCTGTTTCAAATATTGAAGTTATACATATTGTTATATTGTTTTGTAAAAGAATTTATAGTACTTTTTAAAAAACCGTTTTTGCAAAAATCTCGGGAACAAAATCCCCTCAATTTTATTTGAGAAATTCGTAAACTACTCAAAATTGAGAGCCATGTTCCCGAGATTATTGCATTACTATATTAGAATTGATAAAGCCTTACACAAAGCAATATTTGGTTTGTGATTTATATGTGAACTTGTTGGTTGCAATGTGGACTTTGTACGTAGTGAAACCTTTCAATTTGAAGATTTCTCTGAATTCAAGATGATTTCAAAGTTATTTTCTTCAAAAAAATTATGAAAAGTTTTCAAAAAGTTATGATAACGATTCTTATTAAATAAAAAAGTTTTTTACTAAATTTTTAATAATAATTTTGAGCTAAAATAGCATTTCCAAGTAATAACTGAGCTAGCATATATGTACCAAGAATTTCAATACGGCAAAGACCCTTTGCAATACCAAGAATTGTACTTATTAAAATAAAATCAGATGTCATGAAGGAAATATAACCAAAGTAGCCGAGTAAGAAGGATTTATTACTGAATCCAAGTTGTCCAACACGTCCTGAAACTCCTAATAAAGCATAATCTAAAAAGCAACAATAAGTGAATAGGCACCATCCAAATACAGTCTTAAAGTTCGCGTTTTTAATTATCTTATATTGTTGAGCAGCAATGAATGGGAATGCTAAAACTAATGCTCCTATTGGATAATGTGCCCAGTCAACATGAAAAGCATGTATTATTGCAAAATGTCCAATTGTAAAAGATAATCCTCCTAAGTTTACAGCAAGATTTGAATCTGATAAGAGAATAAGATCTCCGAACCAGTGGCCAAAAACATACAGCATAACACTAAATGCTACCTTTTTGGTTCCGAAATAATAAATTGCTCCAATTAATGGCATAATTAAGAATTTTGTGAAGATAAAAATATATTTAACCTTTCCATAGGTAGCATTTGGACGCATCATGAAGTTAGCTATCATTATAGAAGCATTTAATATGTAAATGCACATAAACAACTCTGAGCTAAGTTCCATTATATAGATACTAATGATTTTTATAAGAAAATGATCGAATATGAAAAATTTGTGAAGATTAATTATTGAATAAAATATTAATTAGACGATTTATCCAAGACAGGATATTATTATGAATTTTGTTAAAAAGCAGTTGATTTCTGATAGCTTAAGATTTTGGCTCACAAATCATATTAGTCATTTTAGCGTCATATCCGGCAGAGTGTAAATGTACGATAAAATTATATTCGATCAAGTTTATTCTTCTTCTTAATTTTTGAGAAAATTGAATAAATTGAATGGCTGAATCGGTTTTTGTAATCCGATTACTTAAATATTAAATATTAAATTTAAATAATATAAATATATAAAAAAGAAATAAATTTAAGATAAATTCAAAATTTCTCTTTCTCTAGTTGCGGCTTGTTCTATCTAAATTGAAAATTTGCTTCAACAACAAAGCAAAATCGCAAATTTATAGAAATTCAATATTTTTTCATGAAAAAAAGTGGGAACAGGACAAATTTGCCACACGGCACTTTTTTTAAAAAAAATTAATGGAGCGGAGCGATACTCTGCTGCAGGAGCCCCAAGGCTCCCAATCATTACGAAAGGGAGCCTCAGGGCTCCTGAGAATCCATCAGCAGAGGCCTTTTCATTTGGCCTCTGCTGATCAAAGATTCGGCGAAGCCATTCTTCGTCTCAGGAGCCCTGAGGCTCCCTTTCGTAATGATTGGGAGCCTTGGGGCTCCTGAGAATCCATCAGCAGAGGCCTTTTCATTTGGCCTCTGCTGATCAAAGATTCGGTGAAGCCATTCTTCGTCTCAGGAGCCCCAAGGCTCCCAATCATTACGAAAGGGAGCCTCAGGGCTCCTGAGAAACCTCTTTGAGAAGGTTTTCTTAAAGAAAACCTTCTCAAAGATGATTGTCAGCATTCACTCAAAATCTACCAAGAGTTTCAAAGTTTCAAATCTATCTGAAATGAAGCTTTGAATCTATTGTATATCTAATTGTAGAGGTACCTTTTCAAAATGTCTTCTATTGATTAAATTTAATCAGTAAAAGTCATTTTGAAAAGGTACATCTCTATAATTGCTATTGAGCATTCACTCTTGGAACCTTGGAGCTCTTGTGTAGTGCATGAAAACTCCAAGATTCTAGCATAAAACATATATCATAGACATAATTTCTTCAAATATAATTTAAGGTTATTTTATAAAAATGAGAAAGGTGTAATTTAAGGTTATTGAAAAGTGACAGTTGGCGAATTTGTCCCGCACTCAAAAAAAGTTAAATTATTCATAAATTATATGGTATTATCAGCTTTAGGCAATAATATTAAGATTATTATAATTTCTATTCTTATGTGGCACTTGAAACATATATAATATTAAGGGTGCACACGAGAGGATCATGTAAACTTCAGAATTTAGAGCCTTATTTTTAGGCATTATCTTGGCTACCTATTTAGGCTCGAAAAGCAAAAAATATCAAAAAATACAACTTGACTCCATTATGACCCTTTCATGGAGGTAGTTTTTATCCGCTAGTATTTTCCCTTTGAATCTCTTTACAATTCGAAATCAAATTCAAATCTCAGTAGAAGAAAGGAAGAATCGACTTACTACGGTTGTAATACGAATAAATACATATATTTAATTATTTTTATTTACATAATAATTGTTTGAAGCTCATATTCCATCAAATTTTTAAATAAAAACATTAAAATGTTGAAAATGTTCATATATTTTAATAGGGTTTTGGCACTTTATTGAGGAATTACTACATACATAGTCGAACTGAACTTGATATTTTGAAATTTAAATTATTTATCAAAATTAAAATTTAACTTGAAATTTATAATTATTTAGTCATATTTTGCATAATTCTAAGTAGATTTTGTAAAAAATCAAGAAAGAAAAATTTTAACGTGCTTTATTTTTTCTTTTTTATAATAATACATATTATTATATAATTAACATATTCATAATGTTTCACCCTTTCAAAAATATAATCCTCCTCCTCTCAAATAAACGTACATACGGGTGGCTTCTTTTTTCAAAAAATTAAAATTTGAAATTTTGGGCTCAAATATTAGAGATTTTTTCAACCTTCAACGATATATGTTGTCTATATCAGACCTCCTTTCTTTTTGATACTTAACATTGTTCCTAAATCTTAGCCGTTAAGGCTGTTCTGAAAATATTTTTTTTTCGAAAAAATTCGAAAAAAATTCTTAAAATTCAAAAATCCCTTAATTCCTGAGGATTTTGGAAAAAAGTTTTTACATGAACATGTGTATATTATATGAAGTATATTGATAAGGTAAAAATCAAATTTTATTGCATATTCATCGAGAAAATAAACTAACGAATCCCTCAAAATTGAGAGGGTAATCCTCCTCCTCTCAAATAAACGTACATACGGGTGCACCCTTAATATGTGTACGTTTATTTTATAATTTAGAAATGAGTACAAAGGAGAATATTGACTTATCCAATGTTAATCCAGATATGACTGTGGAAGATTACCTTAGAAAACAATGCAATAATCAAATTGACAGACTAAAAGAACATGCTGAGCAATTGGTACAACAATTTCAACAAGAAGCCGCTGAAGTAAGAGAGAAACTAGTTCAGAGGCTTGAGCAAGGTTCAAACTGCTAGAAATAATATCTATTACGTTCTATTTTTAGGTATTTAAATAAAATAGAACATCTGAAATGTTTTTGTCTTATAAATCCATGATCTTACTTCTGTAGAATAATATTCACATTGATTTTATTTCTAAATTTTTGTTCTTCTAAAAAGGAATCTATAATACTGTTCATTATAACATTATTTAGCATCTAAATACACTTGACTACAATGAGTTTAATACTTATTTTTCTTATTTTTGTATTGGAGATATATTTTAAAAATAATTGTATGAAAATACGTTTTTACAGTTATTATCTTGGTCCAAATGTATGTATTATGTTATTTTCTTAATGTATAACAAAAAAAGTTATAAAAAAATAATAAATTTAATTCCATATGTGAACATCATTGTAGAAATACTTCATATTGTGAAAATTTTCTTGAAACTTGGAGATAAGCTTGTAAAATTCATGATAATAAAGTGGAGTTGAGTTAAAAAGAGTTTAATTACAATAATAATGAAAATAAATGTTTTTAGAGTCTGTAAATATCAATAATTATATCACAAGCAATCAGTGTAAAACTTATTGCGTTTGCCAAGAATAATGAAGTAAAAACAATGAAAGAGCAGCATAAGTTTGGTCTGAAAGGAATTGGTCTTCCAGAGTAAGCTTCATCAGTTATTATATTCAATGATTCGAAAACAGTCATTGATTCTATTGATTCATGTTTTCTATGAATGCAATAATTATAAATCAAGAAACACAAAGTAAAGATAGAGCAAAGGATTCTTACACTTACAATTATATACAAAGAAATAAGAACATGGAATAAATTATGTTTCAAATGTATTGCTGATTTAATAGTGTTTGTTGTTCTCAAAACTAATGGTTCTGCAATACATTCTGCAGCAATTAAAAACGTCAAAACAATGTACTTGAAATGTTTCGATGCCAAAATGTTTTTGTTGTAAATGCAAGCAATAATTAAAATGCCAATTATCGGTACGAATGAAACAAAGAAACAAATATTAATTATACCACAGAAAATAGTGATATTTCTGTTGACATTCTTTGGAACTTTCTTGAATCCTGTACAATAAGTATATAAACCATTAATTTCACCTTTTTCATTAAAAGTAAAACTCAAATGATATGTTCCAACGTTTTTATTAGGTGTCAAATCACTTCTTGAATACAAGTTAATATCTGAAACATTGAAAGGATATCCATCCATTAATATATGATTCTTAGAAGCATCAATTTTGATTTCAATAAGAGAATTCAACAAAGTAATATGACTTAAAAATCCAGAATGAACAATTCTGTTGTTTTGATAATATCCGGCTGCATCATTAGGTATTGAATTATTAGAAATAGGTGTATAAAGTCCCCAAATATATCTATGGAATGAATATGTCATCAAGAAATCAGCATAAGTATTTGCAAATCCAACATAATTCCATCCTTCTTTTGGTAAAATACTGATAACTGCACTTTGCCCTGGAGTGTTTCCTAAGTGCTCTAAACCAAGGATTTTGTTCGTATAATACTCTTCCCATAAGCCATGACTGATTCCTGGTGAACCTTGTGAAATAATTTTAGAATTATTCAAAAATAATTCAAGTGTATCGTTTTTCTCGAAAAGAGGGCATTCAACGCCTTGTACTGGTGTGATACTGTTTGCAAATATACTTAAATCACCAATTGTACTAATGCAGGAACCTGCAGGAGCGAGAAAAACTGAAGTTGGATCTTGATATTTCAGTTTGCCATCGACTGTCGCGTAACCGGATGCTAAATTAGAGAATTCATTGGATGAAATGTCTTTGCGTGATGGATCAATTGATGAATGTGTCATTCCAAGTTTATCAAAAATATTTTGCTTGATGTAGTCACAATATTTAACGCCTGATACTTTCTCGATGATAAGACCTTCAACAGCTACACCGAAGTTAGAATATCCAACAAATTGGCCTGGTTTTGAATAAGATCTTGGTTCCATGCGTTTGATTGAGTCTTCGGGGTCTTCGTCAGATGTACTGTGTGGTAATATCGGAGAATCGATTGTTTCATCCCAGCCTGCGTCATGATGCATCAAGTTTAAAATTGTGATTTTGTCATTTTTGCTTTTATGCTTGAAAAATCCTTTGCCTAAGTATGTTTCGATATCTTCTTCGAAATTAACTTTGCCTTTCTCGTATAACTGCATTATTCCAACGTGTGTCAACAATTTTGTAGTTGAACCCCATTCGTAGAGAGTTTGAAGCGTTGCATTTTTCTGTTGTAAGATATCTTGATAGCCAATTACATCTTCGTAGATCTTTTTGCCCTGATATGAAATGGCGGCAGCTCCTGATGCAAAATAAGTGCCATTATAGTTAGTATAAATCGATTTAAGTATATCAGGAAACTTGTCTGAAGGTATGCCACCTGGAGTTGTTTCTGAAATTGCAGAGTTGACTAAAAGAAATAGCATCTAACTTTTTTTTGAGGTTCTAATGGTGTAAATTTCCTATTGAAATTTTTTGCAACAACAAATTTTCGTCATACCAAGAAATCCTATTTTCGTATTTTCATATCTTTTGACATTTGTTATCTTCTCAATTTTTTGAAAGGGGATCAGGAAGAATATAAAATCTGTAAATCTAGCCGAAGGATTAGAAAATGCGTGTGCAAGATATTATTAAATGATGGTACTAAATATTCTCGCGTTAGTATTTTTTTGAATAAGAGATGATTAGATAAATTAATGTCATGATTAATTATATAGCCATGTCATACTGAAAAACCTTGGGTTTTCATCTAGTATAGTTAGGGGTAATCACTATCATGTCGTTCTCTATCAAATTTCAATTCCATCTTCATTAATTCAAAGAATCACAAGGCTGCAACTGAATTATTTAAGAAGTACAAAGAAAAATATTGCATGGTAAATAGTACAAATGCAATTTGATATCATCCTCTTTCCAAAATATTAACACTTGTTTCATTTGAAACGACATCATGATGCCACAATTATTTATTTCTCCATATATGCATAATATCAAAAGTTCATACGCAATTTATCATATCATGGTTACTGTACGTTAAGAATTTTTTATTTGCATGAATAACTACTCTAGTGAACCAGAAATAGATCCAAGAGATGAAATAATTGAGCAGCAGAGGGAAGAGATGCAATATCTAATTGATACATTTAACAGAGTTTCACAACAACTTCGAGATGAATTATCACTTTATGCACAAAGAAGCGCAAAATTGCAAAATGAAATGATGTATCATATTAGCGTTCTTAAAGAACAAATTTCAAGAAAACAAGCTACAATTCAAGCAGCAACGACACCATATCCAATGTATGACGATTGTAAGCCCAAACTAAACGAGAGAACATCTTCGAAATCTAATAAGGCAAAGCCAGAGCGTAAAACTTCTCATATGCAAGCAAATAGAATGCAATCTACAAGCACTCAGCAAAGTTCATCGGGGAACTGAAATTCTGCATGGAATACGCTATTATTTGTTGTTATTAAAACATTTTGTTTGGATATTAAATTAATTTTATAATATTTCCGATTCTATGAGTATTTTGTAGCTGTTATGTGTTCCTTTTATGTAACTTTAAATTTAAATGTTATTCTTTTTATCTTGTTTTGGGTCTTACTTTAAATTCCTTTCGATATTTTCAAAAGGAAGGGTATCTGCTCATGTTACGTATATAAAACTCACATGATTGTTCAAATGATGTAAAAACAAGCATATTATAAGCAAAAATTAAACATTTAAACAACCTTAGCAACAATATGAGCTATCTTTAACAGGAGTAGTATTTTCAGCAGCAATTGGTTCGTGTTTTTCTTTAAGTCCAAATTCTCTAGCTAGAATTGCTGCCTGTACAAATAAGTCTTCAATTCCAGATCCGTTCATTGCAGACACGTAGAATATGTATTTGAATTTGTCTTTGATTTGCTCAATAGACTGCTCTAGATCATAGGTTGGTTCAAGATCAATTTTGGTAATTGCGAGAATTGCTGGAATTGGATTTTCCTGATCTTTATCTAAGAGTTCCTTCCATTGTGAAACAGAATGCATTGACTCGAAGTCAATGCTAGAAACCGCAATAATGGCGCAATGACTGCCACGAACATAGATTGGTGCAATTGATCTAAACTGTTCCTGGCCTGCTGTATCCCAAAGAGAAATTTTGATAATTTGATCGTTGTGAGAAACTTCTTTAAAATAATTTGCAGATCCTAAAGTAGGTTCAATGCCATCTGTATAGAGATTTTGTGTCCACCTCTTAGCAATGCATGTTTTACCAACTCCTGAATTGCCAAGAAGAATAATTTTGTAAGTCGGCTCCTCGTATGTGGGATTTATCATAAAAATTTCTGACAAATTATTTTTAAAGAATTTTCCACCGCGATGTAAGAAAAAAGAATACGCTGAAGTTCAGAAATCATATATTGTTGTATCGACCCCCAAATCTTAGGTTTACAAGGAAATTTGCCCAAAATGTCATTATCGATGAAATATAATATTTAGTTTTTGCTGTATTGAAATCATTGATAAAATCAGAAAATGTTGGATTACTTAAATAATTCAAATTAATCTTGAACAAGAAGGCAATATTAACACTAGATTGGGATTGATTTGATATGTGACAGGCATTCTTGAAATGTTAACTGAGATATTTTGATTTTTTAATTCGAAATACATTCCAATCTTGATTTGAAGAGAATTTACGTAGTAAATATGTCAGATTAGTAAATTCAATTCATATTCTAACTAATGTATGTTTGGAAAATAAAAGGATTTGATTGCAATATATGTCACTTTTTTATCCAGACATCAGAAATTTCCCAAAATTAAACATTTTATCCGTAAGATGAGGAAGGGATCGAATATATACCTGATTGTATTCTCAATCAGTATATCAGCGTTATCTCTGTTTGTTTTAAATTTTCAATCTCGTTTAAATGCCGATAAATTGGATTTATTATCCGATTTCGAACTTCCAAAACGAATTTATGCCAATCCATATCCACCTCCACGAAAATCAAATCATTCAATACCAGATAAAGACAAACTATACATTGCTGTAATGGATAGTGTCTATGAACCAACGGAACTGCTATGCACTCTATATGATTCTTGGATCAAAGAAGTTCAAGAAATGCAATTTGTTGATGCAGTTGAAATTTACTCGCTTTCTTCATATTCAGATTCGAATTGTAGTCTTAGAACAATTACATTTGCAGATCCTCCTAAACAATTTCCAATTAACAGAAGTCCTTCATGTTATCTTATGTATTCTTTATTCAAAATGTTCTTGGCGCGCTCTACAGCAAATTGGATTTTAATTGTCAGCGATGGAGCTTATGTTAATCCAAAACTATTACCAAAATTCATTTCTAAGTACGCCAATTCATCTTACTACGACTCTCCTTTAGCAAAAGGCCAATGTCAGGAACTTCGAGATAATTTTCAGATATTTGCACCAAATTCTGGTGTTTTACTTACGAGATCTGCTGTAAAGGCCGTCTTTGACAGACCAAGGAAGTTTGAAATCTCTTGTCAAATAGAATTACCAGCATATGAAACAATTACTCATGTTTTGGATCAAATTGATATTATGCCCATTCACAATCATGATTTCAGGTTCCTTGGTCAACCATTTACTAAATCAAAGTATTTTAAATGGATTGATTCAGGAGATTATTCAAAAGTAAAGAATTGCACATCAGGATACTCTTCTCCAAGGATATGTTATCCTAGATCGTACAAAATCAAAGATTTGGTTGTTTGGGCAGGTTCAGGAAAAAAGATTGACAAAATTAAGTTTTTGTTAGGAGCCAAACGATGGCTTGACTTAGCTCCTGATAATTTAGGATTCATGTACAATACTTACGAAACTGATATCTGTATAATGTCAAAAGATTAGAATATATTGTCTAACTTTACTCTGCATGTATTATTTGTTTGTTTTATAAAAATTTAATATATGTTTGTTTATTATTTTTCATATTTACCATTAGAATTATTGAATCACAATATAATTTTCTATTTGTAACAATGTAAACCGAGAAGCTGAAGTCAAACTGATAAAAATAAGGAAATAAATATAATGCTACTAATCAAATTTCAAAATTGATTTAAAAAATTTTAATTATAATGCAGCTGATTGATCCTACAGTATACATAGTGAAGATACGTCTCACCTATTCTACGTTATCTTTAATGGCATCTCCACTTTCATAGATTTTCATATGGAAACAGATGACAAGGAATTTGTCACTTTTAAAAAATAAAAGTAATGTTCAAAATCAAGCAAAGCCCTATAAAACGGACCACTAACAATATATGTCACAACGGGAAGGATTACTACATGGATATTATGAAGTTAATCAGGATATCAGATTATTTTGCAGAAAATTATTGCAATTTTAAGAATACAGGAATAAATCTTGTTGATTTACATTCAACTGAAGCATTCGACTGTTTTATAAAGATTCTTAATGGAGAAAGCCCATTTATTAATATTAAATACAAAAATGAAATTTTATCCTTAATGAAGGAATGGAAATGCACTCCACTTCTTCAAGATTTCGACGATACAATTCATAATGGTAATATAGAACCGAAAAAGGTTTACTTGAAACTTCTCAGTGGAGAAGTCCATCTTTTACACATTTCTAATGACGTTACTCTCGACCAATTCCAAGGAATTGTTGAGAAATTATCCAATGTTCCAAAGAAAAGTCAGCATTTGGTTTTACATGGCCAAAATTTAATTACAGAATTCCTATTTAAATCATTACAAAACGAAGATAGAGTTACAATGGCATCAGATGCTGTTAACGTAGTTCCAATATACGTAAAGGATTTAACAGGAAAAAGTATTACCATTCATTTATACGCACACTCAACAATTAGAGAATTACAGCTTGTTGTATGTCAACGCTTAAACATATCATTTAACGAATGCAGGCTGATTTTGAACGGTATTCCTTTATCAATCAATAAAACAATGGATGATTACGGAATCAAAAAAGAAAGTGCAATCCATTATATATTAAGACAGTTTTAACTATATGTCTTAGTTTATAATAAGATATTTCAAAAATTTATAATAATATTTTGTTTTTTATCTTGAAATTTGTATATTATAAAACTATTTGTATTGTATTTCGATTCATCTTATTTTATATCCTTATTCTTATTCAAATTCGAAATAATCCTGTTTCATTATAATTTTCTTGATTATCTAATACATATACAGGATCTTCCATTTACAGTTCTCTAATGGATTGTTATCAATACGGGCAAAATATTATAATTTAAAAAATTAAAAGTAAAATAATGGTATAGAATTATCTTTTATTTATAAAACTTTTGACAATACGGGATATCATCATTGTTTTCCTCTTTTTTGTACTTTATCAACAAGGCCTTTCAATTGGAAATTTTCTTCATGCATTGCATCCAAATCTGTTAAAAGATCTTTAAGATTTGTCTTAAGAGCTCCATTTTGCTTAAGTGCTCTTTCTAAACTAGCTCTGACATCTCTTATTTGTTCTTGAATTGAAGCCGAAGTTCTATGAATAATTGTTGAAGGCCCATCGTTCTCTTCATCTGAGTCATCTACAGTTTCTTGTTTCTGATCTGTATTATTTTGTGAATCAAATTTTTTAATTCTGACTTCAATTTCTTTTGCACGCCTTTGATTCTTCTTCATTTTTACAGCGAGGCCATCCTCTAAGTCCTCTATCTGTTTTTTAAGATTTGGTATTTCTTTTGCTAAATCATTCGTATTTTTATTGTTTTCTATGGCTAGCTCTTCATCAAGTTCTTTATCTTTCTGTTCTAGCTCATCTATCATGTTCTGTGCTGACTTAATAAGTGATTCATAATCAGTTGAATCTTCTTTATCGAATAAACCTTTGCATTGTTCTTCAAGTATATTATTTTCGTAAGTTAAGATATCTATCGTATCATTTAGCTGCATTTTTTCTTGGTTTAATGATTTAACTTTATCTTTTAGTGATTTTAGACTTTTCGCTGAGTTATTATATGAATCATGATAAGTAATTGATTCTTTCTCTAATGATGATAAATTTGCTGTTTGTAAATCGAGCGCTTTTATTGCTTGATCATAAAAAATTTGAAATTCTTGAACTGCTGATGGATCATGCTTCTGAATTAGATCTTGAATGTCAAGTGATTTAGAGCAAACAAGAGAAACTAACTCATCTCCACTAAGATTTTCGTCATCATTGAGCATTTTATATAAAATTTTATTATTGTCACTTTTGTTAAAAATTTAATAAATTGTATTTAAGTTGACTATATTTATCAGATGAATTTATCATAAAAATTCAAAAGCCTGTAAATATTCAAAATTGAATATGATTGAAAATTTTCGTTGACAATTCAGCGTTAAATTAAATTCAATAGTATAAAGTAACATCGAATAATGTTTGATTAAATAAGAGTAAATCAAATTAGAAACAATTTGTTTTATGTTCTTGATATTTGTGAATTATTGAAGCTTTGATTTTTCTAACCCCCTAGTAAGTATATCAATCATCTCTGTGTCATTGAAATAGCGTGCATATCTAAGAGGGCTATTGCCCTCAGAATCATAAACATCTACTTTAGCACCATGAGAAATAAGATATTCTGCTATTTCGGTATTAGGATTTCTTAATACTGCTAAATGAAGAGGTGTTTGATGATTTATATCTTTTGCATTTATATCTGCGCCATGAGAAATGAGAGAAGATACCACTTCTTTACTATAATTCTCTACTGCATCATGGAGTGGTGTCCTCAAATAATCATGTCTTGCATTTAAATTTGCTCCATACGAAATGAGTATCTCTGTTGCTTCTTTGTAATTATATATAGCTGCCATATGAAGTGCTGTTTGGCTTGATAATTCTTCATGGTCAATGTCTTGATGATACTTTTTTGGTGAAGATAATAAAAGATCTATTATAATATAATATAATAGAGAATTGACTTATAAAATCGACCAAGCTTGGAAAAATCCAGTTCTTCATTTTTAATTAATTCAATACTAAGTGGATATGAAGAACACCATGGAACAATAGAATTCTTATTTTTCTCGAAAAACAGAAACATGGATTTGATATTTTGCGAATAAATGACTTCATCATCATCCATAATATCATTAAGATTGATTTTATTAATATTAATCAAATTTTTTTCAAACATGTAAGCAATGAATTGATTGTTGTGAGATACAATAGCATTCCGGATACAGTGATTATTGATGGAACTAGCTTTTAAGCTTTCATTAATAATGTCGGCATTGCGTCCAATAATAGCATTCTCGAGAGTACTATTGGAGCTTAAATTGTATGTTTGATGAAGAAAATAGAATATGTTAACGGAACCATAATAAGCGCATTGATCAATAATATTTCCTACAATACTAGATTTTACAATTTCTTTGATATCAGGAATTGGGTTTTGTGCAATATATTCTTTGAATTTTCCTATTTGATCATACATTATCATATATTGGACATCATTTTCCCTGATTTCAAAATCAGTATCAAGTTCAGCAATGCAAAAACCTTCTTCATTTCTTTGGAAATTCAATGATGGTGGGAAATAACAAACCAAATTATCAATCATTTCTGGGGTAATGGAATATTTAATGAAAATTTGATTAAGAATTTTAATATATTGTTTGACAGCTCGGTAATTGTATTTAATCGCATTAAAAAGACTACTTATGATTTTGATTGGTTGTAATTTATACTTGTCAACAATAATTGTTTTGATCAAATCAAAAATTTCATCAGTTGACTCATCTGATCTAATGTGAAATATCCTGTCATATGCTGTTATGAAATCATTGTACTGTTCCATCAAACTGTTGGCAGTCAAAATGAATGGCCCAAAAAGTAAAAAAAAAATAATGCCGTTTATTTTTATCAATAAAGTGGTCGTTTCTGACTGATGGACTCTAATGTGAAATATCCTTGAAAGGTTCTTGGGGAAAAAAAACAATTTTGTAAGAAATATATTGAATTCGAGATAAAATATATTATTTATCTAATCCAAATGAAAGATCAGCTGTTATGGCGTGACACATATCAAGCATTAAAGAATCTCAATCAAAACTAAGCAATTCAAATTCGATCGAAATTACAAAAATGATTATAATTGCTTTTCGACAAAAATTTTGGATGACTACTAAATCATGTAATCAAATTCACGTTAAAATCTTGATATAAGGTTTCTCCCCCTGAAATTTTTATAAAAGATCTTTTTCCATTCAAAAATAAATTTTTTTTTCTGATAACTTTTTTAAAAGAATGTCGAATATTACAACCTTCAATGATATAAAGAGAAATGAAAGTCCAAAGCCTATGTACTCTGGAGCAGGAAGAAAGATCGGTGATTCTTCAAATAACAACAAAAAAAACAATCAAAATTTATTTCAAGGACGCGCCCACCGTCTTGATGGTACAGTAGTTGAACCTCCTAAAGAAGAGAAAAAGAAACCAATGCCAAATACAGAACCATTACCACCAATGGATGGATATGAATATCGTCAAGAAAAAGTTGTTGTAAATGCTTTAGCTAACATCCCTAGAGAACTTGATGTCAATTTCTGGACATGGAATTTGGAGAATATGGAAGATATTCAATGTAAAGACATGTGCCTCTTAAATTACTGCCCTTGCTGTGTTGGTCCATGCTGCTCACCAGTAAGAAAAGCTGATTGGTGTGGAATTCTTAAAAGATTTACATTCTGGCTTTTACTTTTCCAACTTGCTTACTATATCATGACTCTTTGCTATTCAACTGATATTGGATGGATGCTAGAACCAAGTACAAGCATAGTCATTAAATACGGTGCCATGAGTACTCAAAAAATCAGATATGATTATCAATTCTGGAGATTATTTACTTATATGTTCTTACACGGTTCATGGATTCACATATTATTTAACTCTTTAGGTCAATTCATGTTTTGCCTTGGCTGTGAAAAATCTTGGGGATATGTCAGATATATTGCTATTTATTTCCTCTCAGGAATCCTCGGTGGCCTTGTTTCTGCCATGAAAAGTGCTAATCAGATCTCTGTTGGTGCTTCTGCTGGTATTTTTGGTATAATGGGAGCTTATGCTGCATTAATTCTTCTTCTCTGGTCGCAATTACAAGGAATGGCCAAAATACAGCTTACCACATTCCTCATTATGCTTCCAATCATGTTTATTTGCGTTTCTTTCCTTCCTCACGTTGATTGGGCTGGTCACCTTGGTGGTGTCCTCGGAGGAATCGGTTTAACATTCTTAATATTCTGCGATAAAGCGGAGGAGAAGAACAGAAAGTGGTTTATTCTCGCTGGCGTGATTATTATTATAATTTGTCTCGCTGTTCCTCTTCCAATTATCTTTACAAGGAAATAAGTTATTATAATTGCCTATTTTATTAATTTATTGTAGTATGACTCATAAACAATTCTCATGTTTTAATTTATTTTCTCATTAAGTTGTAGATAACAGTGAAATAAAATTTCTGTAGATCATAACATTAAGCATTATAATCATTTTGGTATTAAACTTTAATAAAATATGATTTTAACTAATTTGGTGCTCCTATTAAAATCCTAGCCATATATCTCTTCTGGTGCATCTATGTAAAGCAAATCATGCTTAGTATAGCTTTCATCAAAATTTTGCTCCTCCGATATGAAACATCAGGAGAGAGAAGGTGAGAACTTTCATAATCTAAGAGCTGAGAAAGAGATCCTAGCTTTGTTTAAGCAATTCAGAATCTACAATTTTGAAGAGGGAGAAAAAAAAAGATAAATTAATAAAAGAAAATAACAAACAATTTTACTACCTAGAAGCAAACAAATTCTACATTGTCAAAAGAATCAAAAATTCCTTCTTCGATTGGAAAGCTGAAATCGAAAGCGTTGGAAGAAAGAATTTGTGATCCAAATGTCTTGTTTTCATGATCAATTAGCTGCTCGGACTTCTCTAAAACTGGTAAGACCTGCTTGAAGAAATTATAGTTGGATGGTTCGATGACTGAAGGAGATGAGGCATCACTGTATTCGCTTGAAGATGATTCGACATTTGTAGATGAAATAGGGGAATTGTTGCGAGATTTGGCGGCATAAGATTGGGCCAATTCATGGCGGCAAAGAAGTTTGAATCTGTTCTTTGCCATGATGGCTGTACGTCCTGGAAGACTCTTTGAGATGAGGGACCAATGGTTGCCGATTTGTTTCTGGAGACGAAGAAGAGTTTCATCTTCTGCAGCTGTCCATGCGTCTTTGCACACGCTTGGTGTGAGGACAGAGATATATCTCTCTCTGCATTGACGTCCGTTTCTTCCTGGTATGTGTGTAGCGATAAAGTCCCAACGAGAGGCACCGAATTTGCTAACAACTGATGTTAATAATTCATCTTCTTGTTGTGTCCATTTGATCTTAGACACCTTGACTGTGTTTTGGCTGAAATTGCACACGGGTTGATTGAACGACATCAAAATCTGGCAATGTGATTTGTTGAACGGTTTTTAGTGCCAAAAATCTCCCGTGGAAAAACCGGTTTTATGAAAATATTTGTCATTATGACATGTTATTAGTGCCACTATTTTCTATGAGTTTTCTAACGTGCCTGATGGTCGATATGATGTTTCAAAATGGGCTAGATAAAAAAAGTGTGAATTTCTATTTTTCAATATTAATATGCATATGATGCACATCATATATTCCAAGTCTTTAGTGTTTATTCAATATTGAGGTAAATGAACCCGAACAACTTGCGAATTTTCGGACATAAACTTAATAATAGTAAATATCATCTAACGGTAAGTAATATTATGTAATAAGTAAATAATGTTATAGTCTCCTTTCAAATCGAAATTATATCACAAAAATCTCTCATAATATTTGACACATTTGAGTGTGTAATGGGTCAATAGAACATGTCACATTGGCAAAATATTTGAGAAAAAGTATTTTCGCTTTCTAAAATTTTTGGCACTAAAAACCGTTCAACAAATCACATTGCCAGATTTTGATGTCGTTCAATCAACCCGTGTGCAATTTCAGCCAAAACACAGTCAAGGTGTCTAAGATCAAATGGACACAACAAGAAGATGAATTATTAACATCAGTTGTTAGCAAATTCGGTGCCTCTCGTTGGGACTTTATCGCTACACACATACCAGGAAGAAACGGACGTCAATGCAGAGAGAGATATATCTCTGTCCTCACACCAAGCGTGTGCAAAGACGCATGGACAGCTGCAGAAGATGAAACTCTTCTTCGTCTCCAGAAACAAATCGGCAACCATTGGTCCCTCATCTCAAAGAGTCTTCCAGGACGTACAGCCATCATGGCAAAGAACAGATACAGATTACTATGCAGACATGAAACTATGTATGGACGTAATTCAAAGCAAGTAATCTTTCAAAACAGTATTAAGCCAAAAAATGAAGTGATTGAAAATACGATTTTATCACCACCATCAATCATTTCATCACCATTGAATCAACAACCTCAAACTCCAACTAAGTTACATTCTCATGGTCATGAAATGACTATTCCACCATTAATTCTTCAATCACAAAGCAGAAATTTTCCAGCACTGGGCATCAAGTCTCTAATTGATGAAGAATCCTTATTCCATTATACAGACCTTGATGTCTCTGTATTTTAAACATGTATTTTATCCGGGCAAAAATAACTCACTTTTTAGAGCAAACTTTGTTAAAATATTGATAAATAGAGTATAGAAATCAAATTTAATAAGTTTTTGAACATAATCTCAAATATTATATTTTGCGATCATTCAAATGGATGAAACTGAGCAAATATAACGTTATACATGTTATGAGGATGAATATTCTACTCTTATTTTATTGATTATTCTAAGAATAAAATAATTTATCAATAATCGCTCAAGATCAATAGCAAAGGAACGAGTATGTGATTAAATTTGTACTTTTCTAGAGAAAAAAGAATGTGATTGATGGAATAACAAAATAATTTTTTAGACGTAAAATATATGATTAGAAAATTAACAGTAGTATATAATTCAATATATTTCAATGAAAATGCAACGATTTTCAATTGCGTTTACCCTCCATCATGGCATCGAAATCTTTGAAGTGTTCATCATCCTGAGATTGCATTCCTGTGTAAGAAATGTATTTAACATCACCAACATTAGCTCCGAAGTGGCTCAAAACGAATTTAATTGCTTCTGTGAGCCAATTTGCATTTCTTCTTCCGTTGTGGCCTCCGTGTAAGTGATGGAATACTTTATCTGGATTAGAGTAAGCTGAGAAGAGTTGTCTGCCTTGATCAATTGGAATAAATTCATCATCTGTTGCATGACCTTGAATCATTGGAACTGCGTCTGGTTGTGAACCAGCTTCTAATGGGGATACGTCCTTCATATCAAATCCAGCTCTTCCCTTTACTGTGTTCTTAAGCCACCATAAAACGGCCGGAACAAGGAAGCTTGGTAATTTCTGCTTCTTGGCAATATCAGATATGACATCTGGGACTGATGTAAATGTTGAATCAACAACAATGCATTTAAGATATTGGGATCTGGCAAGAACAGCTGTAGCAGCACCCATTGATCTGCCCCAAAGAGCAAATGGACTTAAGTTAAATGTGGAATGTAAGAAATCCATAAGATAGTTAATATCCAAAGTTTCGAAGTATCCAAGTGAAATATAATCGCCATCACTCTCGCCACAGCCAGCAAAATCAAAGCAATATACTGCTATACCGCGTGGACAAAAATTGGGGATCAAGAATTGACCTTCTATTTGACTTGAAGCATTGCCATGCATGTAAATGATACATGGACCACCGTTCATGATATCTTGACCTTCTGTAAGATATATAGAGCCAACAATTTTCTGATCGCGTGCATTTGAAAAGTTTAAAGGATGTCTTACATAATTTTGTTTATCTCCGCAATTCAAATACAATGGAAGTTTGCTTACATCATAATGACGTCTTGGTGGCCTGATAATAGCATCAACAGCTTTATTGACTAGGCTTTTTTCCTTCTCTTTATCTGCGTCTGATTGAGACATTTTACAATGTGAATTTTTTTTCTGACTATCGTTCTTTTATATCATAATTCTCAAAAGCAATAAATTCCAATGGAGCAACTGATTCGTGGGATATTTTGCCATCCGACAAATTTCCATTCAATTTTTTTATTGACTAAACTGCCAATATGCATTTAGATTCGATTGTTATTCATGATTTTATAAAAAAACCAGTATGAATTTTCTGATTTTGGAAAACCAGATTTTGAATACCGACCTTTCAATTATAACTCTGACATCATCACTACGATGTATCCTTGGCTGCAAATTCTTTCAAAATTTGATAAAATATCGATTTTTGGTTGTCAAAAAACAAAATGGGAAGATTTAAATGCATATTGGATATATCTAATGGCTTCATGTGTTCATATTGGCATAATCTTAAATATTGTCTCATATCAATCAAAGTATGTTAGAGCAAATGGCTTTTGACTAACATTTCTTTTTCGAAGTTACAAGAATATATGGAAGCAGATAATATCAGACATTTTAAATCTTTCGTTTATGAACTTTTAGATTTGTAATTCCATATGTTCTCTCTTTATAGCAAATTATAAAAATTAATAGAATAAGCAAAGCATGATAATTACGACTTTTATCATATACACTGAATAATGGATGCTTTCATTGTCATCTATCTTATCAAACATCTAAATATTGATCTTTGAGAATTTAATCCTAATAATTGACCCATAGACATTAAGAGAATAACCATCAAGCATATTTATATTACATGATTATATTAGAGTTGTTCAACAAATATTTTATGAAATATTCCAAATTGAATCGCATTTTATTTGATTAGAAGGTAAATATTATGACTTCTAAATGATTCAATAAGCAATTGAATCAAAAGGCTTACTGTGGTTTCATAAAATGCATGAGAAATCAATATTTTTCTTTTAATATTGAAACGCAAACATGAATTTGAGTTTATAAAAATAGACATTTAAATATAGAAACAGAAGATAGTAAATATATATAAATACAAATAATAATAAAAAATTATTTGATACTAAATTTGTTTTTCTTTGGTGACCAAAAGTTGATTACACCACTTTCATCACCAGTTACAAACAAATCATCATTATCACTAAGCCATGCTGCAGTTACTCTCGAAGTATGTCCGTGCAAACCTCTTGTGTAGCCTTCTGGCAAAGAAATGAAGTAGGAATCCTTTCCTTTTGTCACAGGAAGTGATTTCGCCGGTTTCGTGTCGAATAATTCGAAAGACGATGTCGGATATATCGAATCAAAAACAAATGTTCCATTTTGATTCATCGCGTATACTTCATTCTTGCAGCTTGCGACGCACTGACAGTTACCGTTGATCTCTATTATAGGAGTGTCCTTTGAAGTATCGTAAATAAACGCATTATCATCACAAACGCAAATAAAAGTTCCGTATGGACTTTTCTTTACATTTGTAACGTATCTACAAGGGTAATTTATATTGGCCGACCAAACAGGGAGGTTCACTCTTTCGTCAATTAGCAACAAATTGTTTTCTGAAGCGATAACAATGAAAGGAACGTTTTCAAACGCATCGAATGAGAGTATCTTGGACTCAAGTTTGTATTCGTCCTTGAGTTTGAACGTTTGGATGTCTCTCATCTCTAATGAATTTGAGAAATTTGTTTGGATTAGGACTGTATTCTCATCTATGGGCTTCATTGAAGTGATAGTCTTATTGGTTTGGTATATTTGATGAATATCCATTAAATCTGTCATCAAATTCAATGAATTTGTATCGGAAAATAAAATTTTGTTGTTTCCAAGTCGACAAATCGAATGGATATTGGTATCATAGTCAAGAACACCTGCTATTTTGATCTTTGGATCAGTGTTTTTGACCATAATCTTGGAAAGTGTCGATTTTCCGGACAATGCAACAAATGTTGTCAAATTTGAACGGTAAATACCTCTTATTCTTGCATTATCGACCTTGGAAGAGCTGAATAATGCTGATTTATACTTCCATTGACCTCTTTCTTTAGGGCAATACACTGATGGAGAGTATTTCATTCGAATTCCTTTTTTGGCCTTGTTTGTATCGATTGGTTCTTTGTCAGTTTCGAATACAAGGTCAGTAGCGAACTGTCCGAAGAAAGACATCTGATAAGTACTGTCTAATAACTGAATTAAATTTGCACTCGTCTCACGATCGAGATAACTGCCTCTGCTTGCGCAGGATGATGCAAATTGAAAAAGATACGGATGATATTCGCGTGGAATTGGCACTTTTTTGACAAAATTTGTTAATGCCAAAATATTTTGAGCTCCAAATGGAGTATTATAGTCAATGGAGTCCAAAGCAGCAAATATAGGTTCAATTAAGCTGGTTTCGAAGCACATTCTTGTCTTTAAATCCATGTTTTCGTAAAATGAGACAATAACATCAATAAGTTTGGGCAAAACGCCTTCAACTCTAATTAAACTAAGAGAATATAAATAAATCAACTCAAGCAAGTCAAAATTTCCACTTGTTCCTGCAATTTTGCAATTATCTAAAAATACAAACTCTGCTCCAATGGTTTTTTCGCTTGGCGGCCTGTCAATTGGTATTTCCACGAAGTTTACGAACAAGTAGTTCATAGTTCTGAGGTCTCTTATGAAAGATGGGAAAATTCTCACCATATCAATGGCAAAAAGTGGTAAATCGGTCAAATAAATGTAGGAAAACTCCTTTCTGTTAACGTCCATTAGTCTTTTGAGGATAAAATTCGTATGGTAGTTAGCCAAATCTTCAGGAACGTTTTGAACGGTATGAAGTATTCTTTTTATGCCATCCCACGCGTATATTGCCTCTATAGTTCTTTTCTCAATCAGTTCGAACAAAGGCGGAATGGCTCTTAACAGTTTTGTGCTGTCATCAAAAAATTTTATTGAATAATCAACGTAATCATCGATTAACTGCTCGTAATGCAAACAGTAATAAGCATCAACAATACAGTCCGATAATATATGAAAATAGATCAAAGAACCAAATCCAATATCTTTTGGCAAAATTGCCATGATATTTGGATGAACGTTAACTATATCATTGATATTGATATCCTTGAGTCCATATCTGAAGAATGCATCGTAGTAAATCGACATCCATTGTGGAAAATAAGATTGATAATTTTGCATCGCAGAAAATCGGTCTTTCGTGTCAATGGATATGAGTAATTCAATTAATTTCCGCATATTTGGGTCCGTTACTTTATTTACCTTTTCTGTGAAATCTTTTTCGCCATTTTTGTATTGAACTAAAGTTCCGAAGTCAAAGAGATGGTTTCCGTCTGTAAATATGTAATATAAGACACAGCCAAGAGAAAAGTAGTCGGATGCGTACATATCGATGTTTGGACTTGATTCATTTTCGATTAATCTTTCTGGAGCTAAATAGGCACAGCCGAAGCATGAAAAATAGTGCATGTAGAAGTTCGGTTGGTTTACTCGAAGGAAATCTGGTTTGTATGGGGAATGATCGGATAAATTTACTTCAAATCGATCAGATAAAAGAACGTTCTCGGGTTTTATGGCACCATGATATATTTCATGGGAGTGGAGACTGAATACTGAACGTACAAGCTGATAAGAGATCCATAACTGGTCATAAAATGTTAATTTTGGAAAATCATCCATTCGAGAAACAAGATCTAAAGGCATATATGGTCTGACAAGATAAGCAGCATTGTTTGTAACGAAATATTGTATATCTAAGTTGCCACGTAAAGTAGATTTGTTTTTGACTAAATTTTCAAAAATTTTTTGTGACTTTCCAATTGCCTCTAGAGAAGCAGCTCGAACATCTTTGTATTGTGCATCGTTATCGGGTATTTTATAGCATTTAACGACGAATTCTGAATTTGATTTTTTATCATTTACAAGAAAAGATAGCATAAATGTACCATCAAACAAACTTCTCGCAACTTGAAGATCCATCTTCTCAAAATCTGATAAATACCAGCTTTGTCCAGTAGGGCAGACAATCTGGTTGCCCATAAAAGAATAAAAAATGGCAAAATTTCACCAAGATAAAGCTAATATATGACTTGTCAATAATAGATATGAAAAATTTAAAATAAAATTAGATAAAATCAAATGCGGCCAAAATTTCTTGGCATTTTATCGGTGCATGAAGATTTTTTAATATAAATATATGTGACTAGACAGATATATCTATGTTGGATGTCCAAATTCAAGTTTTGGCCTTGAAATATGGAGATCAATTAAATTTCGGGATTTTAACTCCTACCATTAGATATTTCAACAATCATATTGCTCTAGTTTAAGAGCATATCATTCATAACTGTTTATCTCAAATAAAATGTAAAAATTCATTTAATAAAGACAAAATATTTAAAATTTTCTTTAACGAATAGCTACTTCATAGGGATTTATAAGTTTTTTAACTATAAATTCTAGTATATTTAAACAAAGAATTTTATAATTTGAAATTTTTTTAAAATAAATACACTAATGGTTTTAATAAGAATGTAAGTAGTAAACAGCTGGAATTGGTAGCTATTATAGGAATTAATAACAAAAAAATCAATTGAAATTATATCATATTTTCACGTTTCGATCTCATTTGTAGGTTCTTGTCGTCAGTATTTATTTGATTTTTTGGAACTAGTGGTTCCAAGTCATCTGTTGTAATTTTATTCTTTTTATTAAGCATGCAAGTAATATATGATATAATTGATGATGCAAGACCAATAAGTCCGAATAAAACTGCAACGATTACAATTGTAACAGTCCAATTGACAACAATTAATGCAATTGTATTTTCAGAATTGTTTATTTTTGCATGATGTAAACCCATTTTGAGTGCTGGTGCTGTGCAGTTAACAAAACCTTTCTTTGATGAATCGCAGCTAAGTTTAAGATCATCTATATAAATTGTGAAATCTGTTAAATCCTCTGGTGCATATTGAAAGAGTACTTGACGTGCAGTATTGGATCCAATCATCCAAGGTGAGACACCTTTCAATTGTGCTGCATCTGCACTGCGCGACAGAGAGATAAACAACGATAACATTATAATAAAAATTGAAATAAATCATAAGAAGTGACTAGACACTATTATTGGAAGAAAATTATGGAATATATAGCTTTTCTGAGAAGTAGAGAGCATGAGATAGCAATGGATGCTGTTTAGAATTGTTGTAAAAATCAAAATCTTATCTGAAAAGATATCTTTTTTGCCGCAAATTCGAAAATAAAGCATATAGAAGGAATATGTTCTGTTTTTGATCTTAACTGAGAATTGGACTAAATTCAAAATGAGAAGATTTTAGCCAAATTTTAAACGTTAACTATGAGTAAATTCTCGAGTTGGAAGCCAACTCTAGAAAAGAATGATAATAATTACGAGGCACTATACAGAGAAGAAGCGAAAAAGTTTTGGGATTTACAGCAAATCCAACAGACAGAAGAGGAAAAAGAATATGAAGAATTATGTCATCAACTTGAAGAAATGTCAATGAAATTCCGCGAAGAAATAGACACAGTTGCAGGAGAAAATCATATTTTACAAGAAAAGATAACTAAAAATTCAAATAACAAGAAATTGCTTGAAGATCTCTCTGCAGAAGAGCAAACTTTAATTCGCATAATTAGAAATTATACATAACAACTCAAACAAATATCGAGGTTGAAGATATTCAATTTCGGTATACAATGCTGTTATTTTTTTATATTGTTGTGTTGTATTTGATAAATCAATAAATGTTTAAACTTTATATGCATTTTGGTCAGTCAATCCGTTATAATTAGTTTAATTTGATTCAATGAGTTTCCAATTTCAAAATATTCAAGAAACTGTAACGCTGTTACTACAGCATGTGAACGTATATGTTTTGGAATTCCCGTTCATTTTTGGGACATAGAAATTGAGGTAGATCAGAATCAAAAAAGTGACAATTATTATGATTTCATTCTTAATTTGCTTCACGATATGTCAAAAATCGAGTTGCACAATTTGCAAAGAATTCGTTGATAATTGGAAGCAATTCAAAAATGAATCAAATTGCAAAGAAAAATTGATTTTATATTGTCAAAATTTCACAAATTCGGATGAAAAAAAGATCTGTGATGATGTCATTTACAGGTATCATTTGTTTAACAGATCTTTAGCCATTAATTCAAATTATCAGACGTGTTATGATTTCAACTACTGCTATTCATTAAACCCTATTAGATTTATAAATACCAAGAAGATTCTTTCATTTATAGGAGAGATATTCAGCTTTATCTTTTTCAAAATGATTTTGAAAATTGCAATTAATATAATTACATTCAAATTTCTATTTGTAATACCTTATTTGTTCAGATACGTATGGCATTTAATATGTATTCCAATTGAAATATATCATAATTTTACATTTGAAAATATTGGACGAATTTTAACAATAACTCGAGAAATTCCTTTCTATTTCTATTTTGTTATTCCTATTTACCTAATATTTTCATTTATTGCTTATGATGCTTTCAAAATTTCATTCTATAAGACCAAATCAGCTATTGCATTAAGTGCTCTTTTCTTCATCGTCATGGTAGTTACAAGTGTTATTTCATTAACCAAATACTCAAGTATTCCCAATATATTAACTGATTTATTTGATTATTGTTTCTTCTAATGTCAAACCATTAGCTCATTATTGATTGTTTGTTTGTACTAAATATTTGTTCTGTTAAAATCATGTTTTTTATGAGAAAATAAAAAATATATTTTTTATATATTATGGTCAAGTATAAGCAATGATTAATATTGATTGAAATATTAAATCTATATAAGTATCGCATTTATTACAAACAATAAAAAAATAATATTAAACATTAAAACCAGGAATAAGTGCAAATGGCAACGATTTGACTGTTGCCAAGATATTATTATAAGTTTCTTGTATTTTATCCGTTGACGGATAAACTCTTACAAATTTGCTATTTTTCACCGCGCTTTTTTTCTCATTATTGATAGAATCGATCAAATTTTGGGACTGACTAATAAATGCACTGAAGTTTTCGCCATCCCAGCCAAAAGATCGCTCCGAAATGCAAGCTTGAACTTGTGAAAGCGGGCAACCTATTCTAATAGCATCTCTAATCATTGAAACCTTCATTCTTCGTTCTGGTGGTCGATAATAATCAAGGCTTGGCCTATAATTTACTTCCAAAACGTGTGGCATCAAATCTTTGTCGAGAAGTATGTCAAAACCAAGAATTTGGAAGCATCTTGGATAAGGAATTGATTTCACAAAATCATTGACGCCTTTTTCGAAGTATTTGTAGCAAGATAAAATTGTTAGAACCGCAACGCGATCAATTCTACTCCATAGCTCTTCAGGTGTTATCTGCATCTTAGGAATGATATCGCTGATTAGTTTGGAAATCTCTTCCATACTTTTCTCGCCAACATTAAATTTATTTAAACCAACATTTGTGATTTGAGAATAAACTGAGTTGGCACCTTGTGCAGATGAGCAAAATCTTGCAACTCCATCTCTGTAAACATATACTGTAAGTGGAGAAACTGATGCGACCAAAACATATACACGTAAATCGTATTTTCGGTCATCGATTGTATGTGATTCGATATACTCTTGGCCAACTGCTAGGATATCTTCTGGAGCATATTCATTTCCGGGATCTATAATAGTAATACCAACTCCGAGTGATCCGCCGTCAGGTTTTATGATATGTCTCACGTTCTTTTTTGCAATTGCTTTCTTAAGCCGTTTTCCTTCAAATGGTAAAATGTATGTTTTAGGTACAAAAGAATATTCTTCAGGAAAATATTCTTTCATATGCTGTATAAGTCTAGCAAATGATGATTTTCTGCAAAGTAAATGGATATATGGTATTCTATTTACTACCTGCCAAGGATGAAGAAATTTATAATAATCGATTAAATTAAGAGTATCGTGCCATACTAAAACGGCTGAAGGATTGTTTTCATCGTACGGGATGCCTGCTTCCTGGAAAGCTTGAATAACAGAATTAAATTTTAGCTGTATAATTGTTGCTTTCACTCCCGACATTTTGAATGAAAATTTTCTTAAAATAGTATTGGAAATGCTGATAAGCATTCCGAAATTTCCTTTCCAAATTTGCTTTTTGTAAAGAATTGAATCGGTGACGATATCTTTTGAGTGACATTTTCAATTGATTCTTACGATGAAGGTGGATAGAATGATAGAAGTATTTATTAAAATAAATAACAAATATATCTAATATTAGGCAAATTCAACTTCAACTCCAAGCCAATGTGCAATGAAAATTGTTGCATCAGTAATGATTTTTGGTGGGCGGTCATCATTGGTAGATCCTGGAACTATATGGATTTCTTTATGATCTGTAGGTAAAGAATCGAAGAGGATTTGTGAATTTGATGTAGGGATGAAATCATCTTCATTACCATGAATGAAGAATGTAGGGGTTATGCAAAATCCTGCTAAATCTATGATATTAAGTGATTCTATATCAAACTCTGTGTCTTCTAAGACTTTTTGTCGGATCTTAGGCCAAAGTGAATCATACATTGAATCTGGTATTTTCTTTTGTTTTGCAATTCTCATGCATAGTTCGTGTAGCGATGCAAAAGGAGTATCTGCAATAATCGCTTTGATATCTTTTCTTGTTGATGCAACAATAAATGCTGTGACGGCGCCCATTGCTCTACCCCAGAAAGCAATCTTTTGGCAGTCATATCTTTCTTGTATTGTTTCTACAGCTAGAATCGCATCTTGAGCTTCATAGTGACCAAGTGTAACGAAATCGCCTTGGCTACAGCCGCACCCAGCAAAATCAAAACAGTAAACGTTTATGCCAATTGGAAGAAATAAAGAAACGCAAAAACGGCCTTCAAGCTGATTTGATGCATTTCCATGCATGTAAACTACACAAGGATTTCCTGGAGCTGGGTTTGGTGCTTTGTAATATGAGCCAGCTATTGTGTATCCACGAAGATTTACAAAATTAAGCTCTTCTCGCTCAATTTCGCCAAATCCTTCAATGCTAAACTTTGTTGGGAGAGTTTCTAATTTGTATTTGTTGCGTGGTGGCCTAATTATGCCTTTCTTTGCAAGTGAAACAATCAAGGAGCTCATAAAAAATTATTCTGAGCCGTAAAATTTTATTGATCTTTTGTTGATAAAGTAGATTCTGTTATGTTATTTAAAAATGATAAAAATAAAAATTGAGGTTCTGATTTTTTGAGAGCTTCTATCGGTAAATAAATTTCATAATTTTCCAATATAAAAATAGTTGACGAGATCAATCATTACAAAATTCCGAAATCTGACAATTCGTTTAAAATTGATATTTGGTTTATATAATTTAAATGAAAACAAAATCTGATTCTAGTTGCAATTCGAAATTTCTAAAAGAAATTCATTATTACGAATAAATATCGATAAAACTTAGGCATTTGGTGAAATTTGGCCGAGTAATATATTGGATTGGTTTTGTTTCACTGTAATTTGATTGTAAACGCAAGTAGAGAATATTATTTTTTACTTGGCACAAACAAATTTAGAATACCAAATCATCGAGTAAGCATATCATATCAAATATTCGCACCGTAAGGGGTTTAATTACTCAAATGATGATCAATTCCTGCTCTGGGTAGAGAAACTCGAGCAATTTTCCAAACACAGGAAAATAATCTCATTTCAAGGAAAATCGTTGAAATTTGAAGCTTAGATCTTCAAGTATTAGCAAATTAAACAAGAGTTTTTCTTTTTGTTCAATTATGAAAATAAATTTTACATTAATTGATCACTCCTTTGAGATATTTAAATTCTCAAATCCAGCATCATTACTTGGTTGAGACACTATACTTAAATAGAATTGACAAATATAATGGAAATTTTAGGTAAGTTATATAAATACATAGCATACACGAGAGTTATAATTCTTCGCTCTATGTTGTTTATTCACCTCTACCTATTCAATATATCATGTTTGATATGGAAATAGTCGGGAAACAACTCCATGATCATTCCAAGTCCAGACAATCAATAATCCAAAAAAAGAAATTTCCGCTGAGGAAAAATTATTTCATTCAAAACAAGCTCATAATCCACAGATGAAACTTAATTTGAGTGTTACTCGAAGATACTGTATTTTATCGCTAATGTTCAACAACGACTTTGTTACCATATGAATATAATTTTGACATACTCAAACAGATATCTTCAAATAATGGCATCTCTGCTTTCAAATGAATTAGATGAAACTATATAGTACATAATTTCATTAAGAATAACAATATTATAAATAACAAACGCTACCATTAATCCTCAACTTCTAATTATCAGATATAGCATGGATAACCGAATTCTCAAATGCTTGTTTTCAGAACTAAGAAATACATTCGGGAAATTTTGAATATTAAAATATTTAGTTTGAATTGCTTATTTTCATGTTCAACTGTGAGATATCTTATGATATTAGTGGTCAAGTCCATCAGCGAAATAGAATATTGTATTGGATATTTACGACTTTATTAATATGAGTACTATTCTGAAGGTTGATTATATGAAATTAATGAAATGAAATCAAAAGATTATAACCTTTAATTTTTTTCAAGTGCATAATTTGAAAATTAATCATAACTCCGTAAGAGATGAGCGTATACTTCAATTGAAAAGAGAACACGAATAATAATGAGATGCAATTTTCTGATCACAATGTGATATGAAATTTTGAGAATCTCATAGAAAATTTTGATTAACATTACCTGCCTGCATATATAAACTTAATTTATCAGATATTATTATCACACAATTCTCATAAATCTTGGAGTATTGAACGAAGTGATAAAGAACAAAGATCAAAATTCATATTATCAAACGTATAAATCTAGGAAATCTTCAAATCATGTAGAAAAACAGTTCGGTTTTGAAAAATGCAAGAAAGTTCAGCTGGGATGAATATTTTTACAGACAAGTTAGATATAATAAGATTCAAAATGGAACCACGTTATTTGACAACGCAAGCAATAATAATTATTACATTTTTATATGCTACTTTGAAAACTGCAAAGAAACATGTGCAATTTATATTCAAAGAGATAACGAAATCTGCACTTTACTTGAAGATACTGTATTTGATAATTGCAGTTCCACCTTAAGAGATAGAAGTGGATCTGTTCACTATCTATGCCTTGCAGAAGGGCAATTTGTTCAACAACGAACTTGTTATTATAAATCAATAGCAGAAGAATATTATATGGCATTTGCTCAAGGTGTTAAACCTTCTTCTTCCAATAAAAACTACGCAATTGAAGTTTCAGTTTCTATGTGTGGAGAAAATGAAGAAAAAGGATTTGGAACATTTGGTATTGGAAAAGGAGATTTACATTTTGAGAATAATAACATCACAAACAATAAATGTAAGATATTTTCATCAAGTTTTATTGAACTTGATGGAAGTTCAGGAACATGTAATTTCTCAACATTTAGAGAAAACAAACAAATTGATTGTTCATTTTATTTTAACAGTGAAGAAGAATCATTAATTCAAACATTTTCTTTTTGCAATGTTATTGGAAATAAATGCAGGACTGGCAATGAAACTGTTCTATTTTATTGTGAAAGCACAGTTAAAGTTGACTACTGCATATTTTTAGATAACATTGCAAAGTGCATGTTTCGTCAATCAAAATATGGTTGCGCATTGACAATTTCAGATTCCTATGTTGAATCAAATTCGACAATAGGATCGGGCATTGAATTTAATAATCTCAAAGGAAATTATGATTTTAATACTTATACCCATTTATTCAAAGAAAATTGTTTCAAAGGTTCATATATAATTTCGATTAAGATCTCCTACCTTTCAAAATTTGCAAAGACTGCCACACCTGGATTGCTTTCATCACAAAAATGAAAATTGATACTTTGTTTTAGTCCCTAATAAATGTGACAAATCCGGAACTAAATTTTTGGGAATCCTTTATTGTTTCATTTGAATATAAATATAAATTATTTCATATGGTGTAAAAGGTGAAGTTAGAACAATATTTGTATCTTTAAAGATAAAGGTCTTTAATGATATGATTAAATATTTATTTTAATGCGTAATATGAATGATCTTATTTAGCTCAACATATAGATAATGGAATTGAATGATTTTAGAATTTTGTTTCTTTACTTGAAAAGTGGTATCATATGAAATGATATATGAAAATGTAAATGCAATTTCTCATGACTTTGAATAATGATGTTAAGAGAAATCTGAGTTGATACCAATAAAATGTCATGTGATTTTTATTTGATTCTTTTATTCAATCAGTTTAAGCCAATTTATGAATTCATCTGCTTTCAAAAAAAATAATTCAGGCTGTCGTAATTGAATATCGTTGTTCACGCCCGTAATATATTTTTACCATTAGAAAACTTCAAAATACACATTAATTGGGCATTTTTGAACTTTGCGATAAAGAACATGGAGAGGTAATATAAATATCGAATGAATAAATATAATAACTCGTAAATTTGTATAGAAACCCAGATTAATTTTGAAAAATGCAAGAAAGTTCAGCTGGGATGAATATTTCGGTAGTCAAGATAAAAACACTAAGATGCAAAACGGAACATCATTATTTGATAATACCAGTCTTAGCAATTATTACATTTTCAATTGTTACTTTGAAGAATGCAAGGAAACTGGCGCCATTTACATTAAAAGAGATAACGAAATATATGCATTAATTGAAGAGTCAGTATTTAATCACAGCAGTTCCACCTCAGAAGATGGTGGTGGATCTATTTGCTTTGACATACGGGGAGATGGAAATTTTGTTCAGCAAAGAACTTGTTATTATGCGTCAATAGCGAATTTTAATATGGCATTTTGTCAATATATTAATTCTCTTTCTAATAATAAAAACTATGCAATTGACATTTCAGTTTTCAAATGCGGAGAAAATGAAGAAAAAGGAAGAAATACATTAGATATTGGATTCAATGATATCCGCTTCGAGAATAACAACATCTCAAACAACAAATGCCAATGGTTGTCATCATGTTCAATTGTGCCCAATGGATCCCCGGGTGCATGTAATTTCTCTACATTCCGAGAAAACAACCAAACCGAAAGTAAATCAATTGGGATTTCTACGTTGGCTTATGTAACTCAAGAATTCTCCTACTGCAATGTTATTGGAAATAAATGCGGAACAGATAAAGAACAAGTTCTGTTTACTTGTCAATGTACGACTAATGTTGATCACTGCATATTTTTAAATAACATTGCCAAGTATATGTTTGAACAATATAGAGTAAGTTACACTTTGACTATTTCAGAATCATATGTTGAATCAAATTCGACAACTGGACCAGGACCGATTAAATTTAATGCTCTAAAAGAAAACAACGACTTTAATAATAATTTTATTCACTTCTACACAGAAAATTGTTTCATAGATCCAAAAGAAGTTTCACTTAAATTACCATATCTTTCAGAATTTGCCAAAACTGCATCTGCTGGATTATTCCCAACAAAAAAGTAAAAAAAAATATGAAGTTCTTCAGTGATATAATGAATCTATATTTACGGGTATAATATGAAAGATCTCATTTAACTCAAAGTATAGATAATGTAACAGAATGATTATAGAACTTTTGATACAGACTGTATTCTATACTTGAAGAATGGTATCGAAATAATGTTTCTAATAGAAATTTGAATTGGCATTGATTGAAATTAATTACTATCACAAAAATCATAAAGGAATGTGAAAATTTTAAACAAGTTAGAAATATCTTTGGACAATGTTGTGAACAATTGTTTTATATAGGGTGTCCAAAGGTGCGTTTAGCACAGCGCTCTATATGAGACTATTAAAGGAGATATATGCTGATTATAAATATATAATAAAAAATATGAATATATGTATATGATGAGTATGTTGTATTTTGGCGCCATGCCGGGATATAAAATGAATTTTGAGACAAGAGGCGGTTTCGCGGGAAATTTTGGCGGGATTTTTTTCATTTTTTTAATGAATCATAAAGAAAACATCCTCGCTCTTGCAAAAAAATGCAAAGACTGTAAAAAAATCTACGAGACATTGGTAAAATGCTTCGGTATGGATGCTCCTAGCTATTCCACTGTAACGTATCATGTTAGGATGTATCACTTCATGAACAAAAAGGCGCCCATCATAAAAATTGACAAAAAATCGCCGGATCAAAGAAAAATCAAAGCAATTCTTCAAGCGCTAGATGAAGACCCAAGAGCATCACTCAGAAGGATAGAGGAGATGACAAAGATACCACGTACAACAGTCAGTTATTATCTGCACAATTATTTGAACTACAAACTAGCGTATACACGTTGGGTTCCGCACAACCTTAATTCAGTTCAAAAAAAATCTAGAGTCCAATCTTCGAAAGAGCTCCTCTCTATATTGGGTGCGTATCAATCCAAGAAGTTTCGCTTTTTAGTAACAGGGGACGAGTCTTGGTTTCAATATGCAACAGAAGCCAAAATCATGTGGATCCCGAAGGATGAAAATCCGCAAACATTCCCGAAGAAAAAAATTGACACACCAATGATGATGTTGTCGGTTTTTTGTGGCGTGAATGGCATCATCGCAATTGATATTCTTCAAAAACCTAATACGATGAATGCTCAGTATCTAATTGACAATGTTCTTACTCAAATTATCAATTCTGATGAGTTTGAGAAATCCAAACAACAAAAACAAAAGTTTGCAATTCATTTTGATAATTCAAGAGTTCACAAAAGTCATAAGGTAATGAATTACTTGGTGGAAAACAATGTCAAAGTTGTTCCAAACCCAATTTATTCACCTGATATTGCACCCTCTGACTTTTATTTATTCGGCACGCTAAAAAAGAGAGCTGAAGGACGCGAATTCGCGAGTCCAGATGATCTTGAAAATTTTGTAAGAGAGCAATTTGAGAAATTTTCTCATGATGATTTAAAGCGTGTCTTTCAAGCCTGGATCGATCGCTGCGAACGCGTGATTGAATCCAATGGTAATTATATTTAAATAAACTTTATATATATGTAACTTGTTTATTTCTATTCGCAGTATTCAGGTTTGTGCTAAACACACCTTTGGACACCCTATATTATTTCCGAAATTATTGAAATTTTGAATTGATTATGAGTGAATGCGTATTTAAAAAGACCTTACCACTTTCTGACATACAACGAAAAAAATCAATATATCTTTATTTTAATAGCAGAAAAGTATAGCAGCCATATTAGGTTCTATATAATGATTTATATTTACTTTCTCCTGACCAAAAATATTAATATTTGACCTTAGAATATTTGGATAGAAAGCTTGGGTGTCAAAAAAATTGAGTGAATGTCAGAAAGTGGTAAGTGCATCCTTAAATGAAACAAAATCTTGCAGCATTGAACTATATGATACAGAACAACATATAGAATCATTATCAGAAAAATAAATCTATAAACTAGTCAAATTATGTAGATACTCATCTAAATTTGAAAAATGTAAGAAAGATCAGCCGGGATGAATATTATGATGACAAAGATAAATATAATAAAATATAAAACGGAACGCTATTACTTGACAAAGCAAGTCTTAGCAATTATTTGAGAATTAGATTACGTAATATTCTTCATTCAAAAAACTGAAATTCACACCTGTAAATTAAAAATTTTCAATCTTTTTGAAACCAAAACCTCCCAAATCCATCGAGTTTGGACTTATCTGGTGTAAAACTAGAGAGGAATTGTCAGAGCCAACTATATAAACATAAAATTATATCAAAATGACTAGGAGAAAAGATAAAATTTGAAAAATGCAAGAAAGTTCAGCTGGGATGAATATTTCGACAATCAACTTCAATATAATACAGCTGAAAATGGAACTGCGTTATTTGATAATACAAGTATTAACAATTATTATATTTTTAATTGCTACTTCGAAGAATGCAATGAAAACGACGCAATTTTCATTAAAAGTACAAATCAAATATGCACGTTAATTGAAGATTCAGCATTTAATAACTGCAGCTCCACGACATACGGTGGGTCTGTCTACTATGAATGCGAGAGAGAAGGACAGTTTGTCCAACAGCGAACTTGCTACACTAAATCAGTAGCAAGAAATCGCATGTCATTTCATCAATCTGTTAAACCCTCTTCTTCTTATAAAAATTATGTAATTGATGTTTCAGTTTCTAAATGCGGAGAAAATGAATCAGAAAGATGGGGAACACTAAATATTGCATATGGTGTTATCTGTTTTTCGAAAAATAATGTAACAAACAATAAATGTTTCGACTACTCTTCATTAGATGTTTATCTTGATGGTAGTCTTTCAAATTGTAATTTCTCTACTTTTAGAGGAAACATTCAAATATTTGGAACGGGATCTTTGTATTTTTTCACCAGGGACGAGTCGAAATATCAAACAGTTTCTTATTGCAAAATTATCGGAAATCAATGCGGCTCAAATGGTGGAGGGGTTCTATTTAGTTCTTCCTGTACTACAAATGTTGATCACTGTATTTTTTTAAATAACATTGCAAAATATATGTTTATGCAATATTGGTTAAATTTGACCATTTCTGATTCATATATTCAATCAAATTCAACCTATCCAACAGGTGGAACTGTTACATTTAAAAATCTAAAAGAAAATTGCGATTTTTACAATTATTCATATTTTAATATTGAAATTGATTTCTTAGAATCAGAAAAAATAATCTCGTATAAATTATCTTATCTTTTCCAATTTACAAAATCTGCAGCACCTCAATTACTTTCATTAAATAAGTAAGATTTTGTATGCAGCATTATATATCCTTGAACAAAAATCAATTTTGGCCTTTTACCAACGACAATCATGTCCACTTTTATATTTTTACATTATTTAATTTGCAACACAATGAAAGAATTACAACCATATATGCTAATATTTTTACATTATGTAATTTGCAACACAAAGATCAAAAAAAACATCAAAGTTGAACATTATGAGACCTAGTTCAAATAAGTATCAGCATTGTTAATTATGTCAATTCTTGTAGAAACGCAGATACAATTTGAAAATACAAGAAAGTTCAGTTGGAATTAATCTAATGACAATCAAGATAACTGCGTTGATATACAAAGCGATACACCACTATTTGAAAATACTAGTCTTTACAAATATTGCATTTAAGATTGTTACTTTGAAGAATGCAAAGCTATTGAGGGGAAATACATTTATTTAACAGATTTATTCCCATAGCAAGTAATGAATATATATACTCTAACTGTCTCCAAGAAAGAAAACCTGCTACTGTAAATTAATTGCACATAATATCATAATACTTTTTGAAATCTTAAACCTTCTGCCTCCACTAACAACCATGCAATTTCAGTTTCTAAGTACTGCTAATATGAAATGCAAGTGAATAGCACATTTTCCATTCTGTTCTGCGATATAGCTTTTTGGAAGAGCAACATAGATCGATTTGATTGTATATATTAAGAAGCATTGCAGAAAATATGCTTGCGATATTCTATGATATTCATTCAGCAGAAGAATTCTCTTTGGCTATTTCTGATTCATATCGCGATAATCCTACAACATTTTATGACTATTATTTTTCATAATCTAAGAGATGATCACAATTACCAAAGAAACCAGTTTAATGAACCCAGTAAAATTTTCAAAAATTGCATTTACTTTGTTCTGAATTATACATTCTTGTTTAAGATTATTTTTAGAGAATGTTCAAGCCAGTTGTTTATATACACACGCCCGTATGTTTAATATTTTTACGATAATAATGTCACATTATAATCACAATTATCACATTGAACAATGTGATGCATAGCAAACTAAAAAAAAACTATTAACTAGTTATATCATACCAAAACATTCTTAAATTTGAAAAATGCAAGAAAGTTCAGCTGGGATGAATATTTTAGCAGTCAAGATAAATATAATATAATACAAAATGGATCACCATTATATGACAATGCAAGCGATATTAATTATTACATTTTTATATGCTTCTTTGAAGATTGCAAAGAAACTGGTGCAATTTTCATTCAAAGAGAAAACACAATCTTCACATTAATTGAAGAAGCTGTTTTCCGAAACTGCGGTTCCACTTTTTATGGTGGATCTGTTTATTATTACTGCTTTAGAGGGCAGTTTGTTCAACATCGAACTTGTTATTATGCATCCTTAGCAAATCGCTGTATGGCATTTTATCAATCTCTTAGCCCTGATACACATAATAAAAATTATGCATTTGACATTTCAGTTTTTAAATGCGGAGAAAATGAAACAAAAAGATCTGGAACATTACGCATGGCAGGAGGTGATCTCCGCTTTAAGAATAACAATATCACCAACAACATATGTAAAGAAGTCTCCTCAATTTTCATTGAAATCGGTGATTATTCAAGCAACTGTAGTTTTTCAACATTCAGAGAAAATAACCAAACTAAAACAAATTCACTTTATTTTTACTATAATCCAATTTCTCACTCTACAACTCAAGAATTTTCATATTGCAATGTTATTGAAAATAAATGCGGAACAGACAATGAGCAAGTTTTATTTAATTGTAACAGTAAAACAAATGTTGATCACTGCATATTTTTAAATAACACAGCAAAGTACATGTTTAAGCAAAGTAGTAAATCCATTTTGACTATTTCAGATTCATATGCTGAACCAAATTCAAAAACAGGATCAGGAACTGTTACATTTAAAAATATAAAAGGAAATTACGATTTTAATACTTTCACTCATTTATTTAATAAAACTTGTCCAAACAATCCAAAAAATGACTCACTTAAATTACCATATCTTCCTAAATTTGCAAAAACTGCAATAATAGGATTATTTCCATCAAAAAAATAAAAATTTAATGTGAATATTTGAACTGAATTTGAGCTTTATTAAGGTTGAACTTATAGCTTTCTGACCCTCTCTCGAATTCCCTAGTTAGTTCTTTTTAGATATCTCATCGCGCTTGTAGTCTGACACCATTAAGATTGGCTTATTCACACCCGTAAATTATATATAATGCGGCATAGAACTTTTGATACAGGCTATCTGTTGATTTAAAGAATGGTATCACATAAAATGAAATATGAAAACTGAATCTTCATTCTAATGGCTTTGAATTGTATTGCGTTTAACAAGAAATGCCATGTGAGTTTTATTTGGTTCGATGTCGATGCAGCATATGAAAAAATTAAAGGTATTTTTTTATAAACTCTTGTGAGCATACATTTTATATTATTTCCGAATATATTGAAAAATTGAGATTGATTATGGGTGGATGCGGAAAATAAATAGATACGAAATATTAAGTGAAACAAGCATACAATTGAAATACAGCTAAAATTTGGTATAGCCAAATTTCTATTAAAAATTCTTTTACACTCATTCAAAATACAAATATGGAAGCACAAGTTGGAATCTATCAGATCTTCGGAGAAATCGGCCGAGGATCTTCGGGTTCAGTACATACAGCTAAGAATACACAGAATAATCAAGAACTTTGTGTTAAAATCATCGAAAAGTCAAGCATGAACACCAAAGAAGACATTGAATTTTTTCGACGTGAAGTTTCCATCTTATCTGCACTACAACATAAAAACATTGCTGAATATCATGATCTTTTAGAAGACTCTAACAATTACTACTTATTCCAAGAACTTTGTCAAGGCGAAAACCTCACAAAATACCTAGAAAACAACCGTCCTATTTCTGAAAGACAGATTGAAATCATATTTCATCAGTTCTGCTCAGCCTTATCTTACATCCACAAAGCAGGTGTTGGCCATCGTGATTTGAAACCAGATAACATCATCATTGGTGCCAATAATATTGTTAAAATCATCGATTTTGGTCTTTCTACCGATGACAACCAGCATCTACGTACAACATTCTGTGGCTCACTTGCCTATGCAGCACCTGAATGTATTCGAAGAGAACCATATATTGCATGGCGATCCGATATGTGGTCGCTTGGAGTTATTTTATTCCAAATGAATACTGGAAGACTTCCATGGAAAACATCCAATATCGTACAATTGATGAAACAAATTACATCCGGAAACTTTGAGATTCCGCCTTCGATTCCAGCGCCAATTAAAAATATTATCGTACAATGTCTCAATCAAGATCCAACTTTACGGCCATCTGCTGACGATTTAATTGGTGTACGATTTACTCGTCCAGAAGAGCCGAAACTCCCTAGGCGCTCTATGTCTCCTCGAGCAACTGTAAAAAGAACATCTTCAAATCCATTCTTTACCGGCGCACCACAGTACGTTCAGCCGCCAATATCCCCACGAATGAATCCTTCCCCTCAAAGAAGATTTTCACAGACTTGGATCAAACCACTTACAAATCTCAAAGATGCTTCCGATTAATGACATATTACACTATAGCATAAACTTTTGTTTGTATTTCTCCTATTAATTTATAAATTTTTTGATAAATTTTTATATTTATCCCTTAAAATTGTATCTCAATAGCTTAATTTATTGTAGTTCAGCTATTAATGTTTGCTTTTTATTGAGTATTTCAAAATAAGTTCTTTATTATCAAAATTATATAAATAAGATTACATGGCATATAAACTATGAAGAGTAAAATATTGTGTAGTTAAGGTGTGAAGTATAATTGAAGACAAATTCAAGAAATTTTCAGTCAATTCTATCGGCGCTTCGCGCCGATAGAATTAAGACAGTATATCCCGTGGGTCTTCAAACCCGTTATTTTGGAACAAACTCGATAGTACGCCCTCTCAATTTTTAATGACGTTAAACATACGTATACTAGAGATAGAGACTTAGATCCAGATTCTAAGGTTCTAAGTCGGAATATCAATTCCTTGTTGTCTAAAACTATCAGGTTTGAGTCTTACTATCAGGTTTTCAGAGCCCCTGTATATAGAGGACAACACCCACACTTTTGACATAATGACTTTACAGTAAATTAGCATCCTATATATATTAATGACTTAATTTTGATAGTTTTCGTTCAGAAATTTTAATCATATTTTAAGCAAACATATATTAGTATTCTTCATCATTTGATTGGCGCAAAGCGCCAACCAAATAGTGAATAATTCAATTTTTCAAAAAATTATTTAATTTGGCCGAAGGTGGCGTGCTTGCCCGAAGGGCAAGCGAAGCCACTTGAGGTCCCAAATTATATTTGATCAAATATATATCTTCACACTTCAGATCAATAAATCACATGTTGCTTGTTTCATTCATTTCCAAAATGTGTCTGTTCAAAGAAACATCAATAGGAAAAAAGAGAAATGCGTACAGTTTGTATGTAATTTGTGTTCAAATATGTTTTTGAGTGATTATCCAATAAATGAGAACAGGTTAAACCCATATCAGTAATATGTACTAAATGCTATTATATATTTTCCTCATTAAAGTCTCTGAATTTGAAGAAAGTCGAGTTGGACTATTTCAAAAAAAAAATGTGTATCGAGAAAGGTAGTCTCATGAAAAATCTGACGGTAAAAATGTGTATCAAGTTTTGAGAAATTTATGAAAAATTACGACATGTAAAATTTTTGGTTGATGTCCAAGGGAGAAACTAACCAAGCCCATTATGACAAATTGATGGAGATCCTCACAAGATACAATGATGTCTACGATGCTTTGTACAGGCTGAAAACAAATGACGAAGAAAAATTAAACGCAATTTACAAAAAAATCAAACAAAACCTGATTGACTCTTATCGAATTCCGCCTAGCGAGACTATCAATAAAATATCTCAACTTTCAATTTATAACAACCGCTTCATGAAATCATATTTAGCGATTGTCAAACAAATCGTTGACGAATACCATCTAAATCAGGTCAACAAAATCAGCAAAGTTTTTAATTACCTTTTCTACAAAGAATACAATATAGTATTGAATGAAAATGGGAGAAACATTTTTAACGATTTTGAAGATGCTCATTATTCATCTGATATTCACGAACAAAATACAATTCACAGATCTATTATGGATGATGACAAAATATCATTAATAATTTTTACAGAAAGAGAAGGATTTGATAAAAATCAAAAATTAAAAAGTGAATTATATCCATATTCAAATGAAGGTATTTCGTTACTTGAATTATGTTGTTATCATGGATCTGTTGATTGTTTTAAGATCTTAAGAACGAAATTTCAATCAGAAATCACTCCAAATTGTCTTAGATATTCGTTTTTGAGCGGAAATCAAGACATTATGAATGAATGCTTGAAAGTATAAAAACCAGATTATGAATGCATGGAATATGCAATAATATCACACAATATCGATTTTGTTACATTTTTGATGAATGAACACAATATAAAAATTAATTTAGAATTGTGCCCTAAATACAATAATCTTCAATCATTTTTAGTTTACTTGGATCAAACAAATGGCATCAACACATGTTTTGTTTATTCTCCTAATTTCCATCTTTCATCACTTTTAGAATATTTTATTTCAAATGGTGCAGATATCAATGCTAAAACTAAAAATGGATGTACCCCTCTTCATTATGCAGCCAGAGTTAATAGCATTGAAACTTCAGAAATTCTTATTTCAAATGGAGCAGATATCAATGCTAAAGACGAAGATGGATATACTCCTCTTCATTATGCAGCCAGAGTTAATAGCATTGAAACTTCAGAAATTCTTATTTCAAATGGAGCAGATATCAATGCTAAAGACGAAGATGGATATACTCCTCTTCATTATGCAGCCAGAGTTAATAGCATTGAAACTTCAGAAATTCTTATTTCAAATGGAGCAGATATCAATGCTAAAGACGAAGATGGATATACTCCTCTTCATTATGCAGCCAGAGTTAATAGCATTGAAACTTCAGAAATTCTTATTTCAAATGGAGCAGATATCAATGCTAAAGACGAAGATGGATATACTCCTCTTCATTATGCAGCCAGAGTTAATAGCATTGAAACTTCAGAAATTCTTATTTCAAATGGAGCAGATATCAATGCTAAAGACGAAGATGGATATACTCCTCTTCATTATGCAACCATTTATAATAGGAAAGAAATAGTAGAAATCCTTAATTCAAACAAGACAAGACTGTCATGTTGAATTTCGTTAAGGCAAAAGTTCAAGAGCAGGTCGCCTTATTTTTTATTTATTTATAATAATAAAGATTCATATTTCCAGACTATACTTGTAATAATTGAGAAACATTTTTCACAAACTTTGTATGATGGTTGAATCATCGACACAATAAATTGAATGACCGCTAGGTTTCATTCAATTAAAAATAATACCAAATAATGGGTTATGCAAGATACTGCAAAATATTTTTGATAACTTGGAAAAATAGTGTAATCTTCAGAATACACGATAATATATTATTTGGATACTACATATAGCTACAAATATTATTGCCACTTAAAAAATCACAATTTCAATTTTTCTCGAAATCTAGCCTTGAAATGTATATTAATTTTATTAAATATAAGCATTATATTATATGCTAATGGACTTTTTGCAATCGTCCCTATTAAACAAGTATATATATTCCTCCAAATTTCTTTCAATTTCATTGAAAGGGAGGACAAAAAAAAATTTACATATAGCTAAATTATAAAAAACTATTTCCCATATGAGAAAGCAAACAATAATGTGTACTTTAAGCGAGTATTCGAAACATAAGAATAATAAACAATTTGCTTGTTTTTCTAATGAAGGGAATCAAAAAAACTAAAAAACATGATTGGTATAAAGAATATAAACATAACAACTTTATAATATAATACATATAAAAAATATAAATATAATAAAATGAAATCATCCGAAATCGTTAAAGATCGTTTTCTCAAGATAATTTCTATCCTCTATCACCTTCTGATGCTTTCTGTAGTGCAGAAGAATGACAATTCCCGACACAATTAAGATAGCCAACAAAGATAAGGCCGAATAAAGGATTAGGAGGCCAACAGTTATATGTTTTTGAGGAGTTATAGATGGTGTTGGACAATCTTTAAGTAAATAGTCCGAAATCGAGATAACCTTAAATTCAGAAATATTTCCTTGATGTAAAACCGTCGAATTTTCAAAATATTGTAAATCTGATTCAGTATAGAAAGAATTGATGTAAATACAATTAGAAAACTTTGCATTGGAGCCAACATATTGGTAATTCAATGATTTGTTAAATGATCTCTTCTCATTTAGGTGGCAACCATCAAAAATGCAATTTTTTGCTAAAGAATTTCGCCATCTTAAAACACAAAAGCTTGTTAAGTTATGATATACAGAGTATTTCATTTCTACTTGATAATGATCTGATGTCAGTAGATAAGGAACTGAATTTGAGAAGTTTAAACCAATAATTTTTTGATCTACTATATCATCTTGTCCAGAACTGATTCTATACGTCATTTTGATACTTTCATATTCATTCCTGGGACATTCAACTATACTTGAGCTGTTGTAAAGTGTTGATTTTAATTTAAATAAATCTAAGTATCCATGAGCGAATCCAACACAATTATAGCCACAGTTTCGATTAATTGTTATAGATGCTTCAGGAAGATTGCATTTTAAGAAGCAAGATGATGAATAACTTAAACAATTTCCGAAATAACAATTTTCTATCAATATATTTGAGGATTGTATACTGTAGGAGTAACTTTGTAATAAAAATGAGATGATTGACTTATCTTTTTCGACAACATTTTCGAATATGCAATTTGATATTTTGAAATTTGAAGTTAACAATAAAACATTGATTGTAGTATTAAACTTTTGATTAGATATTTCATTGTTAAGCTTTAAAAGCGGGAATTCGATTGGTTTTATTTTTGATTCAGGAACTTGAGAAATTATTGTAAAAGAGGCTGGCAGAGTTTTAATTTCTGATACATTATTGGTAATCAAATAGTTATTTTCGGAATATGACGTAATATAACAATGGGAAATATTAAAAGCTTCTAAAACGCAATTTTTGAAGGTAAAACAGTAGAAATCTGTAATAGTTGAATGAATAAATTCGCAGGCATCCATGTTACACCGTGTGCCCATGAAATTAAAAGCATTTAAGTGGTAAAACATAGAATAACTCATATTAAATTCAAAATCAATAATCACTGTATCAGTTATGCGATACGTTTGGGTTGAAGAATGCGAAATATTCAAATTGTCAGACTTTGTAAGAATTGAAAGAAAAAATGGATTATATTGATTATTTTGGCATGAAAAGAACAAATTTGACGCATAATTGTATTTAGAATAACAGTATACCATATCGCATGATTGAGTTGCTTTGCATTCAATGAAACAGGATTCTATTAAAGAAACATTATCGCAATTTGAATAGATTGCTCCTGCCATAGAGTTTTCAATTAATACACAGCATCTGTAGAAAATGCAATCTGTGACGTTTAAATTTTGTGTATTGAATTGATGGCAATAAATGGCTCCACCATTATTCATTGCATTAATAGAAGTGAATATACAGGATAAGATCAAACTAGAGATATCGCTTGTTATGTATCTCGAGTAGAAAGCCTTACCCTGGACAGTCATTGTAAAAAAATTGTCAAGGTTAGAAATTTCAAAAATTCTAAAAAATTATCTAGCAGACTCCAGTATCTTAAAAACGTCATTCGAAAATTGTCACAAATTGAATAAAAAGTGGCGTTTGAATAATTCATTCAATTTGGAAATGATTGATAAAATAAGATGTAATTAACTAGCATTAAAAAAGTTGGGGTTCTAAATTTCAATGAAGAGATCCGAAAGATGTCTTCCCTCCACCAATTTTTACTTATTACTTAAAGTTTAGAGTCCTATTTAAACTTGTGTGTCCTTTGAACGCATTGTTCAATGTGATAGACGTATATTGGATTGTTTTGATTCAACAAAAAAATTCAATATCTCAATAATTGATCTTGCCAATTAATCATTCTGAGTCCACTTAAGCATATGTGAAATGCGTTGGAGAATTTATAGGGTTGAATGTTATTCTTTGATGATTACTTTATCTTCATAGCTATTCTTACTGAAGCGGGAATGTCTTATACATACCTATTCAAGTTACACATGAGCAAATGGATTACAAAGATTGAACGTGTTTCAATTTTAATATAATATAATTATTTTTCATAATTGTGTGTTCACTTATTAGGATGTACCCTGTAGAAAATTTCCTGATTAACTGCATTTAAATTTTGATGTAATATATCATTGGATGAGATTTGAGATAAACTTTTTTGCAAAATTGTCAAATGTTTGAGATTCTTTCCCTCATTTCGCTAATATCTAGCAACCAAAATAGAGATTTTTACGACATTTTGAAAGTCAAACATGACGCCACAGAATCCCAAATTAAAAGATCTTATCAAAAACTTTCTCAAATGTATCATCCAGATAAAAATAAGACAGCGGAAGCCGCCAAAATTTTCACTGATGTAAACGATGCTTACCAAACTCTATATAATTCAAATAAGAGAAGGATTTATGATTTATATGGAGAACCAGGTGTTCATCTCTACGAATCTCCATTACAAGAGAACGATCCAATGGCTGCGTTAACAAAACAAAATTTACAAGATTCTCAGCAAGCTAAAATTCATCACAAAGGAAAAAATTTAAAGTTAACATATGCAGTCCCTCTCGAAGATTTCTACACTGGCAGACCTTTGGAACTTAATATGACTAGAAGTAATATGTGCAGATGTCCAGAAGCTGGTTATTATTGCTTAAAATGCCGTGGTAAATCTACAATTCGTGAAACAAAAATTATCAAGGGATTTATCGAACGTGGTTTTGAAGAAGGTAAAGTTATTCTTTACAAAGGTTATGGTGATGTCAGCGAAAATAATGGACCTGGAGATCTTGAAGTTTCAATCATTTCGAAGTCTCATCCGATTTACAAAAGAGAAGGCAGCAATTTACACGCAACTGTGGATATTACATTACGCGAATCTCTCCTTGGTTTTAAGAGAAATATTGATGGAATCGACGGAAATCCATTATCTATTGAAACAAGCGCTCCATTTTCTAAACCACTAGTTATCAAAGGCCGTGGTCTACCAAAATATTTATATCCTGGTGCGTTTGGCGACGTAATAGTTCATGCAAACATCAAATATCCAAAAGATTTGTCTCCTGATGTCAAATCCAAAGTGGTTTCCTTGATATCAATGTAATAATCATATATATTGTAATTTGTTGTAAGAATATTAAAATATTAAGTTGATGTTTTATTTTAGAAGAAAAATTAATAACTTTCACAACAAAACTCTTGATGGCTCTCTAAAATACCAAGAAGAAATCTGAAATTTAGTCTATATTTTTTTGAAAAGATAAAATAGTTTTAAACAGAAGAATAAATCCATACTCTTAGGATAACTTGTATTGATTTTAGATAAAAGTTTCATTTAAATAAAAAAAATAAACAATAATATTTTATAACATTGAAATATGCATAAAAACACAAGTTCACAAGGCAATGGTCTTCTTTGCCGAGCGCAACCTGACAATCTTCTTAGGAATCTTCTTGTTAATTGAAGAATATCTTTGAACCTTACTTCGATTTTTCCTTCTTTGAAGTCGAATCATGTTTCTTATGCGAATAGTCAAATTCTTGTTGGGATATCCTGGTTTAATAAAATTAAAAAGATTATCTGGACAAGTTCCTGTTTTAACTAAACTACCAGCAAAAGAAGCTATATATGGCTTCAGATAAGGAGCCGCTTTAGAAAGGTTCTTGAAATTATAGCAAATGGACGCTATTTGCAACTTATTTCTGTTATGAAAAGAAGATCTAACAATAAATAGAAATGTCCGCCTAATAAAGCCAATAATATATGATCTAAGCTTACTGTATGAATATAACTTAAGTAAATTGCATAAAACATGTATAGAAATTGCGTTAAAAATTGGACCATCGTAAGCAGTTTCTAAAAGTTTTAAAGCAGCGGTAAATGATGCAGGACCTATCATCCATGCTTCTATAAACTCAATTTCTTCGATAGAACAAAAAGTTCCGACTGAAACAATTAAATCTCGTACATCAACGAATTGTTTGTATTTCTGTAATAAAAATGATGTCATTGAAAACAAAGGTGTCTTTGATGTTGATTGAATCAGCTTCGATGCTAGTTCTTTAAATAAATCTGTTTTTTTCTTCATAAACTTAAGTATTTCTGCAAGACATCTAATAATACTGGCTCCAAACGTCAAATTTTTGTTAGCTGAGAATACAACACAAGCAAATTCAATGAATTCTTCACAGATATCATCTATTTGTCGGTGGTTAGCAATTTCTAGTATTAAAGTCATAACTAGGTCAAGTGTTAGATTATTAATTTTGGAAGCATATCGTGAATTCGAATAACTTTCTGTAATCAAATTTAAATTTCGATGGATAAGCAATAAACTGAAAGCATCATCAGCAATTATTGTATTCCATATTTCATTTTTCTCATTGCGCCACTGAATCAGAAGTTTGATATATAATAATGGGTCATTTATGATTAAGGGAAGTTTTAATGTAATGAACCATTGGGATTTCTTGTATTTTGTTATTTGAAGAAGTTTGGTGCATTGATTTAATGATTTTGGATAAATAATATGTCGATATTTATATAAATACTGAACGAAAAGAGGAAATTGATGCAAAGCATCTGGAGGTTGCTCATTGCATAGCTTGATGCACAATTTCTCAATAATTGTCCAATATTTCTTTCGATTTTTTTGTATTTTTTCGTAAAACATAAAAACGGGGGCAACTTCTCTCCAAATAATAGCGGCTTCATGTATTGGCATAGATTCTGGTATCTCTTCGTCGGGTGGACGACCAGATACCGTATTCCACCAGTCTCTAATCTTTGAGGAAGAAATCGAAATTATTTTGATTTGAAATGCATTGAATTTATTTTACAAAAATAATTTTGAATGTGGAAAATTTTTCGTTAAGAATATGTGTGGTCATTGAATTTCACATCAATTGTCAAAAGGTGGATGAAAACTGACATCAAATTTTTTCAGAAGAATTTTGTCAAGCAGATAAGTGAAATCTCCTGAAATGAATGTCATTAGGTCTCTTTCTAGTCGATGATAAAGACTTCGATGTATTGTAATAAAGCAGTTGAAAGGTTAAAAATTCAGATTTCACAAGTGTAATCAATGAATTAGTTAGATTAAGCGTTTATATTCCTTAAATACTAAATATTTGTAGATTATCCAAAGCTAAACGTATGTTTCCTCGATGAAAATTGTTCAACTTAAAATTTTATTCATATCTGAATATTGAATAATATCAAAACACCAACCTTTCTTTGAAGCAATTAAGATATCAAACAATTTATTAATATACAAAACAAAATATATTATAATTTCAATAAAAATCAAAATTATTGAATTGTAAAGCTGGAATCAGAAGTATCGTTGCGACTCAAATCATTCTTTTCTCTCTGTATCTTCTCATCTAATTCTCTTGGGCGATCGAAAAATGGATCTTTCGTAATGGTCTCAAAAGTTGGTCTATCTTCAGGTTTCTTAGCAAGAACCTTTGTTAATAATGATATTGCAAGTGGTGATGCGTTTTCTGGGAAAGTTAATTCCTCTTTATCTAAACATTGTTTAACAAACATCATTGCGCTCGTAATATTATTTGAGGGAGCATTACCTATATTAAATGGTAAGATCCCGAATAAGGACATGTAAAGAGAAACTCCGTATGCCCATACATCTGCAGGTTTAGGCGCAAAATCGCCGCCACCGCATTCTTCTGGTGAAAGGAATGCTGGTGATCCTTTTGTATCATTTAGGCGCTCATTTGAAGAAGATAATTTGGATGAAACTGAAAAATCTGAGATGACAAATAATGATTCTGAAAAAACGAGAATATTTTCTGGTTTTATATCTCTATGTACTATGTTTAGTGAATGAATGTACCTAAGAGCTTCTGCAATTTGGTAGAAGCAAGTTTCGCACATTGTTGGTGTAACTGTATGAACGTCGAGTAATGATTGAAGGGAACCTTTTTGTGCAAATTGAGTAATGATTAAAAGTGATTGAGTAGGATCATCCTCAAAAACATCGACAATTTTTAAAACGTATCGGTGTGCTATTTCATACATAATATCGATTTCTTTTTGGACTCCAACAAGTGGAATTTCATCAACTCCGATTGATTTTCTACGAAGAAGTGACATTGAATAAACTTTTGCTGCGCATTTTTCACCGCTCTGTACATTTTCAACTAAAAACACATGAGACATCGATCCTGTACCTATTTCTTTCTTGAAAGCCCAGTCATACATTACGGGATTATCGTTTTGAATAATAAACGAAGTAATTGATGTATATGTGGATAATTGATGCATATCGTTTGCTCGTCTATTTCCGTTTCCATTAGGCCTGGCTCTAACCTTCTGTAAAGGAGTGCTGTAGCACAAGCCCATTGATTTTTACGAAAATTTAGAAAAAAAAACGAATAATTTTGATTCCTTCAAAAGGTTTATTTGATATTCATATGAGAGAGTGTTGGTCAAAAAGGATTATTTTAAAAGGACATTAATTGTGAAAACAAACAGTAATTAAAAGAATTTGGAATTTGGTTCTTCATCTTCATTGGTTCAACTATAATATAAAGTGGGTTGATTTGTGCAATGAGATATCAGTATTTGTAAAGAAATGGCCATTTTCATTGGTAAAATTGAAATCAAAAACAAGGTTTTTCAACAGAATCTATAAAAAAAGAGTTAATTTTCTAAAATATAAGAAAGCTAAAATCTGTATTTTTCAAATGACACTTGATTTTGACAAATTGAACGGCATCTGTAAAGAGTTTCATAAAATTTGTAGATGAAATAACTTGTATCACTATTTTGTGCATAAAAACTTACTTACAACATTTTGATGCGAATTGATTTGCATCAAATTTATGTCAAATTTTATGACTGAATTGATTCCATCTTTGAGCCCATTAACGGCCATGATAGGCCAAATGATTGGATGTGGAAGACCTCTCAAAGGGCCTTTCATATTTAATAGAAGTGGAGATAATAGACCCCCGATACCACAGCCGCAACAAATAATAAGACCTTTAATACCGCAAGTCAATCAAAATCAACAACAAAATCAATCTGATTCTGATGATGATAATATAGAAATCCCAGAATCAGAAGGACAGCCACATGCAGTACCAAAGAAAAGCAATCCAAGACTCTCAAAATATTCGAAACAGATACTAATGCAATGGTTCTTAGCTCATAAAACTAATCCCTACGCAAATAGAGATGAAAGAAGGATCTTAATGACCCGAACAGGACTTACAGAACGCCAAATTAAAGTTTGGCTAACAAATGCAAGAATTCGAATGAGATCACTATTACCAAATGTACCAACTCCAAATGGAGCTGGTCGTAAGAATCATTCCACAGTTACGGCAATAATGAAATTATTAAATACGCAACAGGCAGCTCAGCAAGCACAAAAATGACTGTTGTGTTATAGATATGAATGTTTAAATAAATGTTTAATTGTTTATGATGAATTTTTTTTGTCTTTTCCGATCAAAAATGAATTTGATTTTAGCGTCATAGAAAATTTTAAAAACGTATCGACTACTAATAGACAAAAGGAATTTAATATAAAATTTGATTAATTGGTTTGATGTAAATTCATTGAATTTTTTGTAAACTATTCAATTTGGATGTAAAAAAGTTCATCGATAATTAAAGATGTCGATCAAAAATGTGCCCATTATGCTTGACATATTAAACGTAGTAATAGGGTGCATGGACATATTGAATGATTTCCGTTTAATTTGAAGATAATTATAGAAGATCTTTTAAAAATTACATATTTTACATGATAATGCAGAGAGTTTATTGTGTTATGAAAACAAAACGAAAAAGGTCGCTCGAGAAGAGCAATATTCGATGTTAAGAAAGTAAATTGTTTATTGCTTTAGCTGTCTTCAGTAACTTTTTTGAAGAAACACTTTTTTGTTTTTCTTTTTGTATTTGTCCATAAAATATTCACAAATAAGGATTTTATAAGTAAAAATATTGTAAGAATTGGGCAAATAAATCGCCAACTCTTGGATATATTAATCATTTCTTCCAACTATCATATTTTTGTAACAATGGCTGTATATAATAGTTGGAGTTTTGTTAAATATCTCGAAATTTTGATAAGTATCAAAAAGTATTGATAGTATGTTCAAATACATTAAAATCCAATAATATGCAGTACCGTTGATTGTAAACAATCGATATTAAGTGATTGATGAAAATCGATATCAATATTGCAAAATTTCGAGGTTTTTTTGACTGAAATTAATAGCCTTTGACACATGGAATGAAGTTCTTCTTGGTAAATTTCTCCAAATTTTTTCTATTTCAGAAGATGCCTAAGTCATTTTGCATAAAATGAAATTGATTTTTAAAATTCTTGATTTTTTTTAGAAAACTGAGGTTAAATTCTTTGAAAATTTTAAATTAAAATAGAAACAAAGCAATTTCATTATATTCTAAATCGATAACTACTTTTTATTTTTGATACTCTATACTTTTTCTCCTAAAATATATCAATTATACAACAGAATCAAATAAATAATTTTTAATTTTAATATATAAGTAATATACTTTCCAAAATTTTAAACAAATCATACAAATTGACGTAAGGGGTGAGTTCACTTTTTTATTCCTATGTTAAAGCAATGTTAGTTATTGATTGTTTCAAAAATCTCAAAAAAATAATTGTGATAATGCAAAATTGTGCCATTAAAAGACCGAAATTTTGATATGGATTAACGTTTAATTATCAAACTGAAGTCTATTCTACCACATTCGATATTAATTTAGAAAAATTTAGTAAAAAACTTTAATATTTCATGAGGAACTAATTTTTATTTGGGAACAAATGAGATATGCTATAGCTGAAAGCTATAGTTTGTATAGATAAAATGTCAAAAAAGAAGCGGAGCATTAACATCAATAACTGTAATGATATTTTGAAATAAACATGGCGACTAATTTAACACATAGAGTAAACATTGTGTAATCAATTAGAAGGTAATAATTTCATGACGAAGACATTTCTAACAAAAGAACATATTTCGTCGAATTGTATTTCCTCTTAATGGTGCTCCTATCTTTCTAAGTTGAGGAAGGCGTGAAGTGTCGACATCTTTCATCTGGCTTTGGTTTTTACTTCGAATATCTGCAATTTCTTCTACAGATAGACGATGGAGAGGATCAGATGCCTTATCAGTAGCTGTTAGTAAAAGATATGGCTCAACAACACGTGTTTGCTGCTGAAATCTTTTGAATTTCATTTTTGCGAATCTTTTTTCCCATTCCTGTGTAATAACGTTTTTATTTGGCTGATGTAAATGGGCATTTGTCGATCTGGATGTACTTTTAATTGTCATCTCTGGAGGGTTGTAATCGGATCGAGAATCGATTGGCCTTTTAAGAAAATAACGCATATCATCGCTCAAGCGGGAGAAGTTGGACGCATTAGAAATATTGGAAGCTGTTGAGCGACTAGAGAGCTTGTAATTCATCTGTTTTGTATGAGGCCTCTCAAAAGTGCCAAAATTTCTATAAAATGTAATGAGCAATATGAAATTTTTTTTGCCTAATTTTATGAAAGTAAGCTCTGATTAGGTAATACTTTAATATTCATTGAGGAAAATGGTTTGGAAATAAAGAATTCGGAAACAATGAATTTGAAACCTCAGAATTTTAATGAATTTCATAGCAATTATAAATGTATTGAGACATAGAAGCATTATTTAATTGTCCTTTTAAGAACCGTATTCAATCGTATGTGAAAATCATTCAATGAAGGTTCACCACATAATTAATTAGTACAAATGATCAAATTTGGAAGTCAAGCAGATGGATAAACAAATTGAGTAGGAAACATCAGATAAGTGCGAAGAAAACAAAAATGTATTTCTCAATTCAAAGAAATTTGCAGAATTTATAGTACAAATATACTCATCCAAACAATTCTTGCCAAAAATCCTATTGTAATCAGTAAGCAATTCTACAAATATGGAAGAGCCAAAACGGTTAAACTGAACAATTTAAGTGCACTAATAACTGTGTTCAGTAAGTAAGCATATCTATTAACGCGAGTATTGATTAACTGGAGATAACAATTATGGATGGATATGAAACAACTGAAATAATCAGTAAATCTTTGCGTTTTGGAATAAGCGAAAACAAACCATTGATAGTATAACTGGGTTAATTCGATAATCCCTTTTGAGTCGGAATAAATTAGTTATGTTGGATATTAATGAACTATTACGTAAATTAGAAGGTATTACATTAAAGTATAGGAAGAATGTATGCATGTATCGGAAGAATCTTGTATAATTTTCACATCTTGTTATTTGTCAAAATCTCATCCTCCGAACAAAATTACAGTATATTATATCCTCGATGCATTTATTTAAAAACAAAATTTTGAATTCGAGAATGACCATGGCCATAATTTTTATGACCACGCCTGTAATCAATTCAAATTTTTGATCTATCAATAATTGAATGGTTTACAATAAATTCTCAGAAATATTTGAGAGAAAATTGAGTCCCAAGAATTGTGAACAGTGGCGCATCATTTCGAAAACAATATAGAGATGTCCACTGCTGCCCCAAAGGTTACAGAATCAACAGATGTCGTTAAGACATTCCTCAAGAACTACTCACGCTTCCTTCGTCGTGACTTCCTTGCAATTCTTGTCAAGATGACTGCCAAGGAACTCGGAATTCGTACCGTTCGTTGCGACTGGCGTACCCGTAAAGGAATGCTTGCCTTTCTCTCTGCTTCCTGGGAACGCTTTGTTGACTTAACATCACGTGATACCATTTTCAAGTGGTACTGCAACAACTTCGACTCATTAGAAAAGGTCTTTTCCAACCGCAAGCTCATGATGTTCATTTATGCAAACTGGTCAGAGTACGGAACCTTCTTTTCGTCTCCCGCCACATTAAGTTTAATAAAGAACAGTCAGAACGAGATAGACTCCTACATTACGACTGGTGCTAATGCCAGGAACCAGGGTTGGACCGAGACAGAAGCCGGCCAAGTCCTTTCCGGCATCATCAGCCACTTCAAGGGTGGTCTCCCACAGGCTGCTCCAGCTAAACCCGCTGCCAAGCCAATCGTTGAGGAGCCAAAGATCCTTGAACCAGAGACAGCCAATTTTGACGCATCTTTAGAAGCCTCATCATCACCAGATGATGAGATCGTCATCGAGAATTCATATGATTGCCTTCCGTTTGAAATCGGAGCATTCGGTACAAATGAATTCCCAACTGTCTTCCACGTCGATGATCCATACTTATTCGACGACTATTCTCTGTAAGTTAACTGTTATTTATTAATTATACAGCTCTCTCGGACACGCTATCATTGCTGGTGAACAGTTTTGTGGATCGGCAACGATCCTTCTATTAACACAAGGTTTTTACAAAACAAATCCATTTGGATTGACCACTCGGCACTTGCCCTGACGGGATCTGACCGTTGTGGTACACGTTTACATGCCATAACTACTGATAACGTGAAAGGCTTTTCCCCTTTTAAGGAGAAATGATTTACCGAACGTTTAATGTAGTTCAAAAAGGAATCCCGTGCCTTAGATATTATACATCTAATGACATGAGATCATCAAAAAATTATACCCAGTTATGACAGGTAAAACTGCTCAAAACTGAGGTAAAATAACTGCGAAAGTAATAATCTAAGAACGTGTAGTGATAATTCTATATAATTATCAAAAAAAATTCTGGCATTGAAAAAATCTTGTGTTCGCCACTCCCATTTGCAGGCAACTGGTTCTGGGAATGTATGCACTTCCGAATTGCTTTAACCGGCCTGAGCCCGAGCAAATTTGTAATTTGTTCCGGCATCAGTTAGAAGTGCGGGCTAGTTTAATTAACTAATAAGTATGCAAGACTGTGACATCGGAAATCTATGTGGGAAAGAGATGTGCGTTCTTTTTTTTACTTTTTTTTAATTATTTTTTTTAAGAATGAATGAACTTGTGGATGTAAAGTTTTTTCAAACTTGTCTGATTAATATGAAGCTAAGATCTTAAGTTTGAGCAATTAATTTAATTGGCACAAGTTCAAATTCTGAAATTTCTTGTAAAAACTTACTAATTTTAATAAATTAGTTGTGATTAATCTTCTGGTTAACGAGTACTCCAGTTGAGTTCGATCTTCATGCTAAAAAAAAACGAGTTTCGTTCTGATTTGTTTAGCTTATCATTCCTCAACTCTTCAAATTCTGAAATTTTGAACTAGATGGGTAAGAAAACTGTTTTTACTGATTTGTTTTACTGTTCACTTTGAGAAAATTTTCATGAAATTTTAGATTTTCAAACTCTATTTTAAAAATTGTTTTAAAATGCTGATATAATGCATAATTTATTTATCCAATCAATTCTTAAATATTTAAATATTCTCATGGTTAAGGATGTCGTTTTCTCCCCCCGGGGTTGATTGCGTCCCCCACTTGGGGGACGCTGGGGGACAAAAATTGAGAAGTCATTAATGAAGTTCAAATATTATAATATACACAACACCTGGTTAATATTTAAAATACATTTATCTAGTTTTTGTTGAAATTTCTTGCATTTTCAGAGATTTGATATTTAATTTTTCTTAAATTTTAGCTCTATGAGCTTTGTAATGGCATATTTTTATTTTTTATTAAATGTAATATATTAATCAATAAGAAAATCAGGAAAATAAATTTTCCCAAATCCCCTACGGGGGACGCGACCAAATATACATTCAATTTTGAAGGTCCCCCAATCCCCCATGGGGGACTGGGGGACAAAAAGTGACGCTCTATGAAGAGTCGATGAAAGGCCAGGAAGGGGTATGTTGTTTCTATTCCAGAATTCAAATCCGATTTCCTGTTATTGGTGCTTTCAGCATGAATATTTACATAATTTAATTTTTGAATCAGATGAAAAACTATAGCGAATAGTAAATATCAGTATAATTTATTAAGATTTATAAAAATAATACATAATTAATGCATAAATTATAAATTGCATTTTTCAAAAATGGCTTAGATATATCATTTTCATTAAAATATGAACAGTCTAAGCCATTGTTAAAGAGTTATCCATTTATCAGACACAATATTAAATTAATTCCATACATTTATAATTTTTGACACTTTACATGTTCCCCAGAGTTCGAAAATTATTTGGTCGAGTCCCCAAATGTCCCCCAAGCGACATCCTTAATTTATCTGAGAGAAGTCTGACAATTGCATCTTTTGGTCTTTCTTAAGGCTTCACTAACATGACAAAAAATATTCAAAATATTAAAAAATATGAAAAATATGCTCTACAATATATATTAATACTAGTCTATCATTTTCAGAAAAAGCACGTTATAACTCATGTAAATGGAAGAAGGCTTTTTTTGGTGGGTCAATAAATATTAAAAATAATGATAAATATAGCATTGATGTACATCATAGAATATATATCTCAAGGGACTTTAATTTTTGTCATGTTAGTGAAGCCTTAAGGGTGGCTTCCGACCAAATTGTCACTTTTTACCCCAAGTGAGAAAATTTCGTAATTTATAACCAAGTTTTTTAAAATCTATATTTAATAAAGATTCTATTTTTCTTATTAAATTTCAAAAATGAGGGGGTTCGGAATCGTCCACAAATTGCCGAAAGGGTTTTTGCCAGTTTTGAATCCGCTTATTTTTATCGACCAAAATTATAATAAATATAATTTTCGATAAGTATTCTACCCAAATGATTCTTCAAAAAATTATTTTTTCGGATTTTATTCCGTAAAAAAACGTTACAGAAAACGCCTATAAAATTTCGAATTTTCCCTAAAAAATTCAGTGCAGGTCGATTTAAGAGATTTTTCAAAAATAATCATATCAGTAGATAGGGTATAATATAGAGGAGCTTTATGAATAACTCAAAATCCGGGAAACTCAATATTCAACGAGAAAAACGCTTAACGAATCTCACTTTTGGTGTAAACATCACAAAAAATTGAGAGAGCTTTCTGGTCGGAAGCCTCCCTTAAAGCAACTATAATTGAACATAAAAAGTGACGTTTTTTCCACATCTCTTGACAACACTGTTGTAAACAGAAATTCATCAAAAGTGACACCTCAGAAAAGCTAAAATATTGAATTTTTGGAACTTTTGATAGAGCACGTTTTTAAATATTAATTAAAGTAAATGTATATTTTGTAAAGATTCTTTTTAATAAAAAAAAATTTTGAAGAAGAACACAAAATCTTCTGAAAAATAATATCACATAAACTCATATTATTTTCTAATATATAACTATTTTATATAAAAATCAAATTCAATGATCTTAAAAGCGAAGGATAAGCCTCAAAATTTACGAATATAATGAGTGGGAATATAATGCTTATCTATCATAAAACCATATGAAATATCAATTTTTGCTTTACGCCTAATTTTTGACGACAATTAGCAAAAAATGTTAAATGTTAACACTCAGTCCATTTGAATATGAAAAATAAAATTGACTTTGATTAAATGTTTTTATTTATCATGCAATTCTTCTTGCGACCAAAGAGTTGAATAAAAGTTCAAAAAATAAGATAGCTTAAAAAATAATATACGGTAGTGTTTACTAATAGATGAATAGTATATAAATTCTATTAAAATGGATTTGATCCAAAAAAATATAAAACCAAAAATAATTGTTATACCCAGATTTGCCTTATTTTTACCACCTCTCTAAAGCTGGGGACACCGCCTATCGTTGGCTCTAGCTATTAAATAGAACCACCAAGGGTATTTTTCGAACTGCCTGTGTAGTGTAGTGGAAACATCCGAAATAATGATTCATTATGCCAAAGTTTGATTCCCATTTAGCCAATTTTTTTCTTTTTTGGATCATGAATTTTTTTTTGGGTCACTATAAGATTTGTTTCATGTTCTAAATCTGCTGCATATGTAATCTATTTTTATTTACCTATTTTTTAAAAATCTATTGGATTGCCAAATTTGAATATATTTAAAATCAAAAAACTCCAAAAAAACTATAAATATATGTTTTATGCATAGTGCCGATACTCAAATATCAGATTACTTAGATCCATGAATAATATCCGAATTTTTTTTCTTAAAATTAAATTTCAAAACTTCTTGCAATCTTATTCTTCATCAATTGTAAATTTTTAAAACCATTTTTTAAAATAATTTTGCGTAAATTTTATTCTCAAGTTTTTCTAATTCTCATTATGTTGAAAATCTTGTTAAATACTTTGAAACAAAGAATCCACGCAACTGTCAATTATATTCACAATTAGAAGATGTATTTAAAGACAGCCACAATGCTTTGCTTCAAGAAATCTCTTCCAAAGATTCAAAGAACAAACAAGAATGGAGCAGTATTGAAATTGCTCATGAATCAGTTGGATCAACATTAAAAGTTGGAAGAGATCTCGAAATACAAGTATCAACAACAACAACAAGAGAAAGTAATTTCGATTTTAGAATGCAAGAACAACTCATGACTTTGACACCAAGTGAACAGAAATTATTTGTCTGTTTGGCAGCGAATAAAATCAAAAGATATCCATTGATTGTTACAGGAGGAACAGCATCAGGAAAGACATATACAGTCAGATTGTTTGCACAAGCAATCAACAAGAAGTTGATTGTTATTCCTGTCAATGCTGATACATCAATTTCAACAATCACAGGATCATATAAACCATCAAAATACGTCAGCAAACAAAACATTCAGAAGATAATAAACAAGCTTTCAGAAGATCCTGCGTTTAATGAACTTTCTAGAATGTTGTTAGAAACAGCAAAGAGCCACATCGAAGTGAGCGAACTCAAAGATTTTGCCTCAGATATCGATACAATTCTTAAAGAATCGAATGATAGAAACACAATCAAAATCGGCGAAGAAGCCAAAACAATTATTTCAACAGCCGCGCATTTGATCAACAACATGGAATACGCAGAATCCGGTCTTATTACAGCCATGAAGAATGGATATTGGGTTTTATTCGATGGCGTTGAATCATGTCCTTCAAATATATTGGAAAGAATCATTACATTGCTTGATTTCGAACCATCCTTGAATTTATATGAAGTTGATGAAGGAATTACTTATTCCACTAAATCACAAAACCTGATCCATGATGATTTCAGAATCATTATCACATACAATGATGTAGGAACACATAAAAAGACTCCTCTTCCACAAACAATACTTTCAAGATGTGCTATTCTAAGAATGGATCCAATTGACATTGACCCTCGAACAGTTGCAGAAATATCATTGTTCAATGTTCCAGATGTCGATATATATTAGCTGACCAAAATGTAATTGACAAAATCGAACTAGTTACAAGAATTGGTAATTGCCATTGCTATATTCGCAATCAACAACTTGAAGAGAATCCAAATGGATCAAGTTACGAAATTACAGGAAGATCAATCTTAAGAATTTGCAAATTACTTAATTATTTCTGCAACATTTCTAGAAATGGAGAAGTTGATTACAATCAAATCAAAAGAGCTTTGACAATTACTTATAATAAGAATTTCAATGAAATAGATAATGATGAGAATCAACTCAATCAATCTATTTATAGTTCGTTCCTTCAAGATCCTGATAAAGATTTCATCACAAATTTGACACAATTGTACTACAAACAAGTCATTGATAGAAATAAATTGAATGGATTAATTGAAGAAAGAGTTCGCAGCGATCAACCAATTATTAATGTATTTTATGTAATTGAACGCGCATTGTTTGAAGATATCTTTAATCTCGTGGATTTCTTGAATGAATTGGTAAAAGATTTTCAAGTCAGTGACAAAACAAAATTGGCTCATTGATTACGTTTACTTGCAGAGATTGACTGATATCGTGGAAAGACTTACTGAACTCAAGGATGAAACTAAAGATGACATCAAAAGTTTGACACTTACTAATAGTTTAAATCAAAGGATCCAAAATTGAAAGAGATTCTTGCAGAGTTTTCATTCCTTTGTCAAACATATCCTACTTACGAAGGCATAACTTTACCTGCACAATTTGCTTCTGAAAGATTTGTTTTGGATTCTATTTCAAATGAAATCAAAATCAATGTTTTCAGATATCCAAATTTATATTTCAATTTTCCAAAATCAAAGGAAATTTCTCAATTCTTTGATGGAATATTCAAACACATATTCGAAGCTTACATAATATGCTATGAAAACCAAAACCTAGAGTTACTTAAATTACTTAATAAGTTGACATCAATGATATTAAGAAAGATTTAATGCCATCAAGAACAGTAGAAATATTTGATTTAGTTAACTCTTTCAAAGATTCATCGAATGAACTTTATAGCATTGATCTATTGGTCAAATCATTCAAACAATACGATTTCGGATTACCAAAAGGATTCTTGGAAATCTTGAGAAGCCTTCAAGATGAATACAACAAAAAAAACATCAATTCCGAAGATGAAAGGAAATGGTTTAACTTGAAGGAAATACATCGTGATTTATCAAGTTTGTTTGATTTAACAGAAAAAATTGGTTGGGTTCCTGTTGACATCGATCAAGAGGAAGTAATCAAACAAGCGAAGTCAATAAGTACTGTTTCTTATGATAAATTTGCTTCTTATGTTACAAAGACTGATCCTAATAACAACGATCAAACAGATTGGTTTAAAGCATTAATGGATTTCTCATATGATATGCATCATTACGACAATCTTTTGAATCCAAGAAGTTGCATTTCAAGTCTATTAGCATTGCACAATCGTGGTTACAAAGTAGGAGATATATTAAAGTTGTATAACGGTATTTCATTCACTTTATATATGAATATAACTGATTCAAATGCTTTACTTTTTGATATCTTCGACAAATATTTGACCGCAATGTATGATGCTGATAAGAAATTACTTAATGTTGATAACAGTTTACTTAATGTTAATAATCTAATTGCAAAGGTTAACAGCTATATCAACCAAAAAGAACATCCTAGTTCTAATTGGTATGATTTCATTGTTAATAACAATAAGAAATATGATATCAATTTGCCAATAAGAATTCCTTATTTCCCAGAAAGAAGCTTACTTAAAATTTGTTCGAAGATTTATAATTTCAATTTCAGAACAGTCAAAGAATTGAAGAATTATATGAAAGAACCTCATGAAAGAAACCAATACTATGAAAACATGATTGCAAAGGCTACATCATATAATTATGACATTTCTGATATCCTTCCATTTGAAACTAAGAAAGAAATTGTATCATATGTTGATGAATTTCCAGCACAAGGCTTATTCTTGATTAGAAACACAGATTTCTACAAACTCCTTGACAAATCAAAGAAAGAATTAACATATGGTACATTCATGATCAGAATTGTTTCTTCTTTCAAACAAATCGTTTTCGAAACAGATAAATTCACATACGAGATGAAAGAATCTATAAATAATTCAATCCAAAAATTGTTGTCAGAAAAAGAAAACAAGAAATCAATCATTGTTTCACTGGCTTTGTCAAATCCACCCTATTGTTTCAAGAAATTCTTCACTTGTTTGTTGCATGACTCTATTGTTCAAGCTGCAACATATAAAACAGATGATCAATATGTCAGACAAACAAACATGTTTATTGGAGATTACCTATTGCATTGCTTGAAACAATACGGTCCTTTGACAAAAGAAAAATGGGATTCATTTATTGGCGAACAGACATTTTGTCTATTGAATCCAATTGGTGAATACATTAATTTCTCCATGAGAAATCTCAATCAAAAAGTTTCCGAATTGATTGAAACTAAAATTAAATCCGAAAAAGTTATGAAAGGAAGAGAAAAAGAAATCAAAGAATTACTTCCACAGCTTGAAAAAGCAATGATGATTGATGATCCAATGAGGTTCATGAATCAGTTTAAACCAGAAAACGACACCAAAGATGTTATCGATGCCTACGAACAATATTCAATCTGTATTAAATCCATTTTGAATGAAATGACAGAATTCAATTGGAATTCGAATTTAGAACAAATTAAATTATATCCAAACACACAGGAATTATATAAGTTCTTAAATAGATTAGATTCAAATACTTCAACAAATTTCCAGGATGAAATCGGAGTTATTTATATCCATAATTGGAAAAGTAATACAATTTCTTTCAGAAATAAAAACAATCCAGATATCGGAGTTACATATTCTATCAAACCAAATACAGATACATTTATGGTTGTTCCTAATAAATTCATCAAAGATCTTCAACTTTCAGATCCTTTGAGATTGTTTACAATCAAAATTTCTAAATTTGCAAATAAGGACACAGAAATTTCTTTGGATATGTTATTCTATGTATGGAATAAATTCGATAAAATAATAAAAAGGAATCCAAAGGCATTGGATAATTATCGTGATGCGGAATCACCAGTAATTTTTGTATCAAATGATAAAGAATACACATTTAATGACCTTTCAGAATTTATCACAAACAAACAATCAGGTGTTTGCTATTTAGATGAATTTAGAAACAAATTTACTAATCCTCAATACAAAATGAATCCAAATATGCTTCCATCTAATACAAAAAGTGTTTTAAATTACCTTGAAATGAAAATCCAGGATCACGATAGATGTGTAGAGAATCTTAACAACGCTCTTGATAATATTGCCAATTTCCCATCAAAGAGATTCATACCACCTTCAGCATCAGATAATAAACCAAATCCAAATTTGAGAATGGCACAAAAAATCAAAGTTGACTTCACTCAAGCTGATAATTCTGTTTTTAACATGGCAGCTATTAATGTTCAAGGCGAATCTGTCATTCCTACATTTAGTTCCATCAAAGCTGATGTTCCTGGCATATTAAGAGGAATCCAAACAACTCCAATTTGTATTCCTGTTTATGTATTTGGAAATGTTTCAAATGTTACTATCGAATTCCATCCAACATCACAAGAAACACCAATTCCAACATATGAAGTTAAAGAGTCACAGATTAATTTAATCTTCCCAATAAATGACATAATACAAGACATTACTTTCACCGGAACAATGGATATCGGCACTAAAACAATTGATTACGAAGTCAGTGCTCATTTCATTGACTCTTATGTTTTCATTGATTCTCCTGGAAACAAATTCATCAATGGAAATGATGGAATTACTTTCGATAAAGATTTTATTGCAGAAGATAATATCACTATTCTCCCAACAATTCCTGGCGAAGCAAATCCAAGACAAACAATTTTAGTCGAAAATGTCAATTGCCAATTACCAGAATCTCCTATTCAGTTGAAAGATAACGACAAAACAATTGTTTTCCAAAAGTCTTTTAAAGATTATTTAATCAAAGGCATTACTCTCAATTTATATCATACTCCATTGGAAAATTCTCAAGTCAAAATCAATACTCCTGTTTTTGCATGTAATAGAAAGGTTTTCTTCAACTCTTTATCCCCGCCTTACCAAATTATATCAGAGAAGAAGGAAATAGAGATTGGATACACATATAACAAATACTTTTTCATTGTTTCTTACTTCATGAGATATAAAGAAGAACCAAAGATTAAGATTAAAGGCTCAGACAACGTCAGTCTCATTAATCAGAAGAATACTCCATATTTAACAAGTCATGAAGCTTCTTACATTATTGAAGTTGATATAAAGTCAATTGCACATAATCGAAATGAAAAATCAATGCTTGAAATAAGTATTGATGGACAACAATTCCAATGGAGTGAAGAAATCAAATTGAAAGTAATTTCTCCGTTAAGAGGAAATTATCTCTCATTTGGAACATGCAATTGCTATTGTAATGATATAAGTTATTCATTATGTTACAACGATCAAATTCTTCCTCATGCTTTTTATGCCAATGAAGGATTTGGAACAATTCTGACTACAAATGAAATCAGAGCTCTATCGATTTTAGATAAGAAACCAGAAATTTCTGGATTCAAAAAGGAGTTAAAGGATATGAACTTATTAGTTTTCGTCTCTGATAGGAAGAATTCATTAGATCTATGGATTCCTGCTTCTATTCCTGAACTAGGTAAAATTTCAGCATTGATTAAAGAAATGTCAGAAAATGATCTGAGATATCTTCTCGCAAAGTTGGAACAATTCTTTGGAAAAGAAGAAATTAACACCATTCTCAACAAGGTCAAGAATTTCCCAAGAGAACAAGATAGAACACTGTCAATTAGAGAGTTCATTGTTAAAACAATGAAGAATAAATTCGACAAACTCATAAAAGATGATTTCCAATTAACAATTGATGATTCATTTAACATTAAAGATGTAAATAGCAATAGAAATATCAATGTTAATATGACTCCTTTGATGAATCAAAAATTATCAAATGAAAAGGAATTGAAGAACATGACTCCGAAATTTGTTTCAGACCAAAACACAACAATTGTCACTGAATTCAAATCAGACAGTTTACAAAAATTAACTTTTGACACAAGAATTATCAATTTACAACAAAAACAGGAAATGCTACAAGAAATTAACAGGAAATTAGAAGAGACAAATGAACCAAAATTGGAATTGATCATGATACCAAACAACGAAGAATTTGACCAGGAAAAAATCTTCTTTAAGAATTTAACATCTGCAAAAGCAATTTACGAGAAAATTTCACAGATTCTTTATAGATGCAGAAAATTCATTTTAATTATGTCAAATTACAAAGATTATACAAAAGGATTCCCTGCATCTAATGCAGAAGAAGAGATCAGATCATTGGCCGCATTCTATGACTGGTCAAGTAATAAGGATACACTCAGAACAACTCCATTTTTGACTCAATGCATTGAATTCAATCACAATTTCATTTCACTTTTCAAAATTTTGACTAAGTCTGGTTGTCAGATTCAAAATCTTGAAATTAAAGAGAGTGATGATGAAAACAGTGATCATATCCAATATATTGTAAAGCCAACACAACCATTGATTTCTGTTGAAGAGTTCAAGAAAGAATGGAGAAGGATCACAAAGAAACTAGTTTTTAACACCAAATCTATAACACTTCCTCAAACAATTTATCAAGAAAAGAAACAGAAACAGAAAAAGCAACAACAATTCAATGTTGGCTCTAACGCATCAGTGATTCCAAGGAAGGAATTTACTAATCAAATCGGATTAAACTCACAACAAGGAAGAGGAACAGTCAAAGATGAAGATGCTTACAAATATATGATTGACAACATTGACAAACAACAAAAATATGCCGATGATTTGGAAAGTAGACTAGGTTTAGGAATTGCTGAAATCGATGATATTCCTGAAGAAAATGAACTGCCAATCGACAAATTCATTGATTATGCAGCAGAAACCACTTTTAACATTGTTAATTATGCAAATAAAGTCCAAATAAACACAAATTCTCAGATTGTTTTGTTGCTTGATATCAAATCAATTACACCTGAAGAAATCAAGCGTGATAATCTCTTGTATTTCGTTGCTTTCGCAATGGCATGTTCTCACCTTGGTCTTGATTTCAGACTTGCTGTTTTCGCAGACAGAGAATTCCAATACTTGGAAATCAAGAAATTATCTGAAAAACTCCAGAGAAAACATCTGCAAGTTGCACTTGAAACTTTCGATACAAAGAGATTATCATCAGATCCATTCATTGCAATTCAAAAGATCATTAACAAAGACGTGAAATCATCCTACAGTTTCTTCGTCTTCTCAGATGGAAACTATTGAACACAACAACAACAATATCATGGCCAAGATGGGACAAAAACACAAATTCAACAATTACTTGGTTCATCCAACCTCCTGAAGAATACAAAGTTCCAATCGTAAATCAATACATAAAACTCACTGAGGAATACGACAACATGTTCTATCAAACAAACACAGTTCAAGAAGGCGGATTCGACAAATGCGAGAAATACATTGTAGCTTTCTTCAAAGGTTTCAGTAAAGAAAACTTAGAAAACAAAGAAAAATCTATTACAATGACTTTGTCTGAAAACAAGATCAATGTCACTTGCTCCTTCAAATCTATTAAATGCACTGATAATCAATTTGTTTGTGTATCAGAAAATCTCCAGACATCGATGGCAAGAATCTGTGAAGTTACAGATACAAATGAATTAGATTACATTCCTCGTTCCAATGACTCAAAATTTGGTTTGGAAGTATTCGAAAGAAACATTACACATAACTTCAACCCTGAAGAAATGTTCATTCCGAACAAAGCAATGCAGTACATTGCATCAGAGAAAGGCAGTGGAATATCAATGCCTGGATTGATCAGATTTATAATAACTGATGGTCAAGACCAGAGATTTAGACTCGAAAAAAGTGCTGGTTACGTACCAAGTTATTCCTTGTTTTTCGTTATTGATTGCGCAGAATCATCATCCGGAATGCTATCAATTAAATCAATTAAATCAACTGTACTAACTGTCTTCTCCCAATGATAGCATTCAAAGAATGCAACTCTCCAATCACAGTAATTTTGCTACATCAAACTGGTCCTGTTGCAGTTTGCATCAACAAGAAGAAAGAAGATTTTTCGTTGAAAATCTTCCAGTTTTCACCAAAATATACAGAATTTTAACAACACAGGGCAGGCAAACACAGACTGCATTCAGATTCTCTCAGGCATTGACAGCTGCATACAACATCAGATGCAGACAACAAGAGCAAGAATCAATTCTGATTGCAATCACAAGCGCTCATTTCTATCAGACAGAAATGGAAGCAGTTGAACATGCATTTCTACTTTACAGTCATTAAGACATCAACAATAGGTGTTGGAGTAGGGATTTGTCCGAAGAATATCTCGAAAGTTTTCAGATAATCTGTTTGGTCAGATAATCCTCTGAAATCTCAGAATGCTTCAACAAAATTGTCGAAATTAGATACAAGCGAAGCAATAACAGAAGGAAAAATTATTTCCCAGTTTTACCAGAAAAAGTTTCACTTCAAGAACTCGATGCACAATTGCATAATAAAAATAACAGAGTCTTCACAAATCTCACTGATAGATTGGAAAAGATCCAAATGTTCGATGCAGCCATTGGTTACTTCATAAACGAGAAAGCAGAACTTGTTAACGTTGTGTCTACCAACAAGGTGCAAACAACAAAAAGTATAAAGGAGATTCTCCCAGATGAAGATCTCGGCAGGAATGCAAAATGGCCATACAAAATTCTCATTTGCCAACTCTACGATGCAACAGTAAACCAAGACGGTGCACAAAATGAACAAGAACCAAATCCTCCACCTCAACCTGCTCCAGATCAAATATATCTACCTCAAAATAAGGCGCTCCTCCACCATTAATCAGAAGCTCCTCCACATTTAATCAGAGCTCGCTCCAAAGAAACAAACTCCACTAAGGAAAACAAACTCCATCTAAAGGAAAAACACAAACTTCAACAAAGGAAAACCAGCCCACCTAAAGGAAATCAATTTATAGATAGAATGTTACATTAAAAACTTTGAATGATCAAAGGGAATTATCGATGCGTTTAAGAAACCTTGGCTTCACTGTCAAAGTTCTCAGAATTACGCAATGAATTGCCGGAAATATTATCAGGGCAATACCACCAAGTTTGGGTTATTTGCTCAAATGGCCAAGAGGCAAAACCATCAGATGCTCCAGATTAATCCAGATATTAAGAAGCTCTGATTCAAATCCGAGAGAATACAAGTGATTTCTCACACGCTTACCCAGTTTGTCAAACAGTTATATTGAACAGTTCAGGGATGAAAGGATGGGTGTTTCATTCTGGGGCTGATCAAGATTCACCTTCGAATGGACTATTATTATGGAACATCTCAAGTTGTATCGACTGCATGTGCTTGAGCAAAACTCAGACCAAAGTCAAAGACAGTTAAACTTAGATCGATTGGTCAAGATCCAGTCAGAGACAAACTCTTAATGAAAAAACACCAGCAACTTTCCAAAAGAAGTCATTTGATTCAGAAAGATTGCAAGCAGATTGCAAATTATAGAATACTATCTTATCTCTCTCTTTTTT